AAGGGCTGCCCTCCCCAGTTTGGAGAGTTGGCAGGCAGTGGAGGACTCTGGCTCAGCCCACACTGGGACCTGGTCTCCTGCTGCGAGGAAAGGACAGGCTCCTCAAGGAAGTGGTCATGTATAATGCTGTGCTGTTGAGCCAGGTGGCAGGGAGGGACTTGGGAGGTAGTGTTGGGAGGGCCTGGAGCTGCATCCAGCACTCAGGTGCAGAGTGGGCAGAGCTGAGAACCTGCCCTGTAGAGCTGAGGCCCCACCCTGTGCCCTTGAGGCCTCGCCCTACAGAGCTAAGACCCTGCCCTGCACAGGGGAGACCCTGCCCTGCAGAGCTGAGGCCCGGCCCTGCACAGGGCAGACCCTGCCCTGTACACCTGAGGCCCCGCCCTGCACACCTGAGGCCCCGCCCTGAAGAGCTGAAGCCCTGCCCTGTACAGCTAGGATGATGAGGCCCCAGAGTGCATCTTTTGCCAGAACTTCTCCCTAGGATGCAAAGAGGTCTAGACTTGAGGCAAGAGCCCAGGATCCCCCACCTCTCCTTCCTGGAAGCCCCTGAGATGATAATGGCTGCTACCCCCGCCCCAGGTATTGATGTCCTGTATGCGGGCTCCCAGAAGGTCCTGAACGCCCCTCCTGGGATGTCCCTCATCTCCTTCAGCGACAGAGCCAAGTGAGTGACCCCAAGCCTCGCCTGAGGCAGACTGGCCTCAGCGAGAGAGGACAGGGCGGCAGAGGTGGGACGAGGCGCTGGGCGGAGGGGTAGGACCTGACACTCACACCTCCCCCAGGAGCAAGGTGTACAACCGCAAGACGAGGCCCTTCTCTTTCTTCATGGATGTCAAGCTGCTGGCCAACAGTTGGGGCTGTGACGGCCAGCCCAGGATGTGAGGCTGCAGGGCGGGTGTGGGCCAGGGCATGGGTCACCTCCTGCTGCTCAGACGCTGGGCCCCTGAACCCCCAGCTTGCACCTTGAGCTCTCCTGAACTCACCTTGCAGTCGAAGTGGACCTAGCCCCGAAGGGAGGGGTAGTGCTGTGGCTGGCCTTTGCTGTGGGCACTCAGCGGGTGCCAAGTGTCCAGTGCCAGCTTCCTGGGCACCTTGGAACCCTAAGATCGGGATCTGGGGGAGGAGGCAGCCAGCTCTAAGTGTCTGCCTCCCCAGCAGGGTGGCCTGAACCCACACTGTTCACTCTCCCAAGGCCTTAACCCTAACACTGGATCCCACTCGCTGTCCCTTGTGGTGACGTGGGCCCCCTGCTGCCCCCCCCAGGTACCATCACACGGTTCCTGTCATTGGCTTGTTAGCTCTCAGAGAGAGCCTGGCCCTCCTGGCGGAGCAGGTGAGCAGGGACCCCATGCTGTCGGGTCAACTGGTTGCCTACGGCCAGGAGGAACAGGGGATGATGGCAGGTGTCATCAGGATGATGGCCAGGCTTAGCACTGTGTCCACAACCTCAGGATGTGTGGCATCAAGGTGACCGCAGGACACGGGACAGTAAAGGTGACCACAGCCCTGCCCACAGCATTCTGGCCACAGCTGGCCAGCAGGATCTTGGCCAAGGCCAGCATTGCAGCCGCTGGTCAGTGCACAGGGCTGGGTTGGAGCCCAGGCATCCTGTGAGCTGGCCACTACCCTGGCTGGGGTTGGGTGGACCATGATGCCAAGAGGCCCAGGGCCCAAGTGTCCCCACAGGAAGCTGCTAAGGAAAAGATGGGCTGGGGGCTGAGTAGGAGGCAGGCTTGAGGCGGTAGGGCACAGTGATCGGAGCAGCCTCCGACAACTGGGATGGGCCCAGCGCCCCACTCTGCACTGTTGTGGCCCCCACCATCGGGCCCTCCCAGGGAGCACTCCCAGTTGGCCCCTCTTCCAGTCAGTGGCCTGGGACCTTCTCCCCACAGGGCCTGGAGAGGAGCTGGCAGCGACACCATGAGGTCACCCAGTACCTGCATTGCCGCCTGCAGGAGCTGGGCTTACAGCTCTTTGTGAAGGACCCGGTGGGTGAGCAGGGCCTCAGCACTCCCCAACAGCAAAGGCCATATCCCTCAGCTCTGACGCCCCTACTGTCCCAGCCAGTAGAGGCTGCCGGGGCCCTGCTAGGCTGGTCCAGGTCGGGGTGGGGTCAGCTTACTGAGGTGTGACTGCCCAGGCAAAGGAGCTGGATGGGCGCCCTGAATTGGTCGTGATGCCCAGCTCAGGACCCCTGTGGTGGTCACCATCTGGGTAACCCTCTCTCACCTACCCCAGTTGCTCTGAGTCCATGGCCAGGGCAGGCCAGGTAGACGGTGGCCCTGGGAGCAGGTCTCCAGCTCTCTAGGCTGACCCAGGTCTTCTGCAGGCGTTCCGGCTGCCCACAGTCACGACGGTGGTCGTGCCTGCTGGATACCGCTGGAGGGACATCGTCAGCTATGTCATGGATCACTTCAGCATTGAAATCACCGGTGGCCTGGGTCCCACAGTGGGGAAGGTGAGGGGCTCCTGGACCCAACTATGTCCACCAGAGGGCAGAGCTGAATGCACGCCCCTGGAACTTGCAGAGGGCAGGGAAGGGAGTGTGGAAAACAGGGGCTGCCCAGGGCCTGGATGGGCTGCCGGCTCTCTCGTGTGTGCTGGGGGTCTCTGCCACCCACCCCTTCTCAGGTGCTGCGGATCGGCTTGCTGGGCTACAATGCAACGCGGGAGAACGTGGACCGCCTGGCGGATGCCCTGGGGGAGGCCCTGCAGCACTGCCCACAGCACCAGCTGTGAGCTCCTGTCCTCCCTGCCCTGCAAGGTCACTGCCCAAGGAAGGCACCAGGGCTCAGGTCGCGCCTCCACCATCCAGCCTGGCTTCCTGCTGACTCACACCCAGAGGGCAGCAGATGATGCCCGTGTGCTTGGAGCCCACAGAAGGTGGGTTGTGCAGCAGGAGCGCCTGGATCCCAGCCCCGGCGGTCACAGGCTTCTGGGGAGTGAACCGTTGAACAACCTCTGCCCTTCTGCCTTTCAAATAAAGGAAAAATGTTTAAAATCACAAGAGCCTGGGCCTTTCCCACTGAGGAGAAAGGTGGGCTGGTGGCTCCTATATTGTACCCCAGTGTGGGCTTTGGGGGACACCCTAGCCCCAGGCCACAGGGGAGGACCCCTGATCTCCCACTCACCTCCCCAACAGAGTGTATCCTCTGAGCTGCCTCCAGGTGCATATGCAGCCCAGAGTTGCCCAAAAACTCTCACCCAGAGCATGCCCAAGACTGCATGGCCAGGACCAGGTCCAGGGCCCATGCTCCGGGCGTGGTAGTCAAGACCCATGCCCTGGCCAGGACGAGGGACAGCTGTGCTCAAAACATGCCCTGGTCCCAGCCAAAGCCAGAAAGAAACAGTGATGCTCAAGGCCCATGCCCTGGGCACAGCCACAGCCAGGACCAGGGTCAGCTTGCTCAAGGCCAATGCCCCAACCACGGTCACGGCCAGGACCAGGATCAGCTTGCTCAAGGCTCATGCCTCAACCACAGTCATAGCCAGGTCCAGGGACAGCTGTGTTCAGGGCTCATGCCCCAGCCACAGCCATGGCCACAGCCAGGACCAGGGACAGCTATGCTCAAGGGCCACACCCCATCCATAGCCACAGCCACGGCCAGGACCAGAGTCAGTTGTCCTCAAGGCCCACGCCCTTTGTCCTCTTCTCTGCCTGGCTCCCTCTGGCTTATGACATCCACTCTTCACTTCTAGAAGCTTCTGACAAACTGGCCAATTGACCCACTCAGGTCAAGGAGTGGGCCAGCAGCCCGGGAACTCGCTGGTCCCCAGAGCTCCAGGGGATGTCTGGGCAGTGCCTGCCTCTTGCCAAGGAAGGACAAGCCCACATGTAACTGCCCCATTGTGCCAGCCACTGGACATAACTGTGCCAACAGAGGGCCCCGGCCACTCATGGTAACCAGAAGAAAGGGCCACACAGACATTGGAACTAGGCTGACACAGGGTAGGGGGCCCATACAGCCAGGCAGGGGTGAGGGGAGCTCATGGAGCAAGGCCAGGGCTCCAAGCCCATCCATGCACTGGGTGAGGCATCTGCACACTGCACCTGGGTCTACCTCTTCACATGCTGAATGCTGTGATGGAGACCGGGGGTCTGTATTGAGGGTTGTCGGTGCCCCTTCTGCTGACACACACCCATCACCTACCAGGCCCAGCTAGCATGCTGGGATGGCACCTGCCTTTGCCTGGAGGAAGGCTGAGGGGACCAGGGCAGGACACTGGTCACCAACCAGGCCCAGCTAACGTGCTGGGACGGCGCCTGCCTTTGCCCAGGACAGGACGCTGGTAACCCACCAGGCCCAGCTGGCATGCTGGGATGGCGCCTGCCTTTGCCTAGAGGAAGATGAGGGCCCTGGAGCAGGGCCAGGCTCACACTCTCCCTGTGATGGCAATTTTTGCCTGTCCTTCCAGGGTCATGGGGTTGAGAAGGGCCTTGCTTCCAGCAAGTCCCAGCGGTCCTCCACAATGAGCCAGCCCTGTGAGGTCCCCGGCCCTGAGACCTGAGCAGGAGGGCCAAGCACACTGATCTGTGGACTCCCAGGTAGAGCCATGTGCCCACAGGGCGCGTCCTGGGCACAGGTGGACCTTGGGTCCATAGCCGCTTCCCTCTGCTGACCCTCCTCCCCGGCACCCACTGCTGACCAGGCTCAACCTGGATGTGGCTCAGGAGTCACAAGCGAGTCAGGAATGAGAGGCCCTCTCACCAATGAGGGCCAGGCACAGGGCAGTCCCCAGCACAGTGTGGAACTGCCCTGCCCAAGGCCACCAGACCTTCCAGGGTGCCCAGGAAGAGATGCAACTCTGAGAACCAGAAGGGTCCTTGGGGTGCCCATGAGGAGGCTGCGGTATTTCCCGGGTACGTGGCTGGAGTTGATGGTCTGCCCAAGAGGGGAACAGCGTCCACACAGAGACGGGGTGGGGCATCTGTTCTTTACTCAGGACCGAACCAGTGGTCCCCAAGGCCTGAGACCCTGTGTCCCAGCCAGGACCGGTCCTCAGCTCTCCCCGCCGCCCAGCGCCCTGGTCTTGCGGAAAATGCTGTGCATGGCTGACACCCGCTCCTGGTCTTGAATGTTGAAAACCTGGAACTGAGGCCGAGTAGGGAGAAATGGTCAGGGGCCATCTGGGGACACTGAAGGACGACAATGCCCACAACTCAGCATCAGCACCTGGCCCTTCTGTCCCTGGTCCTGCCGTCCCTTAACCCAGCTGTCCCCTGGCCCTGCTGTCACCTAACCCAGCTATCCCCTGGTCCTGCCGTCCCTTAACCCTGCTGCCCCCTGGCCCTGCTGCCCCCTGACCCTGCTGTACCCCAACCCTGCTGTCCCCCGGCCCTGCTGTCCCTGGTCTTGCGGCCCTAAGCTCTTCTAGTTGCACTGCAGGTGCCCCTCAAGTCAACTGAAGGCTGACCAAGAGTGCCCCCTCCCCTGCCCACACAGGGGCAGCCAGCCTCCCCCTCCCCCGATGCCCTGAGGACACCAGGCCTCAAGTACATGGCCACCCCAGGCCTGCCCCCACCTTGTCCAACAGGACGTCAAAGTAGGCAGTGGCCCAGTAGGCAGGGTCACTGGCAGGCAGCTGCAGCAGTGCCTTAATGCCGTGATCGAGGCGCGGTGGTGGGCAACGGCCCAGGTGGGTAGCGTGGAGGCGCAGTGAGGCCTCCGGCTGGCTGGCAAAGCGTTCCACACGCTGGTACAGGGCATGCAGGTCCAGGCCGCTGGTGGGCAGCAGATTGAGCCGGGGCCACAGTGGGTGGGGTAGATGCTGGGTGGCCAGGCAGCACAGCAGCACCACCAGCAGGCGGTACACAGCACCCTGCAGGTCCGCCCAGTCCTCAGGGGAGGGGAACAGTGCCGAGGCCCACAGCAGTACGGCCTGCGGGACACAGGGCACCTGGGTTCTGATCCACCCCGCACCCTGTCCCAGTACCCCAGGGCCCTGCCCCAGTATCCCTGGGCCCTGCCCCAGTACCCCAGGGCCCTTCCCCAGTATCCCCGGGTCCTGTCCCAGTACCCCAGGGCCCTGCCCCAGTACCCCCGGGCCCTGCCCCAGTATCCCTGGGCCCTGCCCCAGTACCCCTTGGCCCTGCCCCAGTATCCCCGGGCCCTGCCCCAGTACCCCAGGGCCCTGCCCCAGTAACCCCAGTCCCTGCCCCAGTATCCCCGGGCCCTGTCCCAGTACCTCAGGGCCCTGCCCCAGTATCCCCGGGCCCTGTCCCAGTACCCCAGGGCCCTGCCCCAGTACCCCCGGGCCCTGCCCCAGTATCCCCGGGCCCTGCCCCAGTACCCCCGGGCCCTGCCCCAGTAACCCCAGTCCCTGCCCCAGTATCCCCGGGCCCTGTCCCAGTACCTCAGGGCCCTTCCCCAGTATCCCCGGGTCCTGTCCCAGTACCCCAGGGCCCTGCCCCAGTACCCCTTGGCCCTGCCCCAGTATCCCTGGGCCCTGCCCCAGTACCCCAGGGCCCTGTCCCAGTATCCCCGGGCCCTGTTCCAGTACCCCAGGGCCCTGCCCCAGTACCCCTTGGCCCTGCCCCAGTATCCCCGGGCCCTGCCCCAGTACCCCAGGGCCCTGCCCCAGTAACCCCAGTCCCTGCCCCAGTATCCCCGGGCCCTGTCCCAGTACCTCAGGGCCCTGCCCCAGTATCCCTGGGCCCTGTCCCAGTACCCCAGGGCCCTGCCCCAGTACCCCCGGGCCCTGCCCCAGTACCCCCGGGCCCTGCCCCAGTATCCCCGGGCCCTGTCCCAGTACCCCAGGGCCCCCTCCCCAGAGCACAGCACTGGTAGGGACTGGCCTCCCCACCACCAGCACCTGCTCTCCTTCTCCACGACCAGCACCTGCTCTCCACCATCTGCTGAGACTGGAGGTGGCCACAACACAGCCTAACTGTCCCAGCGGTCCACCTCTGGCTGGGTCCACAGGGTGCACACAGGTGAAACTCCCAGCTTAATGACAGCCAAAACCCAGGACAGTGGGCCGGGCCTCTGTGTTCAGAGTCCTGGGACCTCAGTATCACCAGCACAGAGCTGGACCCAGGCTGCCTGCCAGGCCCGTTCACAGCCCCGGGGCACGATGGGGGGACAGACCAACAGCCAGGCCCGGGGCACAGTGGGGAGACGGACCAACAGCCAGGCCCTACATACCTTGAGGTGGCTGAAGGTCAAGCCCGGGCTCTGGCCGCCATCCCGCCAGCTCTCATGGCTCACCCGGTCCAAGATGCAGAGCCCGTCCAGCCGGTGGCCAGGGAGGGAGCCCAGAGCCTGGAGCAGCCTGGTGAGCAGGTAGTCCGTGGAGGTGCTGGGGGCCAGACACGCCTAGTCAGCACGGGTCCACTCATGCCAGGCACCCCAAGAGCTCCCAAGGTCCACAGCGCCCCTGCAGAGCCACGGCCTGCACTGTCGAGGGACACGGTGCCTCTCTTTCTTTAGGCTCCAACGGGGAGGGACATCACGAGGACAGCATGCTGTCCCTCAGGTCGCCTAGGAAGGACAGCAGGGCCAGGCAGACTCCGGGCCTCTGTCCCAGCCCTGTGCCGGGGGGCATGGTGATCTCTGCCCAAGGTGTTCCCCGGACGCTCACCAAAGCCCCGAGAGCTGGAGTTCCATCTGCACGTTGAGCCATGGGAGAGGGCAGCCCTTTGCTAGCAAGACACAGTGCCTAGTCCAGCCTAGTCCAGCCTGGTCCTGTCCAGCCCAGCCCTGTCCAGCCCAGCCTGCCCCATCCAGCCCAGCCTGACCCAGCCCAGCCTGCCCCCGTCCAGCCCATCCCAGGCAATCCCAGCCCAGCTTGGCTCAGTCCTATCCAGTCCAATCCACTCCCCACCCCTGTCCACAGGCTTGCACAGAGGGCGGGAACTTACCTCCAGTCCTGGACACTGGCCGGCACCAGGTCCACCCCTTGGCCCAGGATGCGGTCCAGCATGCCCTCAGGGAATCCAGGCGACAGATGGGCACCCTCCAGGGCAGGCTCCCAGTGCCCCTTCCTCACCACAGGCACCACATTGAAGCGGATCTTCCTCCAGCCACCAGACACCACCAGGGACAGGTGCAGCTGCTCCTCCCTCAGGCTGGCCGCACTCAGGGAACCTGCAACAGTCCACCCACTGCCAGCTGCCACTCACAGCCCCACCCCACTGCCAGCTGCCACTCACAGCCCGCCCCACCTCTGCCACTCACAGCCCCACCCCACTGCCAGCTGCCATACACAGCCCCACCTCACTGCCAGCTGCCACTCACAACCCGCCCCACCTCTGCCACTCACAGCCTGCCCCACTGCCAGCTGCCACACACAGCCCCACCCCACCGCCAGCTGCCACTCACAGCCTGCCCCACTGCCAACTGCCACTCACAGCCCCACCCCACTGCCAGCTGCCACTCACAGCCCCATGCCATCTGCAGCCCCTGCCCTCACCCTGGTATCTCAGCTGAGCTGAGCTGGTTGCTGGCACTGCCCAGGCAATGGCACCACTGAGGATGCAGTTGTCAGCTCAGAGCCTCTGTAGCCACAGTGGTGACTGCAGCATGAGGTCCCTGCATCTGCCAGTCTGCCCCTACCCACTTGTTCCCCTGCTGCAGTCTACATCTCCCCGGGCGCCCTCTGCAGAGTAGCAGGAGTGGCCCCAGGAGCTGCTGGCAGCCAGGGCCCAGGACTGCGTGCCTCAGTGTGGGGGAGCTCTCATGCTGTACAGAGTCCTTGGGCCTCGGGCCCTGTTTCCAGATCGCCCTTGAGCTGTCAGTCATGACTGCTGTCAGTTGCGGCAACCATCAGCTTTGGGAGCCGTCAGCCTCTGCCCCATGCTGGTTACCTGTTCTGCAGCCAGCCACACCTGGCCCTGCCACCCCTGGGCAGCCCAAAGCTGGTCTCTCCGGTTCCCGGCCTCCCCAGATGTCACCTAGCTCTCCGCTAACTCCAGTCAGGAGCAACACCCAGAGCAGGCTCCGGGGCTGCGGGCTGTAGGTGGGGCTGCGCCTGCCTAGGGCTGAGTCCATGTCGGCAAGACTGCACCTGGGCACTGGGGCCTGACAGGGCCTCCCGCTCACCCCAGCCTCTGGGTGTGCCTCCCAGCACAGACCTGCAGGGTCAGGCAGGGGCACAGGAGTGCTCTGGCCAAGCCACCTGCAGTAGCCACAAGGATGGAGAGGTGACCAGATGTCCCGAGCGCTGGCACTTAATGACAGGCTTGGGCACCAGGTCAGGCCAGAGCCAGCTGGAAACCATAGTCCCTCCTGGGCCCCATCCCTCATGCACGAATGCTAATGTTCCCACACACACCCTGAACTATAGCACAAGCAAGGGGCCTCTCCAGTAGGAGCGAAGACCTCAGCTCAAGAGTCCCTGTGGGCACTCCCTGCCCGCGAAGTAAGGAGGGCATATGACACCAGGGAGGCAGCCAGGCCTTCCCCTTCCCAGGGCACCAGAGAACGGACCCCACCACTCAGGGCTCCTGGCCCAGGACCGGGTCCAGGCCATGTCCCACCTTCTGCCCAGCCCTGCTGCCAGCAGCCCACTGTGTCTGACCCATGCTATCAGGCAGGGATGAAGCCAGCACCTGTGTGCTTGAAAGTAACTGGTGTCACAAACGCCACATGCCGACAGGTGCACACACTCACTCACACACACACGCTGGCCCAGTGGCCCTGGCTGCTACCTGGCGGGATGAGACTGTGGTGCCGGCAGTGTACAATGGCAGCCACCAGCAGCTCCTTGAGCACACTCAGGACCTTGCCGGGCACCAGGTAGCCGCGGCCCTCAGCACCGTCCTCCGAGGGCGCTGCACTGAAGACATCATCTGCCGTCCAGCGCTCCAGGCCAGCCGCTTCCCTGGGGATGCCCAGGCGGCAGCGAGCGGGGCCATCTCCCAGCTCCGGGGCATCGGGCTCCTCGGTGAGCAGGGCTTCAGCGTCCACCCTCAGGGGCACCTGCATGTCCTGTGGGTCGTCTGAAGAGCGCAGGGCGAACTGGAAGGCCTCAGCATCGCGGGAGTAGTCCACCACGAAACGGGCGTCCAGGGCGTGCACGCGCTCCAACACGGCCAGCAGCACGTCTTCTGCCCGCTGGAAGTCCTGCACGCGGGGCGCCTGCCGCGACCGCAGAGCCCGCAGGTAGTGGTGCCACGGTGAGGTGGGCACCGCCATGGCTGTGCCCACGTCTGCCCAGTGAGGACGGCTAACAGGTGAGGCCCCTGCTCCCCGCGCAGCCAAATTCCTTTGTGACAGCCAGGCAGTGGAGGTTAAATAGCCCAGGCCTTCGAGGAGGGGTGAGTCACTCACTCACTCACAGCCATCAGCACCGCCCCGAGAGGCCGAGGCGGAGGCAGGGCCTGCTTGTCACCGCCACCTGCTGCCCTCCTGCTTGGTCTCCGTCTGCTCACCCAGCCCGGGACCCGCAGGCCCCCAGCCTCTGCCGGACGGTAGGCCTGGAGCCCCTGTGACTCCACCCCCCTGGGCTGGGCCGCCGAGCCCCGCCCCATACACACCTGTAGGCGCTCTGCCTGCCTCTGGCACCGGCTCCCTACAAGTCGAGCAGGTCCTGGCGGGCAGGCAGGACCCGCCCCCCGACCCTTGGCCCCCCCAGCTGGTGGCACAGCACAGGGCCCTGGGAGTCCAGGCTCTCCCGGCTTTGATCCTGGGATGTGGGCAAGACGCCTCCCCCAGCAGGCCTCTCCATTCCCCCACCCCAGGGGGCCCTGCAGTGCAGCCCAGCGTGGCCCACCCCTGCCTGCCACAAACACAGCCTCCAGCTCTATTTCTCAGCCCACCCTGCTCCCACCGTCCCTGGAAGCAGTGCCCAGCAGATTCCAGGCTCACACACAGCCCCTGGGGAGACAGGATCTGCCTTCCCTGGGCCACATGAACAGTGGAGTCCCCAGAGGCCTCATTGGTGTGGCCTGGAGGCAGGCACCAAGTGGAGCGCAAAGGCCTCCTAGGACACTGGACCTGTGCCCACCATGGTCAGCCCTCCTGGGACCAGCACCAGATCCTGTATTTCAGGAATTCCCAGGTGTGCCAGGCAAGGCTGGTGAAGGTGGGGACCTCCCACTGAGCAGAGTCCTTGCTCCCTGGAGAAGCACCTGGTGCAGCTCTGTGATAATGTGTTGCCCAGCACTGGCTAAGTGTGTGCTTGCTGCTCAGAGTTGCCTCAACTCTCTGGGGCTATTGTGACGAACCACAGCCACCCAGGGCAAACCTGGGCGCCACTTCTGGTCCTAGGCAGTGAGCGAGTGGACACACACTCTCAAGTCTGCACCTGGGGTGTCACATGCGATGTGTAATGTGTGAGGTGCAGTAGTGAGGTTCAGTGGGTCTGTGTGTGGTGCTTCTGGGGTGTAGCACGTGAGGAGTGACAGAAGCCCCCCCCCCCAGGCCGTCCTCACTGGGGCCTGGTGGTCAGCCAGCCTCTGCATGAGGGCACTGCAGGCTGGAAGCCCGTCTCCCTGAAGTGCTTCCCTGGCTGTCCCCTCAGGAGCCCATGGCTGCATTCCCCAATACCCTCTGGGTACAGTGAGGATGGTGGCGGGTATGCCTGGCCGGTGCCCCATGAACCTGGCAGGATCTAGCCAGGCACAGGCACCGACTGGCCTCTGCTTCCTCCACCATCCTCTGCCAGCAGGAAGAGGGGCAGGAGAGCTGCATGACAGTCGTGTGCGCCCTGCGTGACGGCCATGTGGGACAGTCACTTGCACGATGAGCATGTTTCCTGCTTGCTGGCCTCTCGCTGCCCTCGGCGCCCTTGCCTGCCTCGCCTGGCCGCCTTTGCAGGGCAGTGCTTCTGGCCGCCCTTCTGTGCCCGCGCTCGGGCAGGGCGGGGACCCGCGGGAATGCAGAGCCTCCCTCACAGCCCGCAGCCTCGGGGTTGCCAGTCGCCTGCCATCTCACTGCATCTGTGTCCTGTCTGTCTGGGTGACTCTGTGCCCCCAGGGGCCAGCAGCTGGCCCAGCCACTGGCCAGACCCTCTGGGGCTGGACAGGAAGTGGCTGGGGCTCACTATGCATGACCTGGACTCAGCTCAGCTCCAGCTCAGGCACTGCCAAGACCTGCAGAGTCACCAGGGGTCAGCCAGCCTGAAGCTGCCTCCGATGGGTGGGTGGGGGTGTCTCAGTTAGCCAGATCAGAGGGGGTTGGACTTCACCCTGGCCTAGGCCGAGTGGGTCAGGACTCAGATGACCTCCCAGGGTGTCCCTCCCTGCCCCTATGGGGACATCTATTTCATGTGAGCCTTCCCTAGCTAACAGCCCCCTCCCTCGTGGGCACCCGGACCTGGCTGGCAGCCCTAGGTCACAGGAACTCTACCCTGCCAGGAGCAGCCCATGAGACCCCACCCACAGCTACCTGCAGTTCTGTGAGGCCAGACCCCACATTCACAGGATCCACAGGGCCTCAATGAGGGGAGAGCCTGACCCAGAGGCAGCGTCAGAGGGCCTGTGTAGGGAGCCCCTGTCACCCTGCCCAGACATAGGAGCAGGTGGGCTCAGCAGGCCACAGTACACAGTGTTGAGGGACAGGGTCCCCTGATTGTGGCCCTCCCCCGGAATCAGGTCTGAAGAGGTGATCCTTCAGCCTTCCGGAGTGGGCCGTGCTGACCGGCCCAGCAGTCACCCTCACCTGTGGCATCTCTGAGGGTCAGGGCCCAGAGCAGGGACCCTCCCCTCCCTCAGGGATACTAGGGGGACAGCAGGTGCAGGGCTGGCTGCTCCTGGAAGGCCCCTCCCTCCTAGCCACACTGTCCCCCACCCCGTCCTCTTGGTGTCCAGGTCCATGCCCCGGCCAGTGCTCAGAGGAGCAGCCACAGTCCTGTGGCTCTGCCTGGCATGGCTCCTCACCCAGGTCTTCGCTTGGCTCTCCGGAGACACAGCGTCCATGGTTGCTATAGCAACAGTCCTGCACGCCTGTTTCCAGGGAAACCAGCCTGAGCGTCTTGGCTGCCGAGCAACGCCCACAGCTCAGGTGACCACACGGACAGGCAGACAGACCAAGGGACGAGTGTCTGAGCTCTGCAGGACCAGGAATCCTGTAGGTGCAGAGCTGGCCTGAGCTGCCCCTGGCCACCATGAGTTCCACCTCCAGCAAGCCTGGCAACTGGGACACCACCCGGCGACCCCGGCTGGGGCTGGACGCAGTGATCCAGGTCAGCAGGGTGGCTGCCCTCCCTGTCCTTGGCCCACGGGGTACCCAGGGAAGGGCTCAGGTGCTCAGCGTAACACAGGCATGAGCATGCACACATATGCATGTGCAAGGGGAGGCCCTGGGGGGCTTGATCTGCAACCCCCAGTCCTGGCTGTCAGACACTGGGGACAGGGCAGACCCTGCACAACCACGTCCTAGGCCTCACAGAGCAAGGATGACCTTGGGGAGCCCAGGCTCTGTTTGCTAGCCGTGCGGGTCTGTCCTGCTCCTGGAGACCCCTCCTCCAGAGCCCACCCAGCCAGTGCCCAGGCAGCTCCCACTCCAAGCCTGGCACATTCTGGCCCAGCTCCCCCAGCACAGCCCGGTGGTGATGTCACCCCCCCCTCCCCACCCCGCAGGGCTGTCGGGACTGGGGTGCTGACTCAGGTGCCTGGAACCCGCCCTGGCGGGGGACATAGCCCCCAGCAACCTGCCCACGCTGGTGCCGGCCATCTCAATAACAGGCCACGTGTGCCCATGAATGCCCACGCGAGGGCAATATGCGGCCATCAGGTGTGACCCAAGGTGGGCCCAGCGGTGCCTAGGGGGACATCACCTCAGCCCACTGCCCGGGATCTCCCTGCTACTTCTGAGTTCCCAGGAAGTGGGGTGAAGAGAGGAAACTCCAGGTGGGCACACTTCTGCCCTGCACCCGTCTGGGAGGCCAGGAACCCCGAAGCCTGGAGCTGGACGGCAAGGTGCCCAGAGCTCTCCCAGTGCCATGGGCGGTCTGGGTGGGCAGCTCTGCCCATCTGCCTGACACCTGTCATTTGAGTGGTGCTGATTAACATCTCACAGTGCCACCCATGGGTGACAGATCAGGGCCCTGAGCACCCCAGGGGGAACCATAGGGCAAGGGTGTGGTGTGTGCGACTCCAGCCAGGGCTCGGTCCCCTGGCCACCTCAGCCCCACACAGTGTTGCAGCTGGCGGCAGGCTTGGAATCAGCTTCCAGGTCAGAGGAGGGCTGAGACAGGGTCTGCATGTGAAATGGGGAGCAGGTCCGGGCCAGACGGTTCACACCAGCGGGGCCAGCATCCTGTGGTGTGGTCCCCCTCTGGGAGGTTAGCGCACTCAGCTCGGGGGAATCTCTGCCTTCTGTTGCCTCTCCAAGTTTCACACGGACTTCCGTTTCCTGCAGTGGCTCGTGGCCATCTGCGGCCTCTCGTGCTGGGGACATGGCTCTAGCACACCTTACCCTGTTCCTCAGACACAGGCTCCCCACATCTCCTGCGTGCGGTAGCCACACAGGGCGTGTCCACAGGGGTCACTCTCTGAGGCTCACGGAGGTCGGGCACACGACCAGTTTTGCTGTCCCATCTCAGGGGACAGCAGGCACGCCTATTGGCTCCGCATAGGATGGCCGGTCTGCAGGAGGGGACTGCTAGGACCCTGGTCACTTCAGCATGGCCCAACCGCACCATGGCAGGCAGGAGGGGAGTGGGAGTGGGTGAGCTGGACCCCTTCCCTCCTCTGCCTTCAGCTCCATTTAGCACAGCAGGACCCCCAGGTCCTGAGACACTGCACCCCTGACTGCCCACCCAAGTCAGGCCTGCAGAGCCGCCCGAAGCCTGCACAGCCATCTCCCTCCCTCCTGCAAGTCCTGCCTGCCCCATTGGCGCCTCTGTTACTCTCTGCAAAGCCACACATCTAACCCTCCAGGATCACTCACCTAATGTCCCTCCATGACAGTTACCGAGGAGCAGAAGAGGGCCAAGGGTGGCTTTGCACGCTCTGGGACACACTGCGTTTTGTGCCAGTTGCTACACATCCAAGCAGACACACCACAGAGCCTGAGTGGGCCGTCAGGCAGTCCAGCGGATTGGAAGGACAGCCCAGGAGAGTGGCCTTTGAAGGGAACCAAGACCTGGGGGATTTAAGGCGGGGCCGGGTAAGCAGGCATTTGAGCTGACGCAGGGTCTGTTTCTCTTTAGGGAGTGTCCAGTGGCTTCCAGCTAGGTGTGCACTGTTACACATGACAGGATTTCGCTCTGTGAGTGTGGCTGCACCCCTGTGTAACCAGTCGGTGACAGGCCTCTGGGGCGGCCCTGGATCGCAGCCGCTGTGCACTGTGCTGCCAAGGACGCGGGCTTCCAGGCAACCGGTCTATGCAGATGTCCTTCCTTCCTTCTTTTATAAAGATTTATTTTATAATCTGTTTTTGTTGGAAAGACAGATATACAGAGAGAAGGAGAAACAGAGAGAAAGCTCTTTCATCCACTGGTTCACTCCCCCAGTGGCCACAATGGCTGGGGCTAAGCAGACATGAAGCCAGGGGTCAGGAGCTTCTTCCGGGTCTCCTGCACAGGTGCAGGGTCCCAAGGCTTTGGGCCGTCCTCTCCGGCTTTCTCAGGCCACAAGGACCTGGGAGTTGGATGGGAAGTGGAGCAGCCAGAACATGAACCGGGATCCTGGCACAAGCAAAGCGAGGATTTAGCCACTAGGCTACCACACCTGGCCCTGCAGATTTCATCTCTTTAGGGTCAGTTCCCAGGAGCGGGATGGCTGGACCAGGCACCAGATCTTTGTCACACCACCTATCATGCCTGCCCTGGAATCCTGCCCCAGCAGGAGGCACGGACAAGTGGGGCCAGGGTCTCGCCCCTGTGTGCCTGCGGAGTGCGACCCTCCTCACCAGCACTGCCTTTGGCTGGCGTGAAGGCCGTTCTCACGGGGTGTGCCCTCATTTCCCTCAAAGTTCGAGATCTGGAGCATTCTCTCCTGTGTCTGCTGACCATTTGCACGGAACCCTTTGACAAACCCGTTTGCGGCCTCATCCCTTTCTGAACTGGACAGTTGCTTCCTCGCTGGTCTCTGGAGACGAGTCCTCCATCAGCTGCATGACTGGCCGCCTTCCTCCCGCGGTGTGGCCGCCTCGTCCCCTGCGGATGCTGCCGGCAGTCCCCGGCTTGAGGCTGTCCATCTCGCTTTCACTGCCTGGCCTCCAGGGTCTGTCCTGCAAGTGTTTGCTGGCTCCTGAAGCTGGCAGGGTCCCTGAGGTCCTCTTCTAGTGGGCATTGATTTGGGCCTGTCTCCCATGGGGTGACTTCTGTGCAGGGTAGGGTCCTTTTTCTCAGGTTCAGCCCACGTAAGTCCCCTCTTCAGCAACTGACTGCAGCTCATTGTCAGAGAGGTTGGAAGTAGCTGTGTGGCTAAATGCTGGGCCCTGTCCCGTGTCCTCAGGTCTGCCCTGTCCCGTGTCCTCAGGTCTGCCCTGTCCCGTGTCCTCATGGTTGCCCTGTTCTCACAGCTGCCCTGCTCATGTCCACAGGTCCTCTCTGTCCCGTGTCCACACAGATGTTGTCCCCTGACCCTGACCATGGATGACTGATCTAGGCCCATGTCTGGGGCCTCTGAGTCCCACCCCAACAATGTCCCTCTGCAGCCATCTGCACCCCTGTCCCCTCTGTCCTCAGCCCCTGGGCCCTGGGCCCTGGCTGGCTTCTAAGCCAGAGCTGGACTCCATGACGACCTCTGGGCCCAGGTCTCCTCCCTGGCCAGGGTCATCCGCGTGGCCCCAGGCACCTGCAGGCTCTGGCTACTGCTGTCTTACCTGTGCCACCCTCTTCCTCAGGAAGCCCCAAATAGGCACAGGGATGAGGCACAAACGAGTGGGGCCAGGGCCTCGCCCGGTGCGCCTGGCCGTGAGTTAATTCACGCTGTTGGTGTGCTGCCGGGTCAGTGTCCTGGGGCTTTGCGGGGACCCCCACCCAGCCTTCTTGTTCTGGGTCCCCTGCATCCCTGGGAGGGCGGTGGGAGGGAATTTTGCCAGGAAGGGCCCAGGCTGGGCCAGCCCCGGTCCCCCAGGCGCCCTCTCTGCTGAGGAGGACCTCCCAGCACAGGCCTTGCCAGCTGACATGAAGGGCAGCACAGCCCCGAGCAGGAGCCACAGAGGCCACCATCATGCATGGCCACACGGGGGCACTGTCGGTTCGTCCGCCGGCCCAGCTGCCCCTGCCTGGTTTGCAGGCGGTGCCTGGCCTCCTCGCCCCACTCTCAGCTGGGCTCCACTGGACTCAGCCTGCATCCCAGTGTCCCCTGCTGAGATCCTCACCTCCCTCCACCCTGCCTCCCCCGGTGCAATGGATGCTGCTCTCCCGGCTGTACTTTGTGTGCAGACCCCTGCTCTGCAGCCCATTTGGGGCTTCAACTGCCCCAAAGCAGCCAGGGGGGCTCCGTTCTCCTGCAGGTCTCAGAGATCCCGCCCCAGAATCCCCCGAGTGCTTCTCACTGGAAGGAAGACGCAGGCAGGAGCCCTGCTCAACCCAGCAAGGGGAGCCCCTGGCCAGGCCCCCAGGGCTGGGAGGCAGTGCCACGGGGGGCCAGCAGTCCAGGGGTGACCTTGTGAGGATGCTGGGTCATCTGGTCAGCGGGATCCCTGGGTGGAGTCATTCCCTGGCACCTCAAGTCGGGGAGAGAGTGAGGCCTGCAGGGAGGCCAAAACCAGGCCTGGGTCCCTCTGTCCCTTCAGCTTGGAGTTGGGGTCAGCAAGGTGAGCGTTGCCCATACCCCTCACACAGAGAGAGCTGCTGCAAGGACTCTGGCTGCTGACCCTCACGTGGGGTCATGGTTGTTTGGGCAGGGACTGTCCCCTGCATGGTTACCTAAGTTGGACTGTCCCCTACCCAATCAGCCGTGGCCTCACTCAGGACCTGATGTTCCCAGGGTCCCCTGTGGTTGGAGTGCCAACATTGGCGTGGAGGGGCTGTGTGGGTCTGGGGTCTTCCGGAGAGGCGTCCGGCTGTGGTGTCCTGTGCTGGCTGCTGCTCCAGGGAGCCCTCCAGCCATCTTGTTGCAGTCCCAGGTGCCAAGGCCAGGCTGGGGCACAGGAGGCAGGGCACTGAGAAGGGTCGCGGTTTGGTCAGAAATCTGAGAGTGCTTAGGCAGCGGACAGGCAGGGATGGACAGCCTGGCTACAACCCTGAGGCCCGGCCCGGGGCTGCTCAGCCAGGAGGGCGTGGCCTGTGGGACTCGGGCCCTGGTGGAGCCCCTCCTCCCCATCCCGCCCCACCCGGCGTGCACTGCCTCCTCCCTCTCCCCCTCCCCACCGTGGGGGTGGGGGGGCTGGTGTCCCCCCTCCAGGAAGTCCTCTCCCTCCCCCACTGGCTGCAGCCAAACTCGGCCCAACCCCCCAACCCTGTGGGCGGCCCCAGCTGGAGCCCATTACGCCCAGCGCCTTGGGGACGGCAGCTAAGGAGTGACCCCCTGCACTGCTGGCCACAGCCTTCCCACTGCCTTCCCGTTAGCCAATGCCCTGGGGAGCAAGGCAAGGGCTGGCGGCAGGCCGGAGTCCTTCCCAACTGGAACCGAGCCAGGGACCTGGGGCGCTCATATCACCCCAACCCGTCCTCAACCCCCCATACGTACTGTGCTAACCAAGAAGCCAGGAGCAAGGGGACTCTTCCCCAGGATAAGTTCCCCGCCCCCACCAGGGCTGCTGTGGGGGCTGGCAGAGCCTGGGTCTTGAGGTGACCCTGGCAATGACCCACCAGGCCAGCCCTGAGCGTTCGGGCAGGGCATCCAGACCCAGAGAGGAGGCAGGTGGCCACTGGACAACTGGGGACACGTTCTGTAGTCACAGCCTTGGGCTAAGAGGGGTCTGGGGATGCAGTACCCGTGGGCGGACGCAGCTGCCGAGCTCCAGCACCAGGCACCCCTTGAATTCTCACTCCCTGTGAGGGGAGGGTGGCCTGGCCTGGAAGTCCTCTGCCTCTTTGCCCACTTGGCAGAAAAGCCCCTCCCCCAGGCCTGGACCTGCACCCTGCTGTGCCCCTCCTCTCCTCTGAGACCTTGGGGTTGCCTGCCCACCTCTGAGCCTGCAGCCTCTGCCCCCTCAGAAGCAAAGCCCTAAGCAATGCCCACCCCTCCTGGGTGCCCTGCCCCACCCCCGGGCCACAGCTTCCGTGCCTGGGTTTCCATGCAGCCAGGTGGGCAGCCATGGACCACACAGATCCTGTTCTCCAGCTCCTGTCCCAAACCCCCTCAGGTGCTGGAGGGCAGGGCTTCCTCAGGCACCTGAGGGGGTAGCTGACTCCCAGCATTCCCAGGGGAACAGACAATGGGGATGGGGGAGAAGCGGGAGGATGAGGGGTGGCCTGGCAGGAGGGGACCAACAAGTCATCTCAGCCCTGGCCATCATTGCACAGGTGGGGAAACTGAGGCACGGCTGCACTCTCCCTCCCATGGTGACTGTCTTGGGGTCACCACAGACCTGGGAGCTGCTGGGCTGTGGCAGCGTGTCTGAGGCAGCCGTGTGGAGCCGTGTGGAGCCGTGTCAGGCAGCCGTGTCTGAGGCAGCCGTGTAGAGCCATGTGGAGCCGTGTCTGAGGCAGCCGTGTGGAGCCGTGTCTGAGGCAGCCGTGTCTGAGGCAGCTGTGTGGAGCCGTGTCTGAGGCAGCCATGTCTGGGCTATTTCAGAGGCTGCAGGACACCATCCTGAGTCCCACAGCCAGCAGAGGGGACCGTATGCTGACCATACGTGGAGACGGGCAGCAGGCATTGCCCATCCCCTTGCCTGCCCGCATCCGCCAGATTGTGGCCGGCAGCCTGGGCCAAGAGCTTCCTGCAGGTGACTGGGGTGAAGGGAAGGCAGGGAGCATGGGAGCCACAAACAGTGCATGAAGCCCCTTCCAGCCACTCAGGCCGCAGCCCACTATCAGCCTCGGGGCTTGAGCACATCTGACCTTCTGCGTCCCCCAGAAACAGCTCACTCTCGGTACCCACCCTAACCCCAAGTGCACACCCAAAGGCCCCCAGTGCCCCATGCTGACCCCTAGTGCACCCTAGACCCAGCTCACACCCCCCAGTGCCCTAGCTGGCCCATGCTCCCCCTGCAGGTCAGCTGGCACGGCTAGAGGAGCTGCTGGCCCAGGCAGGTGTTAAGCAGGCAGAGCTGGCCAGCAGGCACTGCGTGACCAGTGAGCAGGTGGGTGTATGCCGCGGGCACCACCAGTCTCTGTGCCTTTCCACCCACCCAGGGGCGATGTGACACTTGCCTGCCTCAAGTGTCCACTCATTGTCCCAGTACCCTACCAGGCCCGCCTGCCTACTGCCCTGGGCCCTTCCTGACCCCCAACCCTGGGCATGGCTCAGCTTGTCTCCCATCACCCCATTGGCGGGTGTGGTCCGCACCCTGCAGAGGCGAAGGGCTACCTTGGCTTCCAGAGCCAGATGGAGGGCCCTGCTCTGCCCTCACCAGGGAGGGCCCTGGGGCAGCCACCTGGGGAAGTCCTGCCTCCTGTGGGACCAGCCCAACCCACACTGTGACCCAGGGCTGCCTACCAGGCCCAGGAGCCTCATGTGCAGGAGGGCTTCAGGCTGCAGACACCCCTGCCCTGTGAGGAGGGGTCAGGCAGAACCAGGTGGCTCCCTTGCCCAGCTGCAGACTCGGCTGGGGACCACTGAGGGACAGCGGCGCAGGGCAGAACTAGGGCACAGCCTGGACCTGGAGGAGGCCCTGGGTCGCCTGGAGGCCGCAGAGCAGAGGTGAGCTTGGCTGTGACCCTGCCAACAGTGGCTCCCGCTAGCCCAGCCACTGGTGCTCCTCCCAGAGCCTGTTGGGAGCTAGAAGAGGGTTGGGGTGGGACCCTCTCTCCGTAGCCTTCAGCTTTTCCCTCCATGCTCCACTACAAGACTGCATCCCCACCTCAGGGCCGCCCCTTACCTGGGTGGTGGCTAAAGGTGCCTACCCATGGGGAGTGCCCACTCTCTTGGGCTGAATGCTACAGCACCCGGGCCTGGAAAGGAGCTGAGCTGGGCTGCCTGGCTGGGGTCGTTGCTGGGGGCTGCTTTCCCCCAGGTGCTGGGGAAGGGAGTCTGGGGTAGTTGTGGGGAGGCGAGGGGGTGGGGTAGCCCCCCTCCACCAGCCAGGACACCCCACAGTGCTCTGAGGAGCTCTCCATGCCTGGCCCCTGTCCTGCCAGGAGCACCGGCCTCTCCCAGGTCAACAGCCTCCTCCGAGCACAGCTGGAGCAACTAAGGGTGGCCAACGAGGCGCTTGCCGGGGAGCTGGCCGGGATGACGGGCCTCACGCTCCGCCTGCAGGGCCAGCTGGAGCTGAGGCAGCAGAGGCCCGGGGCCTGGACACAGGTGCTGCCCTCCCGTGTCCACAGGAAGCAGGGTCAGCAGAGGGTGTGCCTCAGACCACCCCTCTGGTACAAACTGCTGAACCAGGGACCCCAGTTGCAGCCCTAATATCTGAGCCCAGCAGGACATGAAAGTGGGAGGCAACCGGCTTTGGGCCCGCAGTGCAGGGTGGACACAGGGCTTGCAGTGTGCGATGGACACGGGGCCCGTGGAACGGGGTGGATGCAAGGCCTGTAGTGTGGGGTCTATACAGGGTCCACAGAGTGGAGTGGACATGGGGCCCACGGAGTGGGGTGGACACGGGGCTGAGTTGTGGCATAGACATGAAACTGTAGTGTGGAGTAGATACAGGGCCCGTGGTCCTCGGTGGGCTCAGGGCCTGAGGCTGGGGTGGACACAGGCCTCTTATTTTCAGCACCCGCGGCACATCCACCTCCTGTGGAGACAGACCTCAGCGCTCCGGGCACAGCTGGGCGAGCTGCGAGCTGCCACAGAAAGGTCAGTGCCAGCGCCCAGGGGCCCGGAGGGCAGGAGCGCAGCAGGCCACAAGGCTGAGGAACAAGGAGGACCAGGCAGGCGTGACAGGACCCCACCTGCTCAGAGCCTCTGAGATCGCCTTGTCCTGCCTCTTCTGGGCACGTCACCAGGCCCTCGAGGGATCAGACAGGCCCTGGCCTCGGCCCCTCCCTGGCATGCCATGATAGAGGCCCCAGAGGGACCTGTCGAACCCTGTGTTCAGGAACTCCAGCCTCCCCTGGGGCTCTACGTCTCCTGTGCCAGGCTCGGGTCATCTCCCAGAGCCTCAGGCCGAGGTGGCCAGCACCGCCCGGTGCCACCCTTGTCTCCCAGGGGCCTGGCGGAGCTGCAGGCCGAGGTGATCAGCACAGCCCAGCGTCTGCACGGAGCCTGCAGGAACCTGGACTCCAACCTGCGGCGGACAGCCAGCAGCATGACGGGTGCCCTGGAGCAGCGTCTGCGGGCCCAGGTGGCCGAGGCACTGCAGCTACAAGCTCAGTGGGATGCCGAGAAGGTGGCGCTGCAGGCCAGGTGGGCGCCAGGAGTGGGGGAGGGGCCCAGGGGCCTTGTCTCTGCAAGGTGCAGGGGCTACTCCCAGCCTATGTGGCCACTGCCCCGTCAGACGCCGCTGTCCATGCATGCAGACATCATGCCCCCTGGGGATGTGTGGCCTCTGGTGAGTGTGGGAGGTTCTGGACTCAGAGGACTCTGGGGTGGGGTGCTCCTCCCTGGGCTACAAACGCCCTCCCACCTGCAGGTGGCAGCTGCGTCCCCTCAGCCCTCCCAAGGGCAGGCAGTGCTGGTAGCAGGGACCAGAGCGGGGCTGGAAGGGGTTTGCTCCCCAGATGGTAGGAGCTCCCCCTCTGGCCCCCAGGCTCTCAGAGCAGATGGTGCTGGTGGAGAAGCTGACGAAGCAAGTGGCCACTGCTCCCCACCAGAGGCTGTCCCCAACACAGGCCCAGGACCCTACACTGCAGGCTGTGGAGGGAGAGCAGGTGTGTCACCAAGGCTCCTGGGAACGCCAGAGGGAGTGGAGGCTGACCCCCAGGCCCGGGGCACAACATCCCCAGGCGCCCAGCCCAAGTTTCCGCTAAGGGTGTTTGGGGTCTGGCAGCCTCTCTGGGCTCACACCAACACGCCACACCCTGACCCCCAGCAGGAGCTGAGCCTGCAGCTGAAAGACTCTCAGGCAGAGGTGGCCAGGCCCCAGCGACAGCTTTGTGAGAACCAGCGAGAGCGCCAGAACCTCCTGGGCCAGCACAGCCAGGCATGCGATGAGCCCCCAGACCAGCAGCAAGCACAAAGGCATGGCCAGGAGTCTCCCCCTCACCCCACCCCCTGCTGAACACCAGGAAGGAGCTGAGAGCCGGGTGGGAAGCAAAGTACCCGCATATCTTTCTGCCATCCCTCCTATACTGAAGGCACCGCCTGCCCCTGTTTGCACCTGCCTTCCAGCCTCGCCCTGCCCCCTTGGGGAGACGGTGGACAGGGGAGGGGCTGGAAGGCGGGAGCTGGGATGGGGAGGGACTAAGCTTCAGGGGTCCCTATTGAGGGCAGTGCAGGAGGCATCCCCTCCCTGGGCCTCAGTGCCTATTGCATGGGCGTCTGCCTCCCTAGCTTTGTCACGGGGTCCAATAGCTGGGCGAGGGGCAGCGTCACCCTTAGAGCCAGATACCCTCACCCCTCCAGCCCACAGCCCTGTGCATGCAGGCCTCCTTGCACACACACACAGATACATGCACTGCATGAATGTCCACACTGCACACACATACATGCAAGCATGGACACACGTGCACCACAAGCATGCGCCCGGGCGAGTCCTCTGCAGCCTACGGGGAGGGCCTATGTGCCGTGAGGAGTCCCCGGAGCCCAGGGGGCCAGCCGAGCCCACTGCCCCCACCCCTATGCTCAGTCAGGGGCACCTGGAGCAGCTGCAGGTGGAGGTCTCAGGGCTGAGGAAGGCACTGCGCACGGCCCAGCTGCAGAGAGACAGCCTGGAGAACGAGCACCTCGGCGTGCGGGACGCGCTGGGCCGGGTATGTGCTGACCCCCAAACCAAGGCCTAGGCTGGAGAGACAAAGCCCCACGCCCAGAGCTCCAGGCTGGAGGCACTCCAAGCCACGCCTGCTTCTCTCTCCAGCTCTACCCAGAAGCTCCATGGTGACCCCGCCCTGTGCCCCACCCAGGCCAGGAGCAGAGGCTGTGGGCTCTCCACCTCCCCACCCCAGGACACCCCTCACCCTGGCCTAGGACCCTCCCACCCAATCCCTAGCCCTCATCCTGGCCTGGGCTTCCTGTTCTCCGCCCCAGGCAGAGGCCAACAACATGGACCTGGAGCTGCTTGTCCAGCGGCTGAGGTCTGAGGGGGCGGAGCGAAGGGGTGTCCTGGCCCAGATGGCTGCCCTGCTGGATGGGCTGGCCCACGACAAAGCTGCCCTCAGCCACCTGGTCCTGCAGGTGAGCTGTGGGTCTGAGCCCCCGTGCTGTGTGGGGGAGCCCGGCCTGCGTCAGGACAGCAAGGCAGTGACCTAGAGCCTGGAGACGACCCCCTGCCCGCCTGTCGGCAGCTGCAGCAAGAGCAGGCAGAGGCCCAGAAGCAGCTGGCAGAGGTGGAGCAGCGGCTGCAGCGGGAACAGCAGCAGCGGAAGGCACTGCAGCAGACCTGCACACACCTGGAAGAGCAGGTGGCCCAGGTGAGGCTAGGGGTGGCAGGTGGTGCAGGGTCGATGGGGCTGGGTCCCTCACCTGGGCCAGCCTGCCCTCATCCACAGCCCCTCCCCTGGAAGTGTAGACACCTGGTGCTCCAGCCAGCAGAGCCAGTAACGCGGACAGGGAGAGGTCTGGGATGAAGCACCGACAGGAGACCAGGGATGGTGGAAGTCTCTGTTGCTCCTTCACCTCTCCCTATATACTCTTCCACCCAAGTCCTAATTTTAGCCAGTAAATCGGATACAGATGAGTCCCATTGGTCTAGGTGTTTTTAGCTACAAGCCCAGTTCCTGTTCCTGCCCATCCCAACGACGCCTAATCAACTCCTAGGCCTACAACACTGGGCGTGCATCCACAGGGATGCCCGGCCCTGCCTGCCTCGGCCGCACGAGCAGGCACCCTCAGGATGGTGTGAGCTTTGTGTCTTTGTTGTTAAGGCTGGTTTATTTGAAAAGCAGAGTCCTCGGGACTTCTCCTGCTTTCCCAGGCCGTGAGAAGGAAGGTGGATGGGAAACAGAAGAGCTGAGATTCGAACCAGCGCCTGTGTGGGATGTTGCTATCACAGGCGTTGGGACGCCAGCCGCTAGCTTGGTCTGCTTGCTTTGCTTCTTGGAGTGTGAATGACAATGAGTTAGTGTCCGTCCCGAGAGCGGTGACTGCCATGTGCCGGAGTGGCCACTGCTGAGGCACTGCCCCGCTGCTCCAGGCTCCGCTCCCAGCCTCATGCCGGAGTGGCCAGCAGCCCTCCTTCCCCAGGCTCCGCTCCCAGCCTCATGCCGGAGTGGCCAGCCGCCCTCCTTCCCCAGGCTCCGCTCCCAGCCTCATGCCGGAGTGGCCAGCAGCCCTCCTTCCCCAGGCTCCGCTCCCAGCCTCATGCCGGAGTGGCCAGCCGCCCTCCTTCCCCAGGCTCCGCTCCCAGCCTCATGCCGGAGTGGCCAGCCGCCCTCCTTCCCCAGGCTCCGCTCCCAGCCTCATGCCGGAGTGGCCAGCCGCCCTCCTTCCCCAGGCTCCGCTCCCAGCCTCATGCCGGAGTGGCCAGCTGCCCTCCTTCCCCAGGCAAGACTGAGCTCTGCGTTGTTTCTGGCTGGGGCTGAAATGGGAATACCCACTGAGACTGCATGAGACCCAGGTCTGCTCTGGGATGGCCGGGTCCCTCTCCAGCATCGGGGACTCAGGCCAGCCATGTGCGTGGCTGCCGCTGGGGATGACGTGAGACCCAGGCCCGCCCTGGGATGGCCAAGTCTGTTCCACTGACTCAGCATCAGGGAGTCTCCTTTCTTAGTTCTCCAAGCACCGCCCACACCCCAAGTCCTGAGTGTGTGCACTGGGATCCTTGGGTTCCCCCCCACGTGCCCTCTGCACTGTTCCAGTGGCCTCTGCTGGCCCACTTGGGGGCATCATCTGATGTCAATCCACATGGTTGTACGCCAAGGTCTACCTTGCATTTCTGTTCCCTCCTCATGGAACGCTGGCAGTCACACACGTGGCAGCCCCTTCTGTTGCATCCCTCCTTCTAGTGACAGAGCCCAGCCCCCGTCAGCTGTGTCCCCGCTGCCCTGGAGCGCACCCATTCCTTCACTCTTGCCAGTCACAGGATATGTAAATAATGTCATGTGCGTATAGTATTAGCTCTGCCTTCTCAAAGCTGTCAGTCAGCTGTTTGAAATTCTGGGGCAGGGTCCCTGCTCTCGCCCGTGCTGTGGTGTGGGAGCCGCATTGGGGTCCTGCTGGGCTCCACTCCCCTCAGAGGCCCGCAGTGATTGGGGGAGCAGTAGGCGACATGATGCAGCCGGGGACCCAGGGACCCCCCTCTGTGTGGCCCAAGGGGGGCGCTGAGCTCCTTCTGCCTGTGGCACCTATGTTGGCTGAGGTCCTTGCCGAGGGTGGCAGCACTGCGGAGACCCAGGTGGCATCCCAGGTCCTCAGAGTGACTGCAAGATCAGATGCACTGAGGGGCGGGGATGCCCTGTCGTGGCTTTGTGCCCCGTGTCCCTGTTCAGCCCAAGCCCTCCATGCCCACCGCCCCCATAACTCCAGGATCCACCTCCCCCTGGACGCTGGAGTCCAGCAGAGGTGGATCTGCAGGCCAGGTATGGGTTCCTCTGACCATGCCCTCTCATGGGGGCACACATGTGTGCCTCTGGGCTCCACTCACTCTGCCCGCCATTCCCTGCTCCCAGGTCACTACCAGGGAGCAGGTCCTGCAGCAGCAGCTGGGGCGAAGCCTACAGGCCCAGGAGGCACAGCTGGACACCCTGCGGAAGGCCGTGCAGGACAAGGCCACCCTGGCCAAAGAGCAGGCAGCCCTGGCGCAGCTGGCGCAGCTGGCATCCGTGGAGGCTGCAGATCTCAGGTGTGGCATTCAGCAGGGGTGGGGGCAGGGGTGGTTGTTCCCAGGGCTTTGGGGGCTGGGGCGTGCCCAGGATGGAGGGAAGCACCCAGCAAGGCTGTAAGTATTTGTAGAGGTGTCCTCCCAGAACTGCAGACTCAGGGGAGCAGGGACTCTGAAACCTCCCTCCTGGGGCTTCCCCCAACCCTCATGGGGCACAGGGGCTCCGAGGACCAGGCAGAGGCCCTCCTGTCTACACCTGCTGCCCAGCACAAGGGTGGCCTGTCCTGCAGACCCCCGGTCCTAGCCTTGTTGGGAGCTCTGCCTGGCGTGCTGGCCGCCGCTCCTGCCCACATGCTCCCAGGAGCAACAACACCCAGCCTCAAGTGGCCACCAGTGTAGATGTGTCCCACACAGACCATGCCAGGGCACCCTGGGTGTGCCCGTGTCCCAACATGGAGGAGAGGACTCACCGGAACTAGAGAGAGCTGTCACTGGCTGGCTGCCCACAGTGGCCTCATCTGTGTTTCTCACAGGAACCAGAGGGAAGCACTGCAGAGCCAGCTCCTGGAGGCTGAACAGCAGGTGGCCCAGCTGGCAGGGGAGGCCCAGAGTGCCCGGCAGGACCGGCAGAGCCTGCAAGGTACCCTTGGCAGCCCCTCAGCCCAAGGTGCAGCTTAGTCTCCGGGGTGCGCAGGCACCTAGCCCCATCTCCCAGGGCTCTGTGCAGACTCGATGCACCACCACACCCTAAAGGGCTGGAGATCTGGGAAAACAGAGGGGCAGACCCTGTGTGGCCCCAAAGTGGAGGGAGACCTTGCCCCCTTGCTCTTCTGCCTGTGCTGCTAGCAGGTAGAGATGGAGGACTAGCAGAGTGGTGAGTCACTGTGTGCGTTGATTCACAATATGCTGTGTGTGTACTGACTATGTGTGCTGACTGACTGTGTGCTTTGTGCTGACTCATCATTCTTCCTAGTGGAGTTGGAACAGTCGAGAAGTGACTGGGAAGTCCAGGAGGCGGCACTGAAGTTGGAATTGGAGCGAATGAGGCAGCAGGTTGACCAGCGAGAGCGTGACAGACAGCTGGACATGCAGCGCCAAGCCTGGGTCGAGAGCGAAGAGCTGGCAAAGCTGAGGCAGCAGGTCAGCCATGCTGCGACACACCTGGACAGGTCAGCCATGCTGCGACACACCTGGACAGGTCAGCCACGCTGTGACACACCTGGACAGGTCAGCCACGCTGTGACACACCTGGACAGGTCAGCCATGCTGCGACACACCTGGACAGGTCAGCCACGCTGTGACACACCTGGACAGGTCAGCCACGCTGCGACACACCTGGACAGGTCAGCCACGCTGCGACACACCTGGACAGGTCAGCCACGCTGTGACACACCTGGACAGGTCAGCCACGCTGTGACACACCTGGACAGGTCAGCCACGCTGTGACACACCTGGAAACAGGTCAGCCACGCTGTGACACACCTGGACAGGTCAGCCACGCTGTGACACACCTGGACAGGTCAGCCACGCTGTGACACACCTGGACAGGTCAGCCACGCTGTGACACAGCTGGAAACAGGTCAGCCACGCTGTGACACAGCTGGACAGGTCAGCCACGCTGTGACACACCTGGACAGGTCAGCCACGCTGTGACACAGCTGGAAACAGGTCAGCCACGCTGTGACACAGTTGAGGCAGCAGGTCAGCCACGCTGTGACACACCTGGACAGGTCAGCCACGCTGTGACACAGCTGGAAACAGGTCAGCCACACTGTGACACAGCTGGGAACAGGTCAGCCACGCTGTGACACAGCTGAAGCAGCAGGTCAGCCACGCTGTGACACACCTGGACAGGTCAGCCACGCTGTGACACAGCTGGGAACAGGACAGCCACGCTGTGACACAGCTGGGAACAGGTCAGCCACGCTGTGACACAGCTGGGAACAGGTTAGCCATGCTGTGACACAGCTGGGAACATGTCAGCCACGCTGTGACACACCTGGACAGGTCAGCCACGCTGTGACACAGCTGGGAACAGGTCAGCCACGCTGTGACACAGCTGGAAACAGGTCAGCCACGCTGTGACACAGCTGGGAACAGGTCAGCCACGCTGTGACACAGCTGGGAACAGGTCAGCCACGCTGTGACACAGCTGAGGCAGCAGGTCAGCCACGCTGTGACACAGCTGGGAACAGGTCAGCCACGCTGTGACACAGCTGAGGCAGCAGGTCAGCCACGCTGTGACACAGCTGGGAACAGGTCAGCCACGCTGTGACACAGCTTGGAACAGGTCAGCCATGCTGTGACACAGCTGGGAACAGGTCAGCCACGCTGTGACACAGCTGGGAACAGGTCAGCCACGCTGTGACACAGCTGGGAACAGGTCAGCCACGCTGTGACACAGCTGGGAACAGGTCAGCCACGCTGTGACACACCTGGAAACAGGTCAGCCACGCTGTGACATACCTGGACAGGTCAGCCACGCTGTGACACAGCTGGGAACAGGTCAGCCACGCTGTGACACAGCTGGAAACAGGTCAGCCACGCTGTGACACAGCTGGGAACAGGTCAGCCACGCTGTGACACAGCTGGGAACAGGTCAGCCACGCTGTGACACACCTGGACAGGTCAGCCACGCTGTGACACAGCTGGGAACAGGTCAGCCACGCTGTGACACAGCTGAGGCAGCAGGTCAGCCACGCTGTGACACAGCTGGGAACAGGTCAGCCACGCTGTGACACAGCTTGGAACAGGTCAGCCACGCTGTGACACAGCTGGGAACAGGTCAGCCACGCTGTGACACACCTGGAAACAGGTCAGCCATGCTGTGACACAGCTGAGAACAGGTCAGCCACGCTGTGACACAGCTGGAAACAGGTCAGCCACACTGTGACACAGCTTGGAACAGGTCAGCCACGCTGTGACACAGCTGGAAACAGGTCAGCTACGCTGTGACACAGCTGGGAACAGGTCAGCCATGCTGTGACACAGCTGGACAGGTCAGCCACGCTGTGACACACCTGGACAGGTCAGCCACGCTGTGACACAGCTGGGAACAGGTCAGCCACGCTGTGACACAGCTGAAGCAGCAGGTCAGCCACGCTGTGACACACCTGGACAGGTCAGCCACGCTGTGACACAGCTGGGAACAGGTCAGCCACGCTGTGACACAGCTGGGAACAGGTCAGCCACGCTGTGACACAGCTGGGAACAGGTTAGCCACGCTGTGACACAGCTGGGAACATGTCAGCCACGCTGTGACACACCTGGACAGGTCAGCCACGCTGTGACACAGCTGGGAACATGTCAGCCACGCTGTGACACAGCTGGGAACAGGTCAGCCACGCTGTGACACAGCTGGGAACAGGTCAGCCACGCTGTGACACAGCTGGGAACAGGTTAGCCACGCTGTGACACAGCTGGGAACAGGTCAGCCACGCTGTGACACACCTGGACAGGTCAGCCACGCTGTGACACAGCTGGAAACAGGTCAGCCACGCTGTGACACACCTGGACAGGTCAGCCACGCTGTGACACAGCTGAGGCAGCAGGTCAGCCACGCTGTGACACAGCTGGAAACAGGTCAGCCATGCTGTGACACAGCTGGGAACAGGTCAGCCACGCTGTGACACAGCTGGGAACAGGTCAGCCACGCTGTGACACACCTGGAAACAGGTCAGCCACGCTGTGACACAGCTGGGAACAGGTCAGCCACGCTGTGACACAGCTGGGAACAGGTCAGCCACGCTGTGACACACCTGGAAACAGGTCAGCCACGCTGTGACATACCTGGACAGGTCAGCCACGCTGTGACACAGCTGGGAACAGGTCAGCCACACTGTGACACAGCTGGAAACAGGTCAGCCACGCTGTGACACAGCTGGGAACAGGTCAGCCACGCTGTGACACAGCTGGGAACAGGTCAGCCACGCTGTGACACACCTGGACAGGTCAGCCACGCTGTGACACAGCTGGGAACAGGTCAGCCACGCTGTGACACAGCTGGGAACAGGTCAGCCACGCTGTGACACACCTGGACAGGTCAGCCACGCTGTGACACAGCTGGGAACAGGTCAGCCACGCTGTGACACAGCTGGGAACAGGTCAGCCACGCTGTGACACAGCTGAGGCAGCAGGTCAGCCACGCTGTGACACAGCTGGGAACAGGTCAGCCACGCTGTGACACAGCTTGGAACAGGTCAGCCATGCTGTGACACACCTGGAAACAGGTCAGCCACGCTGTGACACAGCTGGAAACAGGTCAGCCACGCTGTGACACAGCTGGGAACAGGTCAGCCACGCTGTGACACAGCTGGAAACAGGTCAGCCACGCTGTGACACAGCTGGGAACAGGTCAGCCATGCTGTGACACAGCTGGAAACAGGTCAGCCACGCTGTGACACACCTGGAAACAGGTCAGCCACGCTGTGACACAGCTGGGAACAGGTCAGCCACGCTGTGACACAGCTGGGAACAGGTCAGCCACGCTGTGACACAGCTGGAAACAGGTCAGCCACGCTGTGACACACCTGGACAGGTCAGCCACGCTGTGACACACCTGGACAGGTCAGCCACGCTGTGACACAGCTGGGAACAGGTCAGCCACGCTGTGACACAGCTGGGAACAGGTCAGCCACGCTGTGACACACCTGGACAGGTCAGCCACGCTGTGACATACCTGGACAGGTCAGCCACGCTGTGACACAGCTGGGAACAGGTCAGCCACGCTGTGACACAGCTGGGAACAGGTCAGCCACACTGTGACACACCTGGACAGGTCAGCCACGCTGTGACACAGCTGGGAACAGGTCAGCCACGCTGTGACACAGCTGGGAACAGGTCAGCCACGCTGTGACACAGCTGAGGCAGCAGGTCAGCCACGCTGTGACACAGCTGGGAACAGGTCAGCCACGCTGTGACACAGCTGGAAACAGGTCAGCCATGCTGGACCCTGAACAGGTCAGCCACGCTGTGACACCTGGAACAGGTCAGCCATGCTGTGACACAGCTGGACAGGTCAGCCACGCTGTGCACAGCTGGACAGGTCAGCACGCTGTGACACGCTTGGAACAGGTCAGCCACGCTGTGACAGCTGAAACAGGTCAGCTACGCTGTGACACAGCTGGAACAGGTCAGCCATGCTGTGACACAGCTGGACAGGTCAGCCACGCTGTGACAACTGACAGGTCAGCCATGCTGTGACACAGCTGGGAACAGGTCAGCCACGCTGTGACACAGCTGGACAGGTCAGCCACGCTGTGACACAGCTGGAAACAGGTCAGCCACGCTGTGACACAGCTGGGAACAGGTCAGCCACGCTGTGACACAGCTGGACAGGTCAGCCACGCTGTGACATACCTGGACAGGTCAGCCACGCTGTGACACAGCTGGGAACAGGTCAGCCACGCTGTGACACACCTGGACAGGTCAGCCATGCTGTGACACAGCTGGGAACAGGTCAGCCACGCTGTGACACACCTGGACAGGTCAGCCATGCTGTGACACAGCTGGAAACAGGTCAGCCACGCTGTGACACAGCTGGGAACAGGTCAGCCACGCTGTGACACACCTGGACAGGTCAGCCATGCTGTGACACAGCTGGACAGGTCAGCCACGCTGTGACACAGCTGGGAACAGGTCAGCCACGCTGTGACACTCCTGGACAGGTCAGCCACGCTGTGACACAGCTGAGACCCTGGATCCCCTCTAGTCTCACTTGCTCTCTCTGGAATGAAAGGGCCAGCAGGTCACTGTACACTCAGGGCCAGTGATGACCCGGCACTACAGAATTACAGGGTACTCTCGGGCACTACACTCTGTGACATCCTGGCCTGTCCCTGCTGTGCCCAGTAGGCTCCAAGTCTGTGTGTGGCCAAGGAGGAGCTGGCAGCTCAGAGGACATCTCTGCAGGAGGTGACACGGGGGCAGTTTCACCAACCTTGCCCTGCTTACCCCGCCAGACCCTACTTCACCCAGCCTTGCCCAAGTTGTCCTGACCTGGCCTGCCTTGCCCTAACTCTCCCTGCCTGATCTCAACTGACCCAGATTCACCCCAACTCATATCACCCCACCCTGCTGCACTTCACCTTGTCCAGTTAACCTTGTCCAGCCTCACACTACCTCACACAGCTGTGCCCCGCTTCACCCCACATGGTCCAGCCTTGCCCCACTTCCCCCTACCTTACCGAGCCTCACCCCACTTCATCTCACCTCACCCAGACTTGCCCAGCCTCATCCCACTTCACCCAGCCTCACCATACCTCACCCATCCTTGCCCAGCTTCACTAGCCTCACCCCATCTCACCCAGCGTCACCCCACTTTGCCCCATCTCGCCCAGCCTCACCCCATCTCACCCAGCCTTGCCTCACCTCACCAGCCTTGCCCAACCTCACCCCACCTTACCTAGCCTCACCCCACCTTGTCCAGCTTCATCCCACCTCTCCCAGCTGCACTGCCATTGCCATGGCTGCGCCAGGCAGCCGCGGCCCTGGAGCGTCCACTCTATACAGGCACCCATCCAGTTCTCACCCACCACCACCGGTCCACTCACCACTTGTCTGTCCATCCCTATCACTAACACTAATGCCACCCATTCACCCAAGCACACGGCCTCTGCCCACATGCTTGGGTTGGAAGCCCTCATCTCTGGGCTGTGTGTCACCATGGTCAGTGGTCCCAAGGGAAGGCAAAGCAGGTGTCATGAGTGGGAAGGACAAGGGCCATGAGCAGGAGTGACCATGGACTTGCCCCAGCCCCCACCTACCCTACTAGCAACCCTGACTCCAGACAGTGCTGGTGGGGAGGGAAGGAGGTCGGCAGAGTCTTGCTGGGGTGGTAAAGGGGTCTTACTTGGCCAGGGTAGCCTGCGGACAGAGTGCACCCACCGGTCCCCTTCCCCCACCCACTCCAGCCCAGCAGGTGGCAGCACAGAGAATACCAGGATCCGGTCTGGGTTCCTTCCCTTCCCACAACTTCACCAAGAGATTGACCGTCCACCCTGTTAACCCCGCATGGTCAGGGAGCCCTCGACTGCCCAGTGCAGCCCAGGGATGGGCCAGTCCAGCACAGACATGGGGCAGACATGGAAGGGCAGCCCTGGGGGGAAGGCCTGACCCTGTCCCTGAGCCCACAGCTCTCTCACAAGTTCCCTCACCCTCCAGGATATCCAGACCCTATCCCTGAGGGAGGCCGAGAGGAGCCGGCTGAGCGAGCTGTCCAGAGCCACCTGGGAGCTGGAGCAGGCGCGGCACGAGGCCCAGGTGAGGGCTACCTCCCTGTATGGTTCCCACCTGCGCGGGCCTTGGACCCCCCGCTGTCTCCAGGGGACACAGGCCAGCTGTGAGCAGAGGAGCCCTACCTGCTTGGGACCCACAGTGGGAGATGGCGCCTGGGGATGCTGTGTTGACTGAGCAGAGGCAGGGAAAGGCCGCCCCCCCCCCGAGGGCCCCATTCCACCAGCTCGCTGGGGACCCCTCAGTGGGGGGCCTGTGTGGGGCAGCTGGGTGAGGTGTTGCTGGGAACCCTCTGAGCAGACAGAGGGTGGGGTGCACAAGGCTGGGAGTGGGCATCCTGCAGACTCTGGGGGTCAGAACCCCTCAACCCTGCCTGTGGGCCGCAGGGTCAGGTGAGGCTGCACCATACTCCTGCCTGGCCTTCCCCGGCCTCATTGCCCACCCTGAGCCCATCGGCCTGGCCCTCTGCTGCTCGCTGGCTCCTGCTCAGCTGGGAACACTCCACAGGGTTGGGCCAGTGACTGCGTCCGGGAACAGGCGCAGCTGTGGCTGGGCCAGGGCCGTGGGGGGCCGGCGCGTACTTGCCTGAAGGCCAGGCCACCCCCAGGGCCTAATGTTGCAATCAGGGTTATGGTCCTAGCTAGGGGCACCCCCGCAGAGCCTTCCCTAGAGGCCCTTCACCCCTACCCTGCCCTGGGCCAGGACCCAGGGGTAGGGGTGTGGCCCACCCAGCTGCTGCCTCGGCCTTGGGGACTCTCAACCCCACGCTTCTGGACCTGCCAGCCAGCTGTCTCTTTGGTGCTACTGGACTCACAAGTGGACTTGAAACCCATGAGGGACAGGCACGGGGCTGTGACCACCAAAGCAAGACCCTGGTGGGCGGGTGGCAGAGAGCCCTACCCCCTCCCAGTGTCGGGAAGAGCAGCCAGGGCACAGTACAGACGGGAGAGTCAAAACCCGTTTCTGATGGCGCCCCATCTGTGCCCCCCACACAGTCCTTGGCCACTGGGAGCCCCTCCTGTGCCCCACAGTGACCCTGCGCCCCAAGGACCAGGGTCAGGTGCCACGCAGCTGGGCTGGGCTGTCTTCATCCACTTTGAGTCCATGGGGGTCTCTGAAGGGTCGGTGCAGAGCAGGGAGGGGGTCCCCGGGCATGGAGGATGTGATTGTGGGAATGACCAAGGCCTAGCCTCTCGCATACACCAGCTTGCTGCTCCCAGACAGCTGCCAGAAGCACCACTGAGGAGCTGAGGGCCCTACGGACACAGCTCAGCAACACCATCTCCAACCAGCACCTGCAGGAGTTGGCTGAAGAGCGAGGTCGCCTGGGCAGAGAGGTGAGGGCCAGAGGGGGGCCTTACCATGGCCCGCTGCCCCTGGCTGGGACCAGGAGACACTGAGCCCACACCCGGGCTTTGCTTGTGGCATGTTCACGCTGCCAGGGAGGGACTCAGCGTGATGCAGAAGGGGACCTGCTGGGGGCTAGGCAGGGCTGGGCAGGATCCCAACACAGCCTCTTGCCAAGGAACACTCAGAGATAGTGCCCAGCTGGGTGCATCCAAAGAAGCTCCTCAGGGTCTTGAAGGGCCTTTCCAGCCCATCACAGGCGCCCTCTGGGGCATCAGCTGGGCCACTCTCTGAGGCTCCCCAAGATGGGCTGGGAAGTGCATCCACGTGGGAACTGCCTATGTGAGAGGTGCAGACTGCACAGGCTGGGATTCCAGGGTGGTGGGCCAAGCCTGGGACACCCCGAGCAGGGCCCAAGCCTGGGTGTCTCCAGGAAGCGGTACAGCAGTGGGGCTGTGGGGATGCAGCGGCCTCGCCATCTCGGGCTTGGTGCCAAGGTTAGCAGGCCAGCAGCTGGGCTGGCTAGCGCACAGCAGGCTGTAGCGCAGAAGGGCTGCACCCCAGCGCCCTGGGGGCCTCCAAGTGTGTGACTGAACTGACGGCTGTTTACATTGGCCCCAGGAGAAAGGCTGCTTTCTACCAGATGCCAGAGTCCACACAGGGCAGTGGGGCAGCGGGCAGGCGTGGGGCGGAGGATACAGCTGTGCTGGGCACAAGAAAGCAAGCTCAATCTCCTGAGAATTTGGGGTTCTTGGAAGTGGCACCCCAGGAGGAGAAAGAGGCCAGGAAAGAGCAGCAAGGACTAGAGGCACAGAGATGGGGGCAGGGCTGGGGCAGCAGAGCCCTCCTGGCGCCAGGCGGCCAGCGTCGCCATGGAAACTGCAGGCACTTCTCAGCCTTTAAACTGCAAGAATTTCCCAGCCTGAGAGTGTGACATCCACACATCTGCACACACGTGCACATGCCAACACTATAATGCATACCACACATGCATTACAGTGTACACATGACATGCACATGCCACATGCTCACATGCACTCAGTGTGCACTCCACACTCACATGCACTCAGTGTGGACACACACACTCACATGCACTCAGTGTGAACACACACTCACATGCACTCAGTGTGAACACACACTCACATGCACTCAGTGTGAACACACATTCACATGCACTCAGTGTGCACACACATGCACTCACTGTGCACACACACTCACATGCACTCACTGTGCACACACTCACATGCACTCACTGTGCACACACACACTCACATGCACTCAGTGTGAACACACATGCACTCAGTGTGCACACACACACTCACATGCACTCAGTGTGCACACACACATTCACATGCACTCAGTGTGCACACACACTCACATGCACTCAGTGTGCACACACACTCACATGCACTCACTGTGCACACACTCACATGCACTCAGTGTGCACACACACATTCACATGCACTCTGCACACACACTCACATGCACTCAGTGTGCACACACACTCACATGCACTCACTGTGCACACACTCACATGCACTCTGTGCACTCCACACACTCACATGCACTCAGTGTGCACACACGTGCACTCAGTGTGCACACACACACTCACATGCACTCACTGTGCACACACACTCACATGCACTCAGTGTGGACACACACTCACATGCACTCAGTGTGCACCCACACATCACATGCACTCACTGTGCACACACACACTCACATGCACTCACTGTGCATACACATGCACTCAGTGTGCACACACATGCACTCACTGTGCACACACACTCACATGCACTCACTGTGCACACACACACTCACATGCACTCAGTGTGCACTCCACACACTCACATGCACTCATTGTGCACACACACTCACATGCACTCACTGTGCACACACACTCACATGCACTCACTGTGCACACACACTCACATGCACTCATGTGCACCACACACTCACATGCACTCACTGTGCACACACACATTCACATGCACTCAGTGTGCACTCCACACACTCACATGCACTCAGTGTGCACTCCACACACTCACATGCACTCACTGTGCACACACATGCACTCACTGTGCACACACACTCACATGCACTCACTGTGCACACACACTCACATGCACTCAGTGTGCACACACACTCACATGCACTCAGTGTGCACTCCACACACTCACATGCACTCACTGTGCACTCCACACACTCACATGCACTCACTGTGCATACACATGCACTCAGTGTGCACACACATGCACTCACTGTGCACACACACTCACATGCACTCAGTGTGCACACACACTCACATGCACTCAGTGTGCACTCCACACACTCACTGTGCACACACACTCACATGCACTCACTGTGCACTCCACACACTCACATGCACTCACTGTGCACACACACTCACATGCACTCAGTGTGCACTCCACACACTCACATGCACTCACTGTGCACACACACACTCACATGCACTCAGTGTGCACTCCACACACTCACATGCACTCACTGTGCACACACACTCACATGCACTCACGTGTGCACTCCACACACTCACATGCACTCACTGTGCACACACACTCACATGCACTCACTGTGCACACACACTCACATGCACTCAGTGTGCACTCCACACACTCACATGCACTCACTGTGCACACACACACTCACATGCACTCAGTGTGCACTCCACACACTCACATGCACTCATTGTGCACACACACTCACATGCACTCAGTGTGCACTCCACACACTCACATGCACTCAGTGTGCACACACATGCACTCAGTGTGCACACACACACACTCACATGCACTCACTGTACACACACTCACATGCACTCACTGTGCACACACACTCACATGCACTCACTGTGCACTCCACACACTCACATGCACTCACTGTGCACACACACTCACATGCACTCACTGTGCACACACACTCACATGCACTCAGTGTGCACACACACACTCACATGCACTCAGTGTGGACATGCACTCACATGCACTCAGTGTGAACACACACTCACATGCACTCAGTGTGAACACACATTCACATGCACTCAGTGTGCACTCCACACACTCACATGCACTCAGTGTGCACACACACACACTCACATGCACTCACTGTACACACACTCACATGCACTCACTGTGCACACACACTCACATGCACTCACTGTGCACTCCACACACACACATGCACTCACTGTGCACACACACTCACATGCACTCACTGTGCACTCCACACACTCACATGCACTCAGTGTGGACACACACATGCACTCAGTGTGCACTCCACACACTCACATGCACTCACTGTGCACACACACTCACATGCACTCAGTGTGCACTCCACACACTCACATGCACTCACTGTGCATACACATGCACTCACTGTGCACACACACTCACATGCACTCAGTGTGGACACACACTCACATGCACTCAGTGTGCACTCCACACACTCACATGCACTCAGTGTGCACTCCACACACTCACATGCACTCAGTGTGCACACACACATTCACATGCACTCTGCACACACACTCACATGCACTCACTGTGCACACACACTCACATGCACTCAGTGTGCACTCCACACACTCACATGCACTCAGTGTGCACACACACATGCACTCAGTGTGCACACACTCACATGCACTCACTGTGCACACACACACTCACATGCACTCAGTGTGCACTCCACACACTCACATGCACTCACTGTGCACACACACTCACATGCACTCAGTGTGCACACACACACTCACATGCACTCAGTGTGCACACACACTCACATGCACTCAGTGTGCACACACACACTCACATGCACTCACTGTGCACACACACTCACATGCACTCACTGTGCACTCCACACACTCACATGCACTCACTGTGCACACACACTCACATGCACTCAGTGTGCACTCCACACACTCACATGCACTCACTGTGCACACACACTCACATGCACTCAGTGTGCACTCCACACACTCACATGCACTCAGTGTGCACACACACTCACATGCACTCAGTGTGCACACACACTCACATGCACTCACTGTGCACACACACTCACATGCACTCACTGTGCACTCCACACACTCACATGCACTCAGTGTGGACACACACATGCACTCAGTGTGCACTCCACACTCACATGCACTCAGTGTGCACTCCACACACTCACTCGCATGCACTCAGTGTGCACACACTCACATGCACTCAGTGTGCACTCCACACACTCACATGCACTCACTGTGCACTCCACACACTCACATGCACTCACTGTGCACACACACTCACATGCACTCAGTGTGCACACACACACTCACATGCACTCACTGTGCACTCCACACACTCACATGCACTCACTGTGCACACACACTCACATGCACTCAGTGTGCACTCCACACACTCACATGCACTCAGTGTGCACACACATGCACTCACTGTGCACACACACACTCACATGCACTCAGTGTGCACTCCACACACTCACATGCACTCAGTGTGCACACACACATTCACATGCACTCTGCACACACACTCACATGCACTCAGTGTGCACACACACATTCACATGCACTCTGCACACACACTCACATGCACTCAGTGTGCACACACACATTCACATGCACTCACTGTGCACACACTCACATGCACTCAGTGTGCACTCCACACACTCACATGCACTCACTGTGCACACACGTGCACTCACTGTGCACACACACACTCACATGCACTCACTGTGCACACACACTCACATGCACTCAGTGTGGACACACACTCACATGCACTCAGTGTGCACTCCACACACTCACATGCACTCACTGTGCACTCCACACACTCACATGCACTCACTGTGCATACACATGCACTCAGTGTGCACACACATGCACTCACTGTGCACACACACTCACATGCACTCAGTGTGCACACACACTCACATGCACTCAGTGTGCACTCCACACACTCACATGCACTCACTGTGCACACACACTCACATGCACTCACTGTGCACTCCACACACTCACATGCACTCACTGTGCACACACACTCACATGCACTCAGTGTGCACTCCACACACTCACATGCACTCACTGTGCACACACACACTCACATGCACTCAGTGTGCACTCCACACACTCACATGCACTCAGTGTGCACTCCACACACTCACATGCACTCACTGTGCATACACATGCACTCACTGTGCACACACACTCACATGCACTCACTGTGCACACACACTCACATGCACTCAGTGTGCACTCCACACACTCACATGCACTCACTGTGCACACACACTCACATGCACTCAGTGTGCACTCCACACACTCACATGCACTCACTGTGCACACACATGCACTCACTGGGCACACACACACTCACATGCACTCAGTGTGCACTCCACACACTCACATGCACTCAGTGTGCACACACACTCACATGCACTCAGTGTGCACTCCACACACTCACATGCACTCAGTGTGCACACACATGCACTCAGTGTGCACACACACACACTCACATGCACTCACTGTACACACACTCACATGCACTCACTGTGCACACACACTCACATGCACTCACTGTGCACTCCACACACTCACATGCACTCACTGTGCACACACACTCACATGCACTCACTGTGCACACACACTCACATGCACTCAGTGTGCACACACACACTCACATGCACTCAGTGTGGACATGCACTCACATGCACTCAGTGTGAACACACACTCACATGCACTCAGTGTGAACACACATTCACATGCACTCAGTGTGCACTCCACACACTCACATGCACTCAGTGTGCACACACACACACTGACATGCACTCACTGTACACACACTCACATGCACTCACTGTGCACACACACTCACATGCACTCACTGTGCACTCCACACACACACATGCACTCACTGTGCACACACACTCACATGCACTCACTGTGCACTCCACACACTCACATGCACTCAGTGTGGACACACACATGCACTCAGTGTGCACTCCACACACTCACATGCACTCACTGTGCACACACACTCACATGCACTCAGTGTGCACTCCACACACTCACATGCACTCACTGTGCATACACATGCACTCACTGTGCACACACACTCACATGCACTCAGTGTGGACACACACTCACATGCACTCAGTGTGCACTCCACACACTCACATGCACTCAGTGTGCACTCCACACACTCACATGCACTCAGTGTGCACACACACATTCACATGCACTCTGCACACACACTCACATGCACTCACTGTGCACACACACTCACATGCACTCAGTGTGCACTCCACACACTCACATGCACTCAGTGTGCACTCCACACACTCACATGCACTCACTGTGCACACACACTCACATGCACTCAGTGTGCACACACACACTCACATGCACTCAGTGTGCACACACACTCACATGCACTCAGTGTGCACACACACACTCACATGCACTCAGTGTGCACACACACTCACATGCACTCAGTGTGCACTCCACACACTCACATGCACTCACTGTGCACACACACTCACATGCACTCAGTGTGCACTCCACACACTCACATGCACTCACTGTGCACACACACTCACATGCACTCAGTGTGCACTCCACACACTCACATGCACTCAGTGTGCACACACACTCACATGCACTCAGTGTGCACACACACTCACATGCACTCACTGTGCACACACACTCACATGCACTCACTGTGCACTCCACACACTCACATGCACTCAGTGTGGACACACACATGCACTCAGTGTGCACTCCACACTCACATGCACTCAGTGTGCACTCCACACACTCACTCGCATGCACTCAGTGTGCACACACTCACATGCACTCAGTGTGCACTCCACACACTCACATGCACTCAGTGTGCACACACACACTCACATGCACTCACTGTGCACTCCACACACTCACATGCACTCACTGTGCACACACACTCACATGCACTCAGTGTGCACTCCACACACTCACATGCACTCAGTGTGCACACACATGCACTCACTGTGCACACACACTCACATGCACTCAGTGTGCACTCCACACACTCACATGCACTCATTGTGCACACACACTCACATGCACTCAGTGTGCACACACACATGCACTCAGTGTGCACTCCACACACTCACTCGCATGCACTCAGTGTGCACACACACACTCACATGCACTCAGTGTGCACACACTCACATGCACACTAATGTATATCATGCCTTCACTCATTTCACATACACCTTATACATGTGTACACACGGGTCTCTTACATGTGACACACAAACACACAGTATGCTCACACATCGCTGACACACACGTGCACACACATTGTCCCGACACACATGCACATCACATACACACACAGGTCAGCCCTGCAGCAATCTCCCCTTGTCCTCAGCCTGCTGCCACACAGAGTCCTGGGGCTCCCTCCCAGGCTGTTACACAACAGTTGGTGAAGAAATGATTCTCACAGTGGCGTCCGGTGACTTGGCTGTGAGATTCCTGGAGCAGGCGGAGCTACCCATGCCCGTAGGGAGCCCCCCTTCTCACCCCCACCATCCTGTTGACAGACGGGCCTTCCCCTGGCCTTGACCTTCCGGCAGGATTTCTGCTGAGCTCAGCGGAAAACACTCCCATATGTTGGGGGTGGGGGAGCCCTTCCCAAAAACAGAGCAACAGTAACAGCGGGTGGACCCTGGAACCAGGCCGGCCTGGGGCCTGGACAGCAACCCGGGCACATAGCCAGCCCCAAGGGGTTTTCTTTGGCCAGCCCGTGGCCTGACACTGCTGCACCCCCATGCCCCACCTCGGCACACCACATGCCCCCTTCCCTGCCCTCATCTCAGCATGCTTCTGCCCTTCCTCTAATCCCCCGCATGCCCTCCCACCCCCTCCATCTCAGCACACTCCTGCATCCCCCAGCATACCTCCACCCTCTCCACCCTCTTCACCCCTGCACTCCCTCCCACTCCCCCTCCATCTCAGCATGCCTCGTACCCCCTCCCCCACCATGCCTCCTCTCCCAGTGTCCCCCAGCACACCCCTCCGGCTGCCTCGCCTCACCCCCAGGGACCCAGCAGGGCCAGCACAGGCTAGGGAAGCAACAGAGGCCAGGGCCCATCCCGCAAGCCCCCCAGGGCCTGGCTTACAGCCGGCCAGGCTGGAAATCGCCATCAGCCCCACTGTGGGTTTCAGGAGCCCAAGTGCTGGGAAGTGCCTGTGACCCAGGGCAGGAACTGCTGATGGCATCCAGGAGCCCTACCTGGGACTCACAGGGCCTCTTGTGACAGGCCAATTGCTTCCCTGCAGGTAAAGGTGACTGAGCTCCTGGGATGCCCACAGCTGTTCCCCAGCCAAATGCAGTGACTGGGGAGCCACGCACTGCCCAGGGGTCCGGTGCAGGGACAGCTGGAAGAGCAGTAGGCAGTGGCTGCTGGCTGGGGGTGGGGACAGACCAGGCCGTGTCCTGTGGTGGTCAGGGTGGAGACTGGCTGGGACCTGAGCCTGGCCCTCTGTCCCTGGAGGCCTGTGGACCACCCTGGGCCTCTTCCCCCTACACCACGCCATCCTGCAGGCCGAGGCACTGAGGGCACAGCTGCGTGCAGCCCAGGAAGGGCTCCTGCGGAGCCGGGAGGAGAGCCGGGAGGAACTCCGCAGGGCGCTCGACGCCGGGGCCTGCGAGAGGGACGTGCTGCAGCGTTCCAACACTGAGCTGAGGGCCGCCCTGCGCCGGCTCACGCGCGAGCGGGCCAGGTACCAGCATCAAGGCCATGTGGGAGCCCCTGGAGAAGGCCAGGAAAACGCACCAGGCAGCTGGGAGACGGGCCTCACAGGTCCCTCAAGAGGGCAGGGAGTGTGGGGACAGAGGGAGGCCGAGGCCAGCGGTGGCCACTGCAAACAGCACAGCGCAGGGGCTGGATTTGAACGGAGGGAGGACCAGGCAGGGGGAGGTGGGGGCAGCCCACAGCTGTGTGATCTCCCTGGGCGGTGCTGGCCCTGGACTATCCGGTCATAGCCCGGGTACCCTCAGCTTTAAGCGCTCCGAAGAGGAGAAGGAGCTGAGGCTGCTGATTCTGAAGGAGGCTCGGGCAGCAGCACAGAGAGAGGCAGAGTGGCTGCGGGCACGGCTGCGTGGGCCAGACAGGGCCCAGGCGGACACTACCCTCAGGCGGGGGCTCAAGGAACTACACAGACAGGTGAGGGGAGCACCCACCCTGACCTCCAGGGGCCACCCAGGGCCCTGAGAATGAGACTGATGCTGCCCCCAGCACTTGGGCTGTGCTCAGCACCCATGGTCAGGAGGCCACTGCAAGCAAGGCTGCCAGGGAGGTGTGGGGCCCTTGCCCGGGCAGGCGTGTCTGGCAGCTGCAGTCCAGGCCTCTGCACACCTGTCTCCCAGGGCTTCCCACACACCTCGTAGTTTTCTGGGGCAGGTGGCGATGCCCAGTCCCCTCCTGCCCTCATCCTACCTCCATGCCAAGCTTGTGTGTCCATAGGGCAGCCAGTGGATCCCCTCCCCGGGCAGGATCATGTGGGTGGGTGTCCCAGGGGCATCCAGGAGCCAGGCACACCCTTAGCAACCCCGGGGGCGACCAGGCTGGAGCTGAGGAGGCTGCCAGGGTGCCGTGTCACCACAGCACTCCCAACACCCCCAGGTGAGGACGTTGGAGGCCGAGAGCCAGAGGAAGAGCTGGCAGGTGAGGCGGCTGTGGGTCCAAGGCATACAGGAGGCACGCAGGTGCTGGAGCTGTGGGGGTGGGTGGCTGTGCCCCAGGCCACTGCCAGGGTACCTGGGGTTGGGGGAGGGGTGTTGGGCTGAGGGCCACAGTGACCTCAAGAGGCAGGCCCTAACTAGGCCTGGAGTCCCAGGGTTCAAAGTTCAGGAGGGGGCTCCTGCCATGACTGCATGTGTGTCCCCATACCCTTTGCTCACAGCTGGGTGCAGCTGGGGGTGCCTTGGACCCTGCACAAGTGACAGTCCTCCAGGCCTGGCCATGATCACCTCTAGGGTCCCCAGTTCAGTCCCACCACCACCACTATGTCCAGAGGCCCCAGACCTCATCGCCCACCATCTCTGGGGCCTCCGTGGGGTCCTGGCACTCTTACCCCAGGCAGGAGAGGTAAGGCCCAACCCTGAGCATGCAGCCCCTCACTCCTGAGTCCTGGAGCTGGGCAAGGCTACAGCAGCTGACAGGATGGAGCTGGCCTGAGGTGGCTCCCCAGCAGGCCAGCCTTCTCAGGTCTGCCATGGGACGTGTACCCCCCCCCGCCCACCCTCATGCAGCTCAAGGTCCCCTCTTTAGTCAAACACAGGCAGGAGGCAGAGCCCAGGGGAGGCCCAGAGGATGGGCTTGGGACTGTGGGGACCTGGCCAGGCTGCAGTCTCCTGGGAGCCACCACCTCACCCCTGTGCAGGTCCTGGGGCTGCAGCACAGGCTGGCAGAGGTGGAGGCCACAGGGCAGGCCCGGGTGCGGCAACTGGAGCAGCAACTGCACCGCAGCCTGGGGACAGAGCCGCCCAGTGCCACGTGGCAGCTGCAGCCAGGTGGCAGTGTGGCCAAAGGCCTCCAGGCTGGCCACAGGGTCCACAGTGTGGAAAAGGCATTGGCCCAGGCCTTGGAGACCCAGAAAACCTGGCAGTGCTCCACACGATGCGGCAACCATTCAGCCGAGCCCACAAGAGGTCAGTGCCCTATGCATGGGGGCCCTGCAGGCAGAGGTGGCACAGGGAGCGGAGAGGCCCCATCCAGGTGCTGGCCGCCTCCTACAGATGCTGACAGCTCCCAGGCTCGAACATGGTCTCAGGCTGGCAGCTCCCACTTGGCCACGCCCGGCCCTGAGGTTGCAACCTTCGGGCAGGACACCCTGGGGGACGCGATGAAGGAGCTCCAGGAAGCCCAGCAGGAGCAGGTGAGCAGGGCCTGGGAGGGCACACTGCTGTCCCTCCCCCATCCACCCCGGGCCAGGGTCAATGCCAGCGACCCTTCAGAGCCCTGGTATACAACCCACCTGCCAGCACCTCCCTCCATGCCTGGCCTGCACACTGGATCCCTTGGCCAGCCCAGAGCCCACCTGCTCGGCCTGGAGTCACCCTGTGGCCACCAGAGACCCTGAGACTCGGCCTACACTGCCCTGATGACTTCAGTCCTTCTGCCCAGGCTGACACTCCTGGCCAGCTGACTAGCCTGGCTGGCCCGCTCAGGCAGGTGCAGAGCGACTGCATCCGAGCCCAAAACCTCCTGGGTCAGCTTCAGGGGGAACTGTCTGCGGTCCAGGAGGGTGAGCCCTGCCCTTGTACCAGCACCCGTGGGGCCCCACCCCATGGCCTTTGAGCTGGGGACGCAGGAGCCTCTCCCCACCCCACTACCACCATCAAGTGAAGTCACTGGGGCTTCACAGGGCAAGGGCATGGGGGGAGTCCCCAGCTGCATGTGCCCACAGCCCAGTGTCAGAAAGAAGGCAGCAGGCAGGAGTGACAAGGGATCGGCCAGGGGACAAAAGACCCAGTCTGAGGTCCTCAGACCTTGAGGGGCCCAAGCCCCCATCGCACAGATGAATAAACTGACATTGGCTCTCAGCTACCCTCGTGGAACCCACATGAGGTAGAAGGGGTCGGTGAGGATCCGGTCACCTCCAAGGAGCGCCCGCAGCCTCTCAGAATCCGGAGGACAGCCTGTGCTGCCGGGAGGATCTCCTGTGAGCGAGAGACCCCACGCAGGCCCACAAGCCAGCCCCCAGATGGTCTGGGCACGACATCAGCGGCATGGCAGAAAGCGAGCTCGGGGAGGCCAGGGTGAGACAGGGTGGGGGCTTCTGCTAGCAGGTGGATTGCATAGGCACAAGTGCCCCACACCTGGAGGGCACAGAGCATCCACCTCCCACACCTGGGGGGCACAGAGCTCCTGCCTCCCACACCTGGGGGGCACAGAGCACCCACCTCCCACACTTGGTGGGCACAACGCTCCCCCACCTGGAGGGCACAGCATGTCTACCTCCCCCGGCTGGAGAGCAGAGTGCTCCCACCTCCCGCTTGGGAAGACATGCTGAGCCCCACCTCCCACATGGGGCATCCGGTCTCCTATGAAGAGGCAGAGGGCCAGGCACCTGGGCTGTCACTACTGCCTCCCAGGCCACCAGCAGGGAGAGCTGGGGCTGGCCCTGGCACTTCCACATGGGAGGCCCATGGCTCCTGTGCCTGCTGGCTCCCAGAGCCTGCTCTTCACCTATATCCAGCATGGGATGAGCCCGCCCAGGCCCTGCGGCTCCAGCTTGCATCTCACCCACCTGCGTGTCTCTGGCTCCTTCCTAAGCTTGACCAACACTGCCTTCCCTCCTGCACTTTCTGGCCACACTGGCCTAGTTCAGGGTCCCCTCCACCTCCTGTTTGTTCCCTTCTGGGTGGTGACATGGTCTTCTGTGTCTTGTTCCAATTTCCAGTGTGAGCCATGACCATCCTGGGCTGTGCCAGAGGCCTGCAATGACCCAAGGAGCATCCAGTGTCCCACGAGGCAGGGTCCCTGGAGGGAGCCTGCTGCTCTGCCCTGGCCTCCACAGACCTCAGGACAGGCACTCGCTTCAATAAACAAGCGGAATAAGGTGGTTCTGGCTCACTCCTGGCCCTGTGTCCCACAGCCCCAGCCCTACCCTTGGCTCCTCCTCCGTGGCCATGACCCTCCTTTCTCCTCTGTGACTAAGCCCTCCTCCTGCGTGGCCGTGCCCCTCCTCCTGTGCAGCTGTGCCCCCCTTCCTCCACAGCTGTGTCCCTCCTCCTTTGCAGTCATGTCCCTCCTCCTGTGTGGCCGTGTCCCTCTTCTCCCGTGGCCATGCCCATCCTCCTGTGTGGCCATGCCCCTCCTGTGTGGCTGTGCCCCTCCCTCCTCCGTGGCCATGGCCCTCTCTCCTGCGTGGCCGTGTCCCTCCTCCTGTGTGGCCGTGTCCCTCTTCTCCCGTGGCTGTGCCCCTCCTGTGTGGCCATGCCCCTCCTCCCTGCTCTGTGACTATGTCCCTCCTGTGTGACCGTGCCTCTCCTCCTGCGTGGCCATGGCCCTCTTCCTCCAGGGCTGTGTTCCTCGCTTCATGCCTGTGTCCTGCCTAGTCTGCTGGGCTTGCAACCCCAGCTCTGACTCCGCCCCCTTCATGGCCACGTGGACTGCCCTCTCGTGGCCCCCAGAAGGGTGCTCAGGTTGCCAGAAACTTCTTGCCTCCATCATCTCAGACCCCAACCTCAGATGGTTGGCGAACTGCTCCCAGGACCCTCACTCCATCTCAGCCTGAGCCCTCCCAGCCCCTCGCAGCCCCTCGCAGCCCCTCCCAGCCCCTCCCAGCCCCTCCCAGCCTCCCCAGCCTCCCCAGCCTCCCCAGCCTCCCCAGCCTCCCCAGCCTCAGGGGCTGCCACACCAGATTCTTTTGCTCCCCATCTCTGTGCCTCCCCTGCCTGACTTGGGATTTGCTCAGTGCCTGAGGGATTCTCCAGAAGCCCAGCCCCCAGCCCTGAGACCCCACGCTGGGACACACACAGGCTGGGCAGGGAGGGGCCATTGGCCCAGGGGCTCCAGGCTGCTGGGGGTGGGACCAGCCTGGCCCCGGGCCACCTGGAGCGGCTGGCTGTGGCCGGGTCACTTGCAGGGCCCCCCTGGGCCGGGCTGGCGCCGAGCCGGCTCAGCCACACCGACCGCGGGTCCCAGAGCAAGCGCTGCTGTGACACAAGCCCCTTTCACGTTGCGTTCCTCTCCCTCCCACGGGCCTGAGTGTTTGCTGAGAGAAAGTTAATTAAGAACAGATTCCTCTAATTAAACGGCGGCAGAGCTGTGCAAACACACAGAGGCCTGTTTGAGAGCCGGGCCCTCTGTTGCCAGGGCGACCCACAGACCTGGAGGGGACAACACTAGGCCAGCCCTGAGCCAGGAAACAGCCCAGCACCAGCCCAACCAGGGCACCCTCAATGCCCCCACACTAGAGGCTGCCCAGGGCCAGGGGAGGGCCTGCGTCCTTGGCTTCCTGCCAGGCTGCTCCCTGCCTTCGCCCTGGCCCCAAACACCAACCGCCCTGTAGGAATGGCTTCACCTGGTCCCACAGAGCCCAGTAGCTTGCTGGGCCAAGGTGGGCATGGCCATGGGGCAGTGGTCAGCACATATGGACACCAGGGTCCCAGCCAGTCAATATGTGGGGTCAGGAGTCCAGGCAGTCAGCAGGTAGGGTCACCAAGGTCCAGGCAGTCAGCACATGGGGTCAGGAGTCCAGGTGGCCAGCACGTAGGGTCAAGGGTACAGGCGGTCAGCACATGGGGTCAGGAGTCCAGGCAGTCAGCAGGTAGGGTCACCAAGGTCCAGGCGGTCAGCACATGGGGTCAGGGGTCCAGGCGGTCAACACGTGGGGTCAGGAGTCCAGCCGCCAGCCCTCCGATGACCACATAGCTCTGACTGCTCATGTACAGTTCAGGCCACAGGAGGGAGCAGACACTGGACCCATGAAGTGGCTGTTACAGCAGGAAACCTTCCGGAAGGATCTAAGGCAGCTCTGACAACCTGAGCAACACACTCATCTCCATGACACTCACCTCCCTGACACACTCACTTCCATGACACTCACCTCCCTGTGTCACACACTAACCTTCATATGACACTCACCTCCCTGTGTCACTCACCTCCCTGTGTCACACACTCACCTCCCTGTGTCACACACACTCACCTCCCTGTGTCACACACTCACCTCCCTGTGTCACACACTCACCTCCCTGTGTCACACTCACGTCCCTGTGTCACACACTCACCTCCCTGTGTCACTCACCTCCCTGTGTCACTCACCTCCCTGTGTCACACTCACCTCCCTGTGTCACACACACACACCTCCCTGTGTCACTCACCTCCCTGTGTCACACACTAACCTTCATATGACATTCACCTCCCTGTGTCACTCACCTCCCTGTGTCACACACACTCACGTCCCTGTGTCACACACTCACCTCCCTGTGTCACTCACCTCCCTGTGTCACACACACACCTCCCTGTGTCACACACTCTCACCTCCCTGTGTCACTCACCTCCCTGTGTCACACTCACCTCCCTGTGTCACACACACACACCTCCCTGTGTCACTCACCTCCCTGTGTCACACACACTCACCTCCCTGTGTCACACACTCACCTCCCTGTGTCACACACACTCACCTCCCTGTGTCACACACTCACCTCCTTGTGTCACACACACTCACCTCCCTGTGCCACACACTAACCTTCATATGACACTCACCTCCCTGTGTCACTCACCTCCCTGTGTCACACACACTCACGTCCCTGTGTCACACACTCACCTCCCTGTGTCACTCACCTCCCTGTGTCACACACTCTCACCTCCCTGTGTCACTCACCTCCCTGTGTCACACTCACCTCCCTGTGTCACACACACACCTCCCTGTGTCACACACACTCACCTCCCTGTGTCACACACTCACCTCCCTGTGTCACACACACTCACCTCCCTGTGTCACGCACTCACCTCCCTGTGTCACACACACACCTCCCTGTGTCACACACACTAACCTTCATATGACACTCACCTCCCTGTGTCACACACTCACTTCCCTTGTCACACACACACACCTCCCTGTGTCACACACTCACCTCCCTGTCACACACACTCACCTCCCTGTCACACACACTCACGTCCCTTGTCACACACACTCACGTCCCTGTGTCACACACACTCACCTCCCTGTGTCACACACACCTCCCTGTGTCACACACACTAACCTTCATATGACACTCACCTCCCTGTGTCACACACTCACTTCCCTTGTCACACACACACACCTCCCTGTGTCACACACTCACCTCCCTGTCACACACACTCACGTCCCTTGTCACACACACTCACGTCCCTGTGTCACACACTCACCTCCCTGTGTCACACACTCACCTCCCTGTGTCACACACTCACTTCCCTTGTCACACACACTCACCTCCCTGTGTCACATACACACCTCCCTGTGTCACACACTCACCTCCTTGTGTCACACACACTCACCTCCCTGTGTCACATACACACCTCCCTGTGTCACACACTCACCTCCCTGTGTCACACACACCTCCCTGTGTCACACACACACCTCCCTGTGTCACACACACTCACCTCCCTGTGTCACACACTCACCTCCCTGTGTCACGCTCACCTCCCTGTGTCACTCACCTCCCTGTGTCACACTCACCTCCCTGTGTCACACACTCTCACCTCCCTGTGTCACGCTCACCTCCCTGTGTCACTCACCTCCCTGTGTCACACACCTGCCTGTGTCACACACACTCACCTCCCTGTCACACACACACCTCCTGGTCACACACACACACCTCCCTGTGTCACACACTCACCTCCCTGTGTCACTCACCTCCCTGTGTCACGCTCACCTCCCTGTGTCACACACACTCACCTCCCTGTGTCACACACTCACCTCCCTGTGTCACACACTCACCTCCCTGTCACACACTCACCTCCCTGTGTCACGCTCACCTCCCTGTGTCACTCACCTCCCTATGTCACACTCACCTCCCTGTGTCACACACACTCACCTCCCTGTGTCACACACTCACCTCCCTGTGTCACGCTCACCTCCCTGTGTCACTCACCTCCCTGTGTCACACACCTGCCGTGTTACACACACTCACCTCCCTGTCACACACACACCTCCCTGGTCACACACCTGTGTCACACACACTCACTTCCCTTGTCACACACACTCACGTCTCTGTGTCACACACACATACACACACCTCCTTGTGTCACACATACACACACTGGGGCTCTAACAAGGACGCCTGCCACGTCACCTGACACACATCTGCCAAGGGGCTCAGCTGGAGGTCCTCTGGCTAGTGGTGCCCTCTGAGTTCTAAGGATCTGGGGGTCCCTGGTCTGCCATGCACCCTGCTCCCCTGGTGAGGCCAAAGGCCCCCATGAAGCCTGCAGAGCAGCCCCCTTGTGTGCTGTCCCACACCTGGGGGTGGGTGCCCACCCTGCAGCTTGCCTGGGGGAGGGGTGCATGGCAGGCAAACACCAGCCAGTAGGAAGGGAGAGCAACTTTTCACAAGCCCCAGGGAGCAGCGGGGAGCCCCACAGCCACAGCCTTTTGTCACCATCTCAGGGGGAACTGCTGTGGCTGTGTGTTTATTTTGGATCCTGCTTTTCTCTGAAACCCACAGGACAGACCCCTGTTGTGGCCTCATCACTCCTCTCCTGCCCACTCCGTCCCTGAGCCCAGCAGGGTGGGTGAGGCTGACAACCGGGTTGGGGAGAAGGCCACAGGGTGGGGCCCGACCCCAGCCCATCTGCCTTCTCCCCCACTCCCCCAGCCTGTGTGTCAGGGGCCTTGGGGCAGCTCTGTAAGTTCTCTGGCCAGGACACTTTCAGGGTTGCTGGGGCTGGACTTGCCTGTACCTTGTGTCCACAGGGACAAGAGGAGCCAAGCAACCGTTATGCAGAAGCGGAATCCTGTGTGGCCCCCAAGGTTTCGCCCTCAGCTCCTTCCTGTCCTGCCCCGTAGTGGTAGGCGTGGCCATAAGGAGGTGAGGCTGACACAGGTGTCCCCTTGCCCGCCCCACACGCCATGAGGTAGCATCCAGCACCTGCCCATTTCAGGCTGCAAGGAAGCCCTGTGGGTCCAGGTGAGAGCTTGGGAGCTGCAGCCTTTGCTCTGCCCCTCATCAGTCAGGCACCCCTACAGGGTTCCAAACAAGGTGTCTGACACTGCCTCCCACTACAGCTACCTGGCCCTGTGGGCATCCTGGTCCACCCAGCAGCCCTGGCCACTGTCCAGCAGGCCTGAGGCCGGCACAGAGCAGGCAGCACCAACCAGAGGTGCCTCCAAGGAGAGTGAATCTCAGGGGACCCTCAAGGTCCCCAGGAATCAGGTCTGAGCAGAGGACTCAGGCAGGGGCCCTGCAAAGCATGCACTGGGCTCCATGTGTCCTCAGGGCACAGACTGGGCTCTGTGCTCCCTGGGAGAACCAGGCAGGCCGGCTTCTCTGCCTTGTGCACATGTCTGCCCCTCGGCCCCGTGGCCCTCCAGGAGGCTGAACCACAAGAAGGGAACATTGGCTTGGGGACCTCAGTGGGCAGGTGTGGGGTGAAGGGCTCCCTGCCTGAGCCAGGAACCAGACCCTGCACATGAGAGAGTCTGGTTTTGATAAATTAGGGTCGGCGCCGAAACAAAGACGCCTTGAGAGCCAGGGCCAGAGCCGAGCTGCTGGCCCAGCAGCACTTCCTGGCGTTTTTTAGTGCCGAGAGACCAAGTTTCTCTTTTGCCTGGGGAAGTGTGAGTGTGTGTACTTGTGTGTGCAGTGTGTACCTGTGTGTGCCTGTGTGTGCACGGTGTATTGTGCATTCATGTAACATGTACGCACCCGTGTTAACCCTGTGCTCTCTGGCACAGCAGGTCTGTGAAAGCCCCGGCTCACTACGGTGGTTCTGGGGACCAGGTTGGGGCTCTGGTGTGGCACAGGCCCTGCTGTGCCCCTCAGGGGTGGACCCAGCCCCCTGCAGTTCCTGCCTAGGCAGCCCTGCCCCATGCGCAGTTTGGAGCAACCTCAGCCAGACCCCCTGGTTCACAGTCCCGGTGGGAGCCTGCCCCGGGGAGGACAGGGTTGCCAAGTGGATGGCAGGGCAGCAGTGGGGCTGCCGCCTGTCCCCTTCCCCGTAACAACTGACCCAGGATGCAGAACCTGTCCTCGGGACCTTGTGCTGGCTGTGTTGAGGAGACTGTGAGGGACCCCAAGGCAAACTCAGGGCTTCTGCACCCACCCCTGTCTCAGGCCATGTGGACCCCCCACACCTCCTGCTGGCAGCCGACTGCCAGGATGTGTGTGCACATACATGCACGTGTGAGCATACATGAATACATATGTGTGTGCATTCATTGTATGAACTGTGTAAGTGCGTGCATGATGGCTGTGTGTGGGTGCCAACTGTGCGTGTATGTGCTGTGCATGTGGGTGTGTGTGGGTACCACGTGTGTGCATGTGGAGTCATCTGGCTGTGTGTGTGAGTGTGTGTGTGTATGTGTGTGTGTGTGTGTGTGAGTGTACCTGTACATGTGTGAGCCAAGGCAGCCAGGGGTCCCCCAGGTCGCCTGTGACTTCTTCCCTCTGCAGCCCCTCACACCTGGGGGTCTAGCAGGAGCCTGACTCCCACTCAGCTTCAGGGCACTCGGCAAGGCCAGTGAGGCAGCACGTGCTTCGTCCAGGAGCTGCTGCCTCGTCTCAGTCTCCCCGAGCCCTGCCTCAGGGCAGCAGTGCCTGTGTGGGGCTGGACCCCCGAAGTGGTGGCTCCTGGCGTCCCGTGCTGGTGGGCATAGGGTGTGCAGGTGTGCCCAACAGTCCAGGGCCAGAGCCTAGAAGGGCAGACGCTCTCCAGCACCCCCTCAGGGTTCCCGCCGGGAGAGGAGGAGGGCTGAGGTCCCTGGAGTCCAGGACATGCCACGGGGAGCCAGAGGTGTCTTTGGTAGATGCACAGGGCACTGCCAGGGTCAGGGATGGGAAAGGTGGGCCTAAGAGCTGCGATGGCCCCCACCTAGGGACACTGGCCCCAAACTGTCCATCACCCCAGGGTCTGCTTCCTGCCCCACCGCCTGCTGAGCCCGCACAGCTCCGGCCAGTCTCAGCCCTGACCACGGACAGCCATAGTGGACACAGTGGACTCCAGGGCCAGGTGGGGTCGTCCTGGGGGCTGGCCTCAGGCAGGGAGCAGAGCCACCCCCGCCCCAGCATGTGCTCCGGGGAGGGGAGCCTCGCCTGGCCGAACTTGGGGTCAGAAGCCCAGGGCCTCCCTGCGCCCCTCAACTCAGGGGCCCCGGTGGGAAGCACCGGGAGCGGGGGTCCCCACGGGCGGGCGCTTTAAGAGTCGCTGATTTGCATGGCACCGCCCCGGCCCGCCCCGGCCGGCCGAGTGACCGCCGGCCTGGGTATTTAAGACGCGGCCGGGCCGGGGGCGGGCCGGTCCCCGCAGCGCTCGCAGCCGGCGCTTCCTCCTCGGTGGAGCGGCTCCGCGAAGCCCCACGGACGGCGCGGCCAGGGCCCGCGACGCCCGCTCCGCCGGCCTCGCCCCGCCGCAGAGCCCGGCGATGCGGGGCGCTGCCGCCTGGGCGCTGCTGGTGGCCGCGGCCCTGGGGCTCGGGGCGCGCGGGGCGCGGGGCGCGGTGCCGTTGGCCGACTTCTTCCCGTTCGGCGCGGAGCGCGGCGACGCCCTCACCCCCAAGCAGGACGACGGCGGCTCCGGGCTGCGGCCGCTCTCCGCGCCCTTCCCGTTCTTCGGCGCCCAGCACTCGGGGCTCTACGTGAGTGGGGGGCGCGGGCGCGCGGGGGTGCACGGAGGGCGCTGCGCCCGGCACTGCCCGCCGTCCCGGCTCCGGCCGCGGCCGCCAGCCACTTGGCACCGCGGCGGCCAGGGGTGGACTGAGGACAGCGCTTCCTCCCGCCGCGGCCAAGGCCGGACAGCGTCCGGGCAGGCGGGCGGGCGGACGGGCGGGGCGGGCGGCGCAGACCCTCGCTGCGCGGGGCGGACTCCGCACCCCAGCTTTGCGCTCCCACGCCTGAGTCTGGAGGCTGCACTGGACCCTACAGGCAGGGCTTAGAGCTCCAGGCCCCCAAGGTGGCTCCCAGGCCAGACACTTGAGGGTGGTGCTGGCCGGTGGTCTCAGCTAGCAGTGGCAGGTGCAGCCGCCAGGACTCCTCCAGCCTCCACAGCCTCTCACCTTCAGTTCTGCATTGCATACCCCAGGTCTGCTCTGCCATCAGACCTATCACCCTGCCCCTCGGTCCCCGTGAGGCTCTGGGGTCGGGCCCGCCTCAGGGGCAACTTCTAGTGAACTATCAGGCTGTGCCCGGCAGAGGATGACAGATGCTGCCCTGGTGAGGACCCAGGGACAGCTCTGGACAGAGGTCACCAGGAGCGGTGTCCAGTTGTATCATTGTGCTGTAGGTGCATGCCCCCTTGCATTCCTGCGTCCTGCTTTGTCCCTGGGTGAGTGGGCAGTCACTAGGGCCACATGATGGGGGGGCATGGAGGGAGCCAAGCCATGGCCAGGTGAGCAGGCTGTACCTTTGCATCTTACACCTGCCAGGGATGCAGCCAGCAGATGCCTGCATCAAGCTCTGCCTGAGGACCTAGCCCTCTGCATGGCCCCCCACCTCGGGCCCAGAGTTGGGCTGAGCTGACCGGAGCGAGCGCACGGTTGCTAGCTGGACCCGCTAGAGGCTAGTACGCCCTAATGGCCTGGCTGTCACCACAAGGTGACTGGCTGAGATCTCGGCCAGGGCCCCTCCATGGATGTGGCCTTTTGTCCCTTCAAGAAGGGTGACTGTGCTAGCCCAGGAGCCCTGCTGTGGCCCTGGGGGCTATGGACTCCCTGTCTTGTCCCCATGCTGTGGTTGAGTAGGGGTGACAGGTGCGTGGCATCCCTGAGGGTTAGGATTCTGCCATGTCCCAGGCCTGGGCAGCAGGAGTGCTGGGCAGGGCGGAGCCCCTGGAAGGTACTGCCCTCAGTGGCTTCTTGTAGTGCTTTTTTTTTTTTTTAAAGATTTATTCTATTTTCATTACAAAGTCAGATACACAGAGAGGAGGAGAGACAGAGAGGAAGATCTTACGTCCGATGATTCATTTCTCAAGTGACCACAAGGCTGGTGCTGCACCGATCCAAAGCCAGGAGCCAGGAGCCAGAAACTTCCTCCAGGTCTCCCATGTGGGTGCAGGGTCCCAAGGCTTTGGGCCGTCCTCGACTGCTTTCCCAGGCCACGAGCAGGGAGCTGGATGGGAAGTGGAGCTGCCCGGACATGAACTGATGCCCATATGGAAATCTGGCGTGTTCAAGGCGAGGACTTTAGCTGTTAGGCCACGGCGTCAGGCCCTCCTTGAGGTTCTTGCTGGATCTGAGCAGGTGGTGGGAAGGCATGGGGTTCCCACAGGCAGGGGCGACCACAGCCCCGGCTTCCTGCTGGCTGGCAGACTGCGTGGTCTGCTCAGAGCCAGAGCTTGTCCCCCAGCTGGTCAGCTCTGAAGGATGTCTGCTGAGGCCAGAAACACCCATGGGGGTCCCCCTGCCCTGCCTTCTCACACTTGAGCAGGTGCAGCTTGCTGCCTGTCCTGCTGTGGCCTTGGCCAGGCGGGGCCCCCCGGTACCCCCTCCCTGCAGGTGCAGGCCTGGGTGGTCATGACCGAGAGGGCAGGGCAGGTGAGCAGGCCCGTGAGGGGACACTGAGTTCTGGACTCCTTGGACCCCATGTCCTTCTGCTTCCTGTCTGCTCTCCCTGGCCCACTCCTTACAGCTGCCGGTCTCATCCGTTGGGGCTGGTATCTCCCCCTCCTAGATACCCCCTGGGTCTGCCCAGTGGCCTCTGTACCCACTCTGAGCACAGGGCAGTGGGTGTCACCTTCTCCCCGTGCCCAGGGCCTTCCCGGCAGCCCCTGACATGGGAATGTGTGTGAGTCATAGGGGTGTACACATGGTCGCATGAGCATGTGTGTGGCTGCCACCCCCGGTTTCCTCCCTACCTCACACCCCATGTGCAGGGCACTGGGCACTCCAGGGTGCTGGGCCTCCCCCCAGCTCCCTCCCAGGGCGGACCCCTGCCAGTGTGCAGGCGCCACAGCCAGAGCTGGGGTCCTGTCCCCCAGCCACAGGAGGCTTCCAGCCCAGGGTGTGCAACCAGGGTCCTGGTCCCCCCAATGCAGGAAGCTCCTGGCTTAGGGTACGCGGTCAACATTCGGCCCTTCCTCTGAGGGTGAACAGGGAGGCCCGCACGGCTGCCCTTGGCAGGGATGTGCAGGGATGGGCCCGTTGCCTTGCTCTCCACAGCCTGTCTGGGCAGACAGGACCAGGCTGTGCTGGGAAAGGAGGGCTGAGGTGTGAGCTGCAGCCCCCTTGTCCAGCGTCATCTGCCCTGGCAGGGTGGGCTTTATCTCTGGCCCCTGAGCCCCTTCTGTCTGCCAGTTCCTTTCTACGCGGTGTTCCGGCCGCTTCCATCTGGCATGCATCATCAAGCTTGGACTGTACCCTGGCACACGTGTAGCCATTGCATTTCTTCACCATGTTTTCTTACTTCAGCTTTGGAAAAAAGACTTATTTATTTATTTATTTGAAAGCAGGGTGAGAGAGACAGATCTTCCATCTACTGGTTCATTCCCCAGCTGGTCACGACGGCTGACGTCCGGCCAGGTTGAAGCCAGGAGCCTGGGGATCAGTCTGGTCCCCAGCATGGGTGTGAGGTGTTGGGCTGTCCTCTGCTGCTTTCCCAGTGTGTGAGCAGGAGCTGGGCCAGCAGTGAAGCAGCCAGGTCCCCAGTGGGGGATGCCGGCATCACAAATGGTGGCTTGACCTGCTGACCATGGTGCTGGACCCTCCGGGTTTGCTGATCTCACGCAATCTCGTGGCTTAGCACCTGTGTTCATGTCCTGGTCATTGACTACACAAGGTTCAAATTATGCTTTAAGATTTTGGGCCTGACGTGGTAGCCTAGTAGCTAAATCCTTGCCTTGCATGCACCAGGATCCCATAGGGGTGCCGGTTCATGTCCCGGCTGCTCCACTTCCCATCCAGCTCCCTGCTTGTGGCCTGGGAAAGCAATCAAGGACGGCCCAAAGCCTTGGGATCCTGCACCCCAGTGGGAGACCTGGAATCGGCTCAGCTCTGGCTGTTGCGGCCGCTTGGGGCGTGAACCAGCACATGGAAGATCTTTCTGTCTGTCTTCCCTCCTCTCTATATCTGACTCTCCAATAAAAATAAAATCTTTTTAAAAAAATTATTCATTATTCGGTATTGATCCACATGTGATCCTCAATTAACAAGTGCAATGTCATGGTACTTGGACCAAACGTGGGCCTGCACGTGTTGGCGTGTCGCTGTGAGCCGTCAGCTCGTGTCATGCGTGTGCCACACGCATGCTGCTGTGTTTGCTCTGGTCTGTCCTGCTGGGCCTGCACGTGTTGCTGTATTTGCCCTTGAGTCATCGGTCACCAGCCACAGGGACTAGGCTGCAGACATTCTGCTGCACCTGCACGTCCCCCACCTGCTGGCCCACCCCGTTGCTCCAGGGGACCCCACCTCAGGGTCCTGCTGTTCTCCCAGCTCATGGCTGCCTCCTGCTCCATCCTCAGTTCCTCGTGGTCTCTGGCCAAGGTGCAGTGCCCGGGCTTCTGCCGTAATGACCCAGGCATTGGCAAGAGGGCTGCCCTGTGGCCTGCAGTCCCACTGCCAGCCTGACTTGGTCCTGCACAAGCTGTGCGGCCCTGCGTGTCTCTCATATTTATTCTGCCTGTGACAAGCTGACGCCTGCTGGGGTGTGCCTGGCACTGACCGCACGCCGGGCAGCTGAGTCAAGGCTGTGCGGTCCTGGGCAGTCTTCATGGGGGTCTCCTCGCTGCTCCTGTGAGGACCCCCTCCTGTGTTCTCTGTCTCTGGGGACCCCCTCCTGCTCTCTCCCTGTCGGTAACCCCTTCTCTGCTGGCTCTCCTCTGGCGGCTCTCCAGTGCTCTTCCCAGTCTGCCCTAGTCTCGGTTCTGTGTTGAAGTTCTCTCGACTCTTGCTCACATCTGCTTTCTGCAGACATTCTTGTGTGTGAGAAGCGGATTTGTCTCATTTATGACACTTGCCTTCAGATTGCTTCTTGGGGTGTGCACTGCGGCCATGTATGGTAGCTCTGTTGTGCACATGAGACTGTGTGATGGCTGTATTGGTGGACACGAGGCCACATGTGGCGGCTGTGCTGTGGTGGTGGACACGAGGCCATGTGTTGTGGTAGCTTGCTAGCACTGGGGACACAAAGCCACATGTGATGGCTGTGTCATGTGGCATGGCTCGGTACCCAGCCATCCAGGACATTCCCGGGACTGCCCCATGGCTCTGCTGTCCCTCCTGTGGGTGGTGTCTGGTGCCCCTGCAGCTGGGAGGGGAGCAGGAAGAAGTCTGTGACAACAGCATTTCCCAGGGCTTGTCCCCCTCTGCCCCCAACACAGAGGAGGTGGGGGAGATGCTGGAGCTGAGCTGGCCTGTTCTAGGTGGCGCCGCCTAGGGGAAGGGGGGAAGGGGTGCAGAGCCCTGGCCAGGGCAGGAAGCCAGGCTGGAGCCTGCCCCCCACCTCCCTCCATAGGCACCCGCTCTGAGCTTACCACAGCTTCCTCCTGCTCAGTTACACAGCCCAGGACGCTCCCCGGTCTCACCAGCTCTGCCATTCCCCATATGGGTGCTGGGGTCACAGCACATGGGCCAGCCTTCACTGCTTTCCCACGCCATACGCAGGGAGCTGGACGGAAAGTGGAGCAGCCGGACTTGGACCAACGCACACGTGGAATGCCAGTGTCACAAGCAGTGGCTTTAGCTACTACACCACAGTGCCAGCCAGCAAGTGTGTGTGTGTGTGTGTGTGTATGGTTTGTTTATTTTATTGGAAAGCCAGATACACAGAGAGGAAGAAAAACCGAGAGGGCTCTTCTGTCCACTGATTTACTCCTCAAGTGGCCAGGAGCTTCTTCTGGGTCTCCCATGAGGGTGCAGAGTCCCAAGGCTTTGAGCCATTCTCTACTGCTTTCTCAGGTGCATTGGTAGGGAGCTGGATGAGAAGTGGAGCAGCTGGGACACAAACTGACACCGATATGGGATCTTAGCACATCCAAGGTGAGGACTTTAGCCACTAGGCTACTGCACCAGGCCCATATATACTTTTTTAAAATATGAGAATGGGGCCCGGCGTGGTAGCCTAGCAGCTAAACCTTGCCTCGCATGCACCAGGATCTCATAGGGGCGCTGGAAGATGCTCCTGGCTTCAGATCCGCACAGCTCTGGCCATTGCGGCCACTTGTGGTAATCAACAGGCGGAAGATCTTGCTCTCTGTCTCTCCTCCTCTCTGTATATCTGACTTTGTAATATAAGCAAAATAATCTTTAAAAAAACAAAGACAAGAATCCCTGAGGGACAGCAGGCCCCTGGCGTGAGCTCAGGCTGTGGGAGCGGTCCCCTTTGTTAATGTAGCTGAGCCCTGCCACAGGCTGGGGAAGGACGTCCTTACATGTGAAGAGGGGGCATCTGTGGGTCCCTCCACTTCTCTGCATGTGGCGGCCCCACACGTCCCCTGACCCCAACTCACCACACACTGAGGCCCAACTCACAGAGCTGGGCAGCACAGGAGCGTCAGAGGGCGTGGCCGGGGAGGGTGCTGGTCAGGCACAGATCCTCGCTCACTCTCGCCCCACCAGACAAGGGGCAGGCAGAATTCCCACCTCAGGTTAGCGCCCCAGTGCCCCAAGCGGCACCAGGCCCTCAGCTCAGCTCCTCCACGTAGCGGCAGGTGAGCGTGGGTGAGGCGCCACTGTCGGCCACAGCTGTGCTGGCAGGCCGTGCAGTGGGAGCCAGGACTAGACCCAGGGCTTGCTCAAGTTCCATTACTACTCAGGGGGCATTGGGCTAATGGGGCAGTACTGGCCGTGGTCCCCGAGTCCTCTGTGTGGACAGTGTTGGCCGAGGTCCCCGAGTCCTCTGTGTGACAGTGCTGGCTGTGGTCACCATGTCCTCAGGTGTGGACAGTGCTGGCCAAGGTCCCCGAGTCCTCTGTGTGGCAGTGCTGGCCGAGGTCCCCGAGTCCTCTGTGTGGACAGTGTTGGCCGAGGTCCCCGAGTCCTCTGTGTGGACTCGTTGGCCGTGGTTCCTATGAGCTCACACACGTGGGATCCATCGGCTGAGACCTCTGTGAACGCTCAGGCATGGCTCACTGGCGATGGTTACTCTGTCCCCTGGGTCCCTCTGGGTGCTGGTCCTCTCTGTCATGCTTATTCCTCTGTGATGTGTCTGCTCCGCAGCCCACCTTAAAGACCAGTGCAGAAGTGGGGAGGCACCAACGTGCACCCAGCCCCCAGTACTGGCTCCAACAGCAGCAGGCAGCTGTGCCAATGGGCAGGCAGGCTGCGCTGTGCTGACAGTGCCCAGTGGGCAGGCTGCGCTGTGCTGACAGTGCCCGGTCGGCAGGCTGGGCTGTGCTGGCAGTGCCCGGTCGGCAGGCTGGGCTGTGCTGCTTGTGCTTGGCTGCTTGTGCTGTCAGCCTCCTCCCAGAGGCGTCCCGGCCTCCCACCTCCACCTGCCCGGCGCACAAGTCCCTAGTTTAGCCTGCTGTGCCCGGCCAGGCCTGCGCACGCCCTCGTCTGCTCAGGTGGCCCTTCATATGAGTCCCCGCTTACCCCTCGGGCCAGTTGGGTGTTGGGTTCTGCCTGGCCTCCTGAGCCCCTTGACCACACTGGGCCCGAGATCAGAGGCTGCTGGACAGGTGCAATGCCCCCAGCCTGAGGCCAGAACCCAGGCCTGGCTTCCCTTCACCCTGAGTCAGCCTACCTAGGGTGGGGCAGGGCTGGGGTCCCCTCTCAGGGGTGGGGGCTCTCTGGGTGCTGCCCTGCCCATCACTCACACATCTGCCCACAGGTAAACAATAATGGGATCATCTCCTTCCTGAAGGAGGTCTCACAGTTCACCCCTGTGGCCTTCCCCATCGCCAAGGACCGCTGCGTGGTGGCGGCCTTCTGGGCTGACGTGGACAACCGGCGTGCAGGCGACGTGTACTACCGGGAGGCCACAGACGCGGCCACACTGCGCAGGGCCACTGAGGCTGTCAGACGCTACTTCCCTGAACTCCACGACTTCACGGCCACCTGGGTCTTCGTGGCCACCTGGTACCGAGTGACCTTCTTCGGTGGGGGCTCTTCTTCCCCGGTGAGTGACGGGGCCAGGGCTTCACCTGCTGCCAGAGGGAGGCTGGACTCAGGCACAGACGTGCCTCAGCCAGGAGCACGGCTGGGGTGACGGGCCCCTGAGAGAGCAACTGCCAGGCCAAGCGGGGTCCCCATGTGATGGGAGTCGGGGTCCCCAAGTGACAAATGGTGGGGTCCACATGTGACAGATGGCAAGGTCCCCAAGTGACAAATGGTGGGGTCCCCAAGTGACAAATGGTGGGGTCCACATGTGACAGATGGCAAGGTCCCCAAGTGACAAATGGTGGGGTCCCCAGGTGATGGGAGTTGGGGTCCACATGTGACAGATGGCAAGGTCCCCACGTGACAAATGGTGGGGTCCCCATGTGATGGGAGTTGGGGTCCACGTGACAGATGGCAGGGTCCCTGTGTGACAAATGGTGGGGTCTCCATGTGATGGGAGTCGGGGTCCACATGTGACAGATGGCACGGTTCCTTGGGGAATGGCTCTACACTCAGAGGGCTTGCCTGGGAATTCCTCCCAGATGGTGGGTGGTTGAGCCCCTGGCCAGCCTGGCTTCACCCGGTCAGCTCCCTGCACTGGCGCCCTGGGAGGCAGCAGGGGGCACTCAGGGACTTAGGGTCCTGCGTGCCAGGCGCAGAGGAGACCCAGAAGGAGCTGTAGGCCCCTAGCTCCAGCCCAGCCCAGCATTCACTACCACAAACATCTGGGGAATGGAGCAGCAGGTGGAAGCTGAATCTCTCTCCCTTTTAGATGAAAAAGGAACAAAATTTCAGAATCATAACATGAAAATTGTTTCAGGCACCTTCTGGGTGGCAGGCTATGTCTTGGACTGGGGTCAGGGCCCTGGGCAGGTGTCTGGCATTTCCCAGGCAGATACACCTGCAGAGGGCAGGTGGGCAGCTGAGATCCCAGCCCCTCACGTCCTGCCTGGCCCTGCTGACTGCCCTGGCAGCCCTGTCTGCCTCAGGCGTGTGGCACAGCACGCCCAGCTGTCCTGTGAGTGAGACACATGGCTCCCGGAAGCTGCCCAGGGTCTGGGGGGCTGACTGGACCCTGCAGAGGCCTGTAGAGCACCTCCCCAAGACCCTGCCCTTGCAGGGAAGTCCCTGGCTGGCCACCTAGCCCGCGGAGCTGCCCCTTGCTGCTGAAGGGGCCACTCCTCCTTGGGGGCTGGGGCTGGGCAGGCTTCTCTGCAAGAGACGACAGCACAGCCTCCGACTGGCCTGTCTCAGCCTTCTGTGTGTCCTGGGATCACCCGAGGGGCTCTGCATCCTTCCCGTGGCCCCTGGCATGCCCAGTCACACACCCAGGGAGACCAGGAGACCCCAGCCCCGCCTCCCCCGGCCCCTCTCCTGATGCCCCTGCCACTGCTGTCTGGTCACTTCTCACAGCTGCTGTAATGTCACCCAGAGAAGCCCCCTTTCCCAGCAGGGAACAAGGTCTGCTTGCTGGGATGGGGTCACTCCCCCACACCCAGGGACAGAAGACTAGGCGACATCCTGAGCAAGTGCAGGGCCCTGGGGAGTGGCAGGGCCTTGGGGCTGGAGGCAGGGCCAGCCACACCCACCCCTCCCCCAGAGGCGGACACACTCCTCCTGGCCCTCCCCCGCAGGTGAACACCTTCCAGACCGTGCTTATTACGGACAGCAAGTTGTCCTTCACCATCTTCAACTACGAGTCCGTCACCTGGACCACTGGGACGCACGCCAGCAGCGGGGGGGACGCCAACGGCCTGGGGGGCATCGCGGCCCAGGTAGGCAGAGGCGGAGCTGCCACTGAGCAGGCCCCTGTGGCAGGCAGGAGTTCCCGCAGGAGACGCCCAGTGCCATGCAGAGGCAGGGCGTGCGCAGGTCACTGGCTGTCCCAACCAGGTGGTTCAGTGGGGTCCCTCCTGGCTGCGCCCCGCCCCGGGGGAGCTCCCTGCAGGATACCGCGGCTCTGCCCCAGGCCCCACACCCTGCCCTGGGCATGGAGGGAGTCCCTCCCCTCCCCACCCTGCGCTTCCAGGCTCGCTCCCTGCCAAGGGCTGTGGAAGGACACCCGCAGCCCCTCCGCTCTCTCCCCTCCCCAGGCCGGCTTCAACGCGGGTGACGGCCAGCGTTACTTCAACATCCCCGGCTCCCGCACAGCGGACATGGCGGAGGTGGAGACCACCACCAACGTGGGCGTGCCCGGGCGCTGGGCGTTCCGAATCGATGGGGCCCAGGTGCGCGTGGGGGGCTGCGGCCATACAAGTAAGATGCCAGAGGGGCACGCAGGGCACAGGGGGTGAGCATGGGGCTGCGGAACTGGGGGCGGGGACTCGCCACGCCTGTGTAGCCCAGGGCTGACCGGGACCACCTCTCTTCGAGGCGTGGGACCCTCAAACCTCGTCTTGGGTGGGGGTCGCAACCCCTTCCACCGCCTCTGCCCCTGACTGGGGCAGCGATGCCCTACGGCCTCCTGTGACCCCAGGACCCGGAGAGCCTGGACCTGTTCCCCGCCACTGCCAGGGTTGGCCCCTGGGGAAGGGGTGACCTTTGACAAACTCAGGGGGTCCTTCTGGCCCAGTGCTTATGAGCAGGTGTGGGGCATCTGGCTGGGGTGCCCACAGCTGCTGTGCACCTGTTGGGGAAGGGGGCGTGGGTGGGGCAGGGATGCAGGCAGGAGCTTTCTCACTCCAATCAGACCAGCCTGGGGCCCTGGGGAGACCAGCACGTGGTCTCCTTCCTGCCACAGGCTGCTTCTCTTCAACCCCAAGGCCCTGAGGAGTGAAGTGGGGAGAAGGGGCTGTAGATGGGAGCCCACCGGGGTCAGGGACCAGAGACACCTGCTGGGCAGCCGCCCACGCCCCACTGCACGTGAGCTCCCTGTGGTGGTGGGCTAGGGCAGAGGGGTACGGGGACCTGAAGCCACCAGCCCATCCCTCACACCTAAACCACCGCTCCAGGTCTGCAGGGCCACCCGGCCTCCCCACCTGCCAGTGGCCCTGGCTCACTCTGTGGTTGAGGAGTGAGGTGCAGGCAGGGAGGGCAGCCCTCGCCCCATCAGGGGCTGCAGCTGGGAGCCTAGAGCCCTTAGGGAAGGGCTCAGCGGGCCCTGGCTCCATCCCAAATCCTGAGAGGAGGAGCGGGGGCACCGTGTATAGCCGGCCCTGACCCCCATCCCAAGTCCTGGGGGGCACCATGTGTAGCCAGCCATGACCCCCATCCCAGGTCCTGGGGGTGGTCACTTCATGTAGTTGGCCCTGACCCCCACATGGGCTTGCGGAGGCTCTAAAGCAGGTGTTGCTGGGGTGGAGACCCAGCCCGGAGTCCCTTCCGGGTTTCCACAGGAAGGGGAGGGCCAGCCCCCAGGAAGTCAGGGTACAGGAGTGCAAAGCCTCAGGAAGTGGAGGGGCAGGTACTCCGCGCAGGCACTGACAGCTGGCTGGTGGACAGCCTTTCATTTTATACACGACGGACAGGAGAATGCATTTCTAGAGCTGCTTGTGGCGGAGACCGTCCGGGCGCCTCTCTTGAAGTCCATGCAGTCATTTCATCTGGCCTTACCAAGGTCCATTAAGTCTGGAGCAGGCTGCTTTGCTTGTGAGATTTGTTTTACATATTTGAGGGAGAGATAGAAAGAGTTTCCATCTGCTATTTCAAGCAGCTAAATTGATAGCTCTGTAAGGTCCATGAAGGATGTTAACCCAGGGCGCTTGGCCAAACCAGGATTCCCCGCCACCAGTTAAAGGAACAGGGTAGTGCTGTGGGTGCCTGTGACTGGGGACTCCTCCCTGGAGGGCCGGGGCAGGGAGCATCCCTGCAGGCTCTTCTGCGGAGCCTGGGGAAAGTGTGCGTCTCTGGGTTCCTTCCTGTCTGCAGCCTCCGTGTGCCTGGCCCTGCGCCCCTGCCTCAATGGCGGCAAGTGCATTGATGACTGTGTCACAGGCAATCCCTCCTACACTTGCTCCTGCCTGGCAGGCTTCACGGGCAGGAGGTGCCATCTGGGTGAGTGGCCGGCCGGGGTGCTGAGACAGGGCCGTGAGGACTGCGGAAGCAGCTGGTGCTTGGTGGGCAGGGCTGGGGGCCTACATCCAGGACCGGGGTGCTGAGGGGCAGAGCGGGCAGGGCTGGGGGGCAGAGCGGGCAGGGCTGGGGCCTGTGTCCAGGGCCCAGGGGCTCAGCTGTTCCCCACCTCCTCCGGAGCCCATGGCAGACCGCCTATTTCAGATGTGGACGAGTGTGCTTCCCACCCATGTCAGAACGGCGGGACCTGTACCCACGGCGTTAATAGCTTCAGCTGTGAGTGCCCAGCTGGCTTCAGGGGGCTCACCTGTGAAACAGGTAAGAGGCCCACATTGGGCCCCCATGGCATAGCTGGTGAGGGTGAGAGCAAGGGAATTGCTGTTTGCCTGTGCCGCACAGGACCCATTCATGTGGGTGGGAAGAAGAAACCAGGCACCTGGACCAGGGAACAGGCTGGCACCCAGGTAGGGGCCTGCAGGGCTGGCGGGTGTCAGGTGCCACATCCCTTTGCTCCGACCTGCGCTGAGCCTCCCAACCCACACCCTCCCCCGCTCCACCTGTGTGCTTGTAGGCGCATCCCAGCTGTAGGCCATGCCCCCCTGAGAGCCACACTTGTGTACTCTCCTGTCCCAGCTGTAGGCACATGTTGATACATTTTGGAATCAGAGGCTGCAGAGCAGCCAGAGCTGGGACCTAGAACAGTGAATGTTAGAGGGGTCGTGTGCATGCCTGGTCAGAGCGTAGTTGGTCAGATGCAGGATCCGTGTGGTGTGGCCAGGACCCTGTGCAGTCTCCAGACACCTGAGCAGTGGCCAGGGGCCCTGCCCGCCCTCGGCTCCAGGCCCCAGGGCTCATTGTAGGCTTGGGCGTTCCAGGCCTGTTGTCCCCATGCTGGCCAGTCAAGGTGCCAGGAACCATGTCTGTGTCATGCTTATTCACCCGAACCCAGCTCTGTGAAGCCATTGTATCACACCAGGAGTCCATGACCTGCCCTTCCGCACCTGGACAGGAAGGGTGGGCTTAGGCACGCGTGTCTGGTTGCTCCAACCCCTCCCAAGCCCCCCACCCAGAGCTAACAGCCCGACAGGGGAACAGAGCAGATGGTGGCCAGTGTGTCACAGGCAGCGGTGGCTTAGTGGAGGAAAGTAGTAGTGGGAGGGAGCCAGCGACTGCAGACGTGTCCAGCATGCATTGGCAGAAGGACCCCTGATGTCTGCACATATGTCAGGGTACAATCCTGGGAGAAATGCAGTGAGGGCCGAACGAGTCGTGGCTGGCAGGATCAGCCTGTCTGTGCGTCTGGAAGCTTTGAGTGGAAGCAACTGCCAGCTGCCCGGTACAGGCTCCTGCTGCAGCCGCACAAAGGGATCTGTCCCAGGGTTCTCCATGTGACGGGAGGGACAGGGTCTCAGAGCACAGAGCCAACCCCCAGGCCTCCAGGCCTCCAGTCTCCACTTGTCTAAAAGCCCAGGTCTCCTGTCTGGGCCAGCATGCTGCCTCCATGCAGCATGGCCTGTGGAATGATCCTGAGGATGGCCTGAGGCCACCACCTGGACTGGGCAGAGTCCGGAGAGCCCACTGCCCCTTGGCCATGCCCAGAGGGGCCCAGTGTGGGGTTGAGCCCCTCTGCTGCCCTGGAAGACTTGGGGCCAGGAACCAACAGGCTAACACAGCCACGTCTGTGGTATGCTGGTCTCATGTGTGGCCTCAACCTGGAACCCCAACCTGGAACCCCTCAAGGGCTGCCTGAGCCCCACCAGCAGCTTAGCCCACCTCGTCCTCAGAGGGGAAAGAGGGGTCTCAGGACCCTGTCTTCTCCTTCCTGTGTCCCCAGGGCCACGGGTGTCCTGAAGTGAGTGGGTTGGGGAGGAGCTGCCAGCCAACCAATGATGTGGCTGCCAGGAAGTGGGCCATCCCCTCTACCGTATCCCAGGGCCAGGAGAGTCCTTGCCCACTCATTCTGGCTGGGTTGGGTCCCTGTGTCCAGGCCCTCCCTGCTGCAGACCCTCCTGTCTAAGGTAGAGGTCGGGGCCAGTCCTGGAGCCGCAGCCCTGCTCCTTACCCCAGCATCACAGCTCCACCCCGAGGCTGGCCTCCTCCCCAGTGCAGGTGCTGCTCTGGGTGGCTGCAGGGGGAGCTCAGGGTCCCGAGAGTCAGGTTGTTGCCTTCTACCTACAGCTTGGTCACCCTGTGAAGAGACCGAGTGCCAACACGGAGGCCGGTGCCAAGAGGAAGGAGGTTCTGCAGTTTGTGTGTGCCAGGCTGGGTACACAGGGGCTGTCTGCGAGACAGGTGAGCTACCCTGCTTGGCGGGTGGGGAGGGACTCCACAGGCCAGCTGGGTGCAAGCCCCTGCCTCTGCCACCCCAAGACATGGATGAGTGCAGCTCTGCCCCCTGCCTGAATGGAGGCTCCTGTGTGGACCTGGTGGGCAACTACAGCTGTGTGTGTGCTGAGCCCTTCGAGGGACCGCGCTGCGAGACAGGTACTACCATGCCCCAAAGGCCTCCCTGACCTCCCGCTGGCCACGGCGAGCTTGTGGGTACACACCGAGTGCAGCAGGGAGCCTCTAGGCCGAGCGGGGAGCCCATGGGCCATGCATCAAGCACAGTGGGGAGCCCATGGGTCACCCACCAAGCATAGCAGGGAGCCCGTGGGCCGAGCGCCGAGTGCAGGGAGCCCGTGGGCCGAGCGCCGAGTGCAGAGGAGCCAGGCTCCATGGTGCCATGACTGGTGTCCTCCAGCTCCTGCATACATGTGACGGGCAGTGCAGTGTCACACGTGTCAGCCGGAGCCCGCCTCCCACAGTGCAGCCTGCTAGAGCAAGTGCCAGCACGTTGCTCCCTGTGCAGATCCTTGCTGCAGTTAAGATACCAGAAAGGAAATTACACGTTGTCCCTAATAAAGCAGTTGGCCACTGCCTTGCAGCAGCCTGTGTCGAACAAGGCCAGGCATGCCTCACAGGCGGTTGTCCACACTGTTGGTCACTCACCTGAGACGGGAGCCACACAGAGGACATGTGCAAGGAGGCTACTTACAGGGCGTGAGCCATAAGATGCTCCGCAAGGAGCAGCCCTGAAGCTGGCCAGGAGCTGCTGGCCACAGCGCAAGGCCCATCGTCAGCTGCTTTCTCAGGCCACAGAAGAGAGCTAATGTGGAGTTGCTGGGACTCCGGCCGCGCCCCATGGAATGTCGGTGCTACAGTGCTGGCCCCATTTCAGGTTCCCTGGGCAGCACAGCGGAGCGGGGCACTCCTGGCAGGGAGCACATGTCAGCACAGAGAGGCTCTGGGGGAAGAGTGCTGGGACTGCATGCTCAGCCAGAGCTGGGCGAGCCCGGTCCATGCTCAGCTGGATGCTGGTGTGCAGCACGTGTGGGTCCCAGGTCTTTAATCACGCCCAAGAACACACAGACATGGCTGTCAGGAAGGCCAGACGTGAGCTAGAACAGAGGAGAGAAGTGGCAGCAGCGTCAGGGGCGACGGCGTCGGGGAGAGGAGCCTCAACCTCCTGCTGCAAGTCCATGCCAGCTAGATGAGGGGCAGCATCACCGAGGGCCTGCAGTCGGGGCAAGCGCCCAGGCCAGGGCCTGATGTCTAAGAAGGAAGCATGTGCCCAGCATGCAGGGTTTGGGGTGACAGGCACTAGCCTGTGGAGGAAGGTGGGAGAGCCGACAGCCACACTTTCATGTCCAAGCGCAAGCTGGGGAAAGCTGCAGGACCACAGCCTGGCCAGGCTGCTGTAAGCGCATCAAGAGCCACGAATGACAGGGTAGGACACCAACAGACACCAGAGGCAAGGGGGCCACCAGCTGGGGTGACCCCCCAGCCTCTAGGAGGCCCTGTTGTAGCAAGCCCTGCTGGAGCAGCGGGTCCTTGCTGGTCTGTGTGAGGGAGAGAAAATGCCAACAGCACCACTCAGGGGAGGTCATCCCTGGCCACAGGCCAGCCCTGACAAGGGGAGGAGGCTCGTGTCCCTTTCCGTCTCCATCCGTGCAGTCCGGAGAAAGCAGCAGTGTGTCATCGCACGGAGAGCACACAGAAGTAAGATGCGCTGTCAGCCACAGGACCCCCACGCAGCTTGACACTGCGCCATGGAGACGGCCTCCAGCAGACACCACAGGCAGGAACGGCCACAGCTGTGGCTGTGTCCTGGAAAAGTCTGTGGGCAGCAGGTGTGGGGATGCAGGGTTAAGGCACCCGCTGTTCTCAAGGCCACATCTCATACAAGAGCCAGTTTCCGGCTGCTCTGCTTCCCATCCAGCTCCTGCTCGTGGCCTGTGAGAGCAGCAGCAGAAGGCCACGTGCTGGGGCCCCTGCCCACGTGGGAGACTTGAGTGGAGTTCCAGATTCCTGGCTTCAGTCTGGCCCAGCCCTGGCCGTTGTGCCAACTGGGAACCAGCAGATGGAAGATCTCTCTTGTCTCTCCATCTCTTTAGGTAACTCTCCCTTTCATATAAACAACTTGTTTAAGAATGTGTTAAAAAGTAACAGGTTGTCAGGCCACAGTCAGGACAAGGCTGGAGAGCCTGTGGGATAGCCATCAGCCCGCTGGCCCCCACCAGTGCACCTGCGCACCTGGAAGGGGTGACCGCCTGGTGGTCACAGGTGGGGACTCCCCCGCCCTCCTGAGGCTGCGGGGACCTGAGCCAGGCCTCTGCTGCTCTGCAGCCTCCTTGCCCTGGAGCGTGCTAGGCTGTGCTTGCGCCCAGTGAAAGGTTGTGTTTTCTGACTGCCACACCCCAAGAGCAAACACCTGGAGCCTTCTAGACATCTCGCCAGTGGTGATGCTGCATCAAGACACACGGTGGCACCCCGAGGCTCCGGGCTGTAGAAGCTGCAGATCAGCTTCTGGACGCACAGTGTGGGACACACGTCCTGTAGCAGAAAACATGGGTGACAGCTCGCCTGCCCGCCATGGGAGCCCTGACCTCCATCCCCGTTCCCTATGCTCCGGGGGCCCTGCCATGCGAGCCCCAACACGCTGTGTGCCCTGTGGAATCCCTACCCACACTCTGGGCCCCTTTATACAGGAAGCCACCCAGTGCCGGATGCCTGCCTGTCCACCCCGTGCCAGAACGGGGGCACCTGTGTGGATGTGGAGCAAGGCTACATGTGCGAGTGCCCTGAAGGCTTCCTGGGCCTGCACTGCAGGGAAGGTGTGTGCGTGGGCAGCTGGCCGCGCACGTGGGCAGCACCGCACAGGGCTCCACCAACCTCTCTCTGGCAGGAACCCCTGACGAGTGTGAGTGCCGCAACGGAGGAAGGTGCCTGGGTGCCAATGCCACTCTCTGCCAGTGCCCCCCGGGCTTCTTTGGGCTCCTCTGTGAGTTTGGTAGGTGCTGTGAGAGCACCCTCATAGCCAGGGTGGGAATGGGCACATGTGGGAGGGGCACTAAGCTGGGATGACCAATGTAGTCACTGCTGTTTCTCACACACATTTCCCCAGGGCCTGCGGGTCACACACACACACACACACACACACACACACCTCCCCAGGGCCTGCGGGTCACACACACACACACACCCCTCCCCAGGGCCTGCGGGTGTCACACACACACACACCCCTCCCCAGGGCCTGCAGGTCTCACACACACACACACACACCCCTCCCCAGGGCCTGCAGGTCTCACACACACACACACACACCCCTCCCCAGGGCCTGCGGGTCACACACACACACACCTCCCCAGGCCCTGTGGGTGTCACACACACACACACAGACACATACACACCTCCCCAGGGCCTGTGGGTCACACACACACACACACACCTCCCCAGGCCCTGTGGGTGTCACACACACACACACACACACACACACACACACACACACACCCTCCCCAGGGCCTGCGGGTCACACACACACACACACCTCCCCAGGGCCTGCAGGTCACACACACACACACACATACCTTCCCCAGGGCATGCGGGTCTCTCTGTCTCACAGACACACACACCTACACACCTTCCCAGGGCCTGTGACTCACACAGACACACACACACACACACACACCTTCCCCCATGGCCTGTGGGTTCCAGATGCACAGTGCACACACAGCAGCTACTGTGTCCTTGCACCCACCTCAGGAGGGCCAGCCTGCTGAGTGACCCAGGAGTCCCTGACTGGGGCTCTGGGCTCCAGAGCTCCTCCACTGCCTAGGCTGAAGGTAGCAGGAATATGGACTCAGGAAGGCCCCTCCTCTCTCTCTAGAAGTCACGGCCACACCCTGCAACATGAACACACAGTGCCCGGATGGGGGCTACTGCATGGAGTACGGCGGGACCTACCTCTGTGTCTGCCACACGGACCACAATGTCAGCCACTGTGAGTAACAGGCTGGCCCACAGCCCAGCTGTCAGGGAGTGAGCACTCAGCCAGTATCCCTGCAGTTCCCCATGCCTTACCTGCAGGAGTGTGGAAAGGACTGTGACACACACCACATGGTGCCATCCAAAACCCCCCACACTACTAACCCAGGGTGAGGCCCCCACATGCTACCAACACACACTAACCCAGGGTGAGGCCCTCCCTGCACACACTAACCCAGGGTGAGGCCCTCCCTGCACACACTAACCCAGGATGTAGGGGCGGTCTCCACTCAGTGGGATGTCTCGGTCCTGCGGTGCTGCAGCTTGGGGGCACAAACCACCGGAGCAGCCCTTGGGAGTGACTGTGGAGCCTCCAGAGGCAGAGGCATCCTTTGCCCCAGTGAGGCACTCAGGTCTCCGTTTCTCTCAGCTGCCTTGGCGGTTTGTGTTGGCATGCAGTACTGGCTCCAGGCCCACCCTCTGCCCACAGCTCCGCCATCTCCCTGCGACTCAGATCCCTGCTTCAATGGAGGTTCCTGTGACGCCCACGAAGACTCCTACACGTGCGAATGCCCACGAGGGTTCCATGGCCGGCATTGCGAGAAAGGCAGGCAGGCACCTGCTGGGGAGGCCTGGACCGGGGGCAGGCAGGCAGGCAGGCCGCAGGCCCCTACTTCCTCTTGCCCCCTTCTGGCACCTCGCTTGGCCCCTCCCATGTTCACTTCTTGCCTGTGAGCAGGCCTCCTTCCCTCTCAGCATCTCTCCCGCATTGAACTGTTAATATGCATTCCCTCTGCTGCCATCGGGCCTGTTAGGCCAGAACCCCGCGGCCCTGGAGACCCCTGAGCCTTCTCCCTGGAGTGCATGCAGGCCTGGGGTCCTCTCGATGCCCACCAGCACTGTCCCCCTGTGCAGGCTGAAGCCGCACCCCAGCCTGCCATGTGCGATGCCAGGCCGGGCCCCAAGAAGGCATGGGCTGTGCGGGGCAGGAAGACACCCCTGCTCAGGCCCCTCTGTCCTCCCACGCAGCCCGGCCACACCTGTGCAGCTCGGGGCCCTGCCGGAACGGGGGCACATGTAAGGAGGCAGGCGGCCAGTACCAGTGCAGCTGCCCCTACCGTTTCACCGGGAGGCACTGTGAGATCGGTGGGCCCCCAGCACCCCAGGGAGGACCAGCCAGCCTGGCCCAAGCAGGGTGGGGCAGGTCCTGGCCATGACCCGAGCTCTGGGGCATCAGGGTGGGCTGTGGGCCATGACCCCTGACCTCGCTGAGTGCTTTGTGCTTCCAGGAAAACCGGACTCCTGTGCCTCTGGCCCTTGCCACAATGGTGGCACCTGCTTCCACTACATCGGCAAATACAAGTGTGACTGTCCCCCAGGCTTCTCCGGGCGGCACTGTGAGATAGGTAGAGTAGGCCAGAGGCAGGCCAGGGTCAGCCCAGGGGAGTTGGGTACGGACTTCCCTCTGCAGGTGGCTGGCAGGCCTGAAGGGGTAGGAGGTGGGGCCTGGAAGAGATTCAGCAACTGCAGCGACTTGTGTCTGCAGCCCCTTCCCCTTGTTTCCGGAGCCCGTGTGTGAATGGAGGCACCTGTGAGGACCTGGGCACAGACTTCTCCTGCCACTGCCGGGAGGGTTACACAGGACGCCGCTGCCAGGCAGGTATGTACCCCAGACAGCACCGGGGTGGGAGGCTGGCATCTGCTGTCTGCACAGGGTACAGTGACAGGCTGTGCCCTTGCAGAAGTGGACTGCGGCCCCCCTGGTGAGGTGAAGCATGCCACACTGCACCTCAACAGCACCCGGCTGGGCGCCGTGGCCCTGTACACCTGCAACCTTGGCTACAGTCCGAGCTCCGCCAGCCTGGCTCGTGTCTGCCAGCCGCAAGGCATTTGGAGTGAGCCTCCACACTGTCACGGTGATTCTGTGGGCCCCTGGGAAGGGGCGGGGCCTCAGCAGGTCTCCTGGGAAGGGGCGGGGCCACAGCAGGTCCCCTGGGAAGGGGCGGGGCCTCAGTAGGTCCCCTGGGAAGGGGCGGGGCCTCAGCAGGTCCCCTGGGAAGGGGCGGGGTCACAGCAGGTCTCCTTTGGTCTCCTGGGTGGCAGTGATGATGTTCCTTAGTGACTGGGCTGTGGGCACTTCTCTACCCTCAGAGTGACCCACAGTGCACCCTGTGGGTGAGGCAGCCATGGCAACAATGAGCCCAAAGGCAGGGTCCCGGCCAGGCAAGCCAGGCTCAGGGCCCCTCTTACGCTGGCCTTACCCAGACGTGCAGAATCAACTCAGAACATGGCCCTAAGTGGTGGCCCCGAGAGGATTTGCTCAGCACCCCCATCTGTGCCCTGTAGCAAGGCCTGACCCCATCTACCCAGAGCTTGGAACCTGATCCAGGGGGAGCTGCCATGAGCCAGAGGTGTTGTGAAACAAGGGCCAGCAGATGAATGCAGCAGGAATGAACAGGGCTGCAACTCCCACAGGCTCAGCCAAGCCCAGTGCAGCCGGGGAAGTGGAAGGAGCCTAGCTGAAATTCCATAGAGAATGGCCTGTCCTCGACTTCTGTCCTCAGCCTGGGCTGGCCTCTCCTCAATGCTCCTTTCCCTGGTAGGCTGTCGTAGACACAGGGGCCGCAGGGGTGTGAGCAAGGGGGAGCAAGTGACAGAGTCGGAGGGGGAGAGAGAGAGAGAACGGGAGGACAGCACCTCAGAGAGAGGTAGAACGGGAGGACAGCACCTCAGAGAGAGGTAGAACGGGAGGACAGCACCTCAGAGAGAGAGAGAATGGGAAGACAGCACCTCAGAGAGAGAGAGAGAGAACGGGAGGACAGCACCTCAGAGAGAGAGAGAGAGAATGGGAAGACAGCACCTCAGAGAGAGAGAGAGAACGGGAGGACAGCACCTCAGAGAGAGAGAGAGAGAATGGGAAGACAGCACCTCAGAGAGAGAGAGAGAGAGAGAATGGGAGGACAGCACCTCAGAGAGAGAGAGAGAGAATGGGAAGACAGCACCTCAGAGAGAGAGAGAGAGAGAGAGAGAACGGGAGGACAGCACCTCAGAGAGAGAGAGAGAACGGGAGGACAGCACCTCAGAGAGAGAGAGAGAACGGGAGCACAGCACCTCAGAGAGAGAGAGAGAGAACGGGAGCACAGCACCTCAGAGAGAGAGAGAGAGAATGGGAGGACAGCGCCTCAGAGAGAGAGAGAACGGAAGGACAGCACCTCAGAGAGAGAGAGAGAACGGGAGGACAGCGCCTCAGAGAGAGAGAGAACGGGAGGACAGCGCCTCAGAGAGAGAGAACGGGAGGACAGCACCTCAGAGAGAGAGAGAGAGAGAGAGAGAGAGAGAAAGAGAACGGGAGGATAGCGCCTCAGAGAGAGAGAGAGAACGGGAGGACAGCACCTCAGAGAGAGAGAGAGAGAGAGAACGGGAGGACAGCACCTCAGAGAGAGAGAGAGAACGGGAGGACAGCACCTCAGAGAGAGAGAGAGAGAGAACGGGAGGACAGCACCTCAGAGAGAGAGAGAGAGAGAATGGGAGGACAGCGCCTCAGAGAGAGAGAGAACGGGAGGACAGCACCTCAGAGAGAGAGAGAGAGAGAACGGGAGGACAGCGCCTCAGAGAGAGAGAGAACGGGAGGACAGCGCCTCAGAGAGAGAGAGAACGGGAGGACAGCACCTCAGAGAGAGAGAGAGAGAGAGAACGGGAGGATAGCGCCTCAGAGAGAGAGAGAGAACGGGAGGACAGCACCTCAGAGAGAGAGAGAGAGAGAACGGGAGGACAGCACCTCAGAGAGAGAGAGAGAACGGGAGGACAGCACCTCAGAGAGAGAGAGAGAGAGAACGGGAGGACAGCACCTCAGAGAGAGAGAGAACGGGAGGACAGCGCCTCAGAGAGAGAGAGAGAACGGGAGGACAGCACCTCAGAGAGAGAGAGAGAGAGAACGGGAGGACAGCGCCTCAGAGAGAGAGAGAGAACGGGAGGACAGCACCTCAGAGAGAGAGAGAGAGAACGGGAGGACAGCACCTCAGAGAGAGAGAGAACGGGAGGACAGCGCCTCAGAGAGAGAGAGAGAACGGGAGGACAGCACCTCAGAGAGAGAGAGAGAACGGGAGGACAGCACCTCAGAGAGAGAGAGAGAGAGAACGGGAGGACAGCACCTCAGAGAGAGAGAGAGAGAGAACGGGAGGACAGCACCTCAGAGAGAGAGAGAGAGAGAACAGGAGGACAGCACCTCAGAGAGAGAGAGAGAGAGAGAGAACGGGAGGACAGCACCTCAGAGAGAGACAGAGAGAGAACAGGAGGACAGCACCTCAGAGAGAGATAGAATTATGATAGAATACAAGCACACACGGACCTGACTTCTCAGGTAAACACTGTCAAGCCCATCATGGAACACAGTTTGTGCCCCGCTGAGAGACACTGCTGAGACACAAGGACACAGGCCTACAGATGTCCTGGGATTACCGGGTAACTCCACATCAAAACAAGCAGTTGTCACCGAGAGTGGCAGTCTGGCAGACGGGCGACGTGATCACCCAGGAGAGGGTGTCTCCATCTGCCAGCCAAACTGGAAACGTCGGCTCCAGCCTCGCTCTCTGGAACAGACCTATGTGGACAGGCAAGGAAGAGGCTGCCACAGTGGCCTCATATTGGAACAGCTCTCAGTTGACAGCAATTAAACAGCCCAAACAACATGGCTAATGCCACGAGTCAGCTCCTTCTCCAGGCACACAAAACGAGCCATCCCCGCCAAGAGGACATGCTGTAAAACTCACAGAGCTCCTCTATCCGTTGTTTAACTCTCCAGCTAGTCACCATGCCTGGGCCTGGGCCAGGCCCTAGCCAGAAAGTTAGTTTCATTCAGGTCTCCCACATGGGTACACGGGCCCAAGTTCTTGGGTCACCCTCCACTGCTTTTTCAGGCACATTAGCAGACTTGGCTCACAAGTGGAGCAGTCAGGACTCAAACCAGAACCCATATGGGCTGCTGGTGCCATGGACAGCAGCTTGCCCTATATGCCACGGCACCAGCCCCTAGATTTTTCTTTCAGAGGGAGAGAGAACTCCCACGCACTGACTCACAGTAAGGGCAGCTTACCCCAAAGCCCAGAGCAGAAACTCAGTCTGGGTGTGGGGCACCAAGTTCTTTGGTTGTCACCCCTTGATTCCAAGCCCTCTGCTGAGGGGATCCCCAGGGAGCTGTCAGCCCGGGGGCAGCCAGGGAAGCCCACACTGAGGGGGCCTGTGGAACCCCCTGCCGATTCGTAATCTGTGACCTCACTCGTGGGCCCAGGGAGACATTGTAGACACTGGGGATGTCTGAGCGGTCAGCGGTGGCCATGCTTCCTGGGGAGTCCACAGGCCTGATTGCCTGTGCTGGGAAAGAAAGGGTGACTCTGAAGACGGAAGGAGGGAGAAGGTCAGACACCACAGGAGAAAAGCAGCCAGAGTCTTTGCAATTAGCTTGTTCTAAAAACTGATGGAGACCCCCACGAGCCCAAGTGAGGACCTTTACAAGTGAAGGGTGTCATGGTGGGCGTAGCCGAACTCACAGGCCAGGGTGTGCCGCCAAGCACCCCCACAGCGGGGTCTGAGGCCTGGGGTGAGGAGGAGGGGCTGTTCCTAGGCGCTCACAGAAATAAAGAACAAGGATTTGTGGAAGCCGGAGCAGTAATTAGGACGGTTCTGTAAACAAGCACCAGCCCAATTTCATGGGGAAAAAACGCCCCCAGGTGAATGACGGCAGTCTTAATGACTGAGAAGGGATGGCGTGTCAGGAAGCAAAACTGGAAACCAGCGTCCTCGCGGACATGGAACCCAACAGGACAGCAAGAACTTGGGCCCTGCTGCACATCTCAGGAACACAGGTCGGTCTGACAACCCAGGCCAGCACTAGTGAGGGTGTCTGGATGCCCCGGGAACCGCCCATAGCCCCATGATTCTCAGACTTTTCATAAATGATGAGTGAGAGGCAGTTTCCTCCTGGCAAGGGGCATCCAGGAAGGCCCACTGTGGCCAGAGCAGACAGTGCCTCCCGTGCAGTCAGGACGAGGCTGGGGCATGCATCTTCCTCACGCTGGGCAGCCTGTCCTGAGGGCCTGGACAGGGAATGGCAGCAGCTTTGCGTGAAGCAAGAAGCCAGAGCATCCCTGTGCACGCACACCAGAGACCTCCCGGAGGCCAGGCCCCGGATGTCCGGCCAGACACTGAGAAGCTGCCCTGTCTCGATTCTAGCAGCGGACACAGAATGAGATGACACGAAGCAGCGCCATGTAGGGTGGATGTCTCAGTGGGTATGAGTAACTACATACAGAGATTAAACATCAAAGCTCAGACTGCAAATGAAAAGCAAGCACGTGGGAGAATGTGCCTGGCATCTCACCATGAACCAGTGAGTACAGGTGAATTCAAGGCATGCGAATATCAGCCTGACCTTGAGGGGGAAAAGATTCCTTAAGCCACAAAAAGCACTGCAGAAAAAAGAAATGGTCAAGTTTGTGCGAAAATCAGGAACTGAAAACTCATAAACCTTGAAAAGGAAAATGAAGAATGGGCTTGGCGCAGTAGCCTAGTAGCTAAAGTTCCCACCTTGCACATGCTGGGATCCCATATGGACACCGGTTCTAACCCTGGCAGCCCAGCTTCCTAACTAGCTCCTTGATTGTGGCCTGGGAAAGCAGCTGAGGATGACCCAAAGCCTTTGAACCCTGCACCCGCATGGGAGACCCAGAAGAAGCTCCGGGCTCCTGGTTTCGGATTGGCACAGCTGGCCGGACCTGGGCAGTCCTTACTGAACTGAGGGCCTCTGCTGTGGGACTGCTCACCGCTTCCCTACCCATGAGTCGGCCACCCATATAACAATCCATGTCCCACAGATCCACTTCCTGCTGAGCCGACCACTGTGTGATACTGTGTCCCACAATTCCACTTCCTGCTGAGCCGACCACCGTGTAATAACCCGTGTGCCACAATTCCACTTCCTGCTGAGCCTAACACCATGTAATAACCCATGTCCCACAAATCCACTTCCTGCTGAGCCGACCACCGTGTAATAACCACACCCTTACATTTAATTCCTACTGAGCTGACCACTATATAGCAACCATGTCCCACAATTACAATTCTAGCAGAAATCTAAGGAAAGCACACAGTAGGAAAGGTGGGAGAACAAGTGCCCAGAGCAGCATTTCCTAGGATAGCGTAAATCCCAGCCTGGCCCCAGCACCCCGGAGCAGCAGGGCCGTGTGGCCTCTGTTCCCAAGGAGTGAGGCAGTGGGCACTTCACAGAGTGTCTGACAAACAACAGAAACAGCCGTGTGTGGTGTGGGCATCCGTGGGCAGGCGAGGGCACGGTCAGTTCCCCAGGTCCCAGCCCACTGACTCTTGTTGCTAAGTGTCCGAACGTCAGACGCTTCTGAAGCAAAGGTTTTACCCCAAGGTAGACCAGTTTCAATATGACTGCCAGGCCCTGGAACAGCTAGTGTGACTGGTGGGCCCCTTCTGCCAGACTTCAGGGGCCCCGGGAGCCAGTGTCGGCAGTGCCCACAGCACTTGCTGTGGGCGATGGTCATTCTGTGGCCACAGCCAGGCAGGGAGCCCGCAGGACCACAGCCCGGCTGGTTTCTGGCGGACGCCACAGCTGGGCACAGCTCACAGGTCCATCTGAGCTTGCCTTGTTGTTGACCTCCTCGCAGAAATCGATGAGTGCCAGTCCCAGCCATGCCTGCATGGGGGCTCCTGCCAGAACCATGGTGCCGGCTACCTGTGCCTCTGCAACAGAGGGTATGAGGGCGTCCACTGTGAACTGGGTAAGGTGACCCAGCCTACATGTGCCTGGGGGGCACTGGGGTCCCCTCGCAGGATGGGCATCTGTCCGGAATTTCCTGTGGGTTATCTTATCCGGAACCGAGAGCTCGGCAGACAAAAACAGGCCTGGCCTTAGATTCTGGCTCCTCGGTGGAGAAGGCGGGGTTGGAGAAAGGTGGTTCTAGCTTCTGCCCACTGGGCTGTGCAGCTGGCAGTGCTGTGCCCCCTTTGTAGGGCTCTGAATGAACCCCAGGCCAGAGGTGCTGGGGAACCTTCGGCAGGCACAAGAGCTAGGGAGTGGCTGAGGGGCTCTGCTGGCAGCAGTCACATGCCTGCCTTGAAGGGGCATGTGTCTGCTGTGCTATCCCCAGCCCTGAGCCAGCGACCCCCTTCCTGCAGACACTGATGAGTGTCGGGGTCAACCCTGCACAAACGGAGGCACCTGCAGGGACCTCCCTGGGGCCTTTGCCTGCCTGTGCCCCAAGGGCTTCACCGGTGTCTACTGTGAGTCAGGTAGGCTCCTCCAGCCCGGGCCACTCAGACATCAGAGGGCACCAGAGGGGCCTGTGTCCCTGGCTGGAGGAAGAGAGAGGGGGAGTCATACCCTGGTCCCTGCCCCTTGCTCCCCTCCTCCTACTGACTCCCCACTCTCTCTTGTTCTCCAGAGCTGGATGCCTGCGCCTGCAGCCCCTGCCAGCATGGAGGCCGCTGTGAGAACGGGGGTGGAGCCTACCTGTGCGTCTGCCCCGAGGGCTTCTTTGGTTACCACTGTGAGACAGGTAGGGGCACAGCCCACGGCCCCACAGCCTGCCCACATGCCAAGATCACGCTGCTCTCCCTGCTCCCAGGACACCATCCCCTGGGTGAGGTGAGGCCTGCCAACCACTGGCCCGTTACCCTCCACCTCCCGGCACCAGCTGACCATGGGGGTGGGCTGAGTGCTCCTGGGCTCAGGCCCACTACAGGGTGGTGGGAGCTCTGTGTCTCCTGCCGTACGAAGGGCTCGGGGGAGGCCTGGCTGAAGCTGAGCCTGGTGATGCCCATGCTCACTGCTGCCACTCCTCCCTCAGCAAGCGACCCCTGTTTCTCCAGCCCCTGCGGGGGCCGCGGCTACTGCCTGGCCAGCAACAGGTCCTACAGCTGCACCTGCAAAGTGGGCCACACGGGCAAGGACTGCGCCACGGGTGAGGCAGCTGCTCTCCCAGCCCCTTGCCTGAGAAGTGGGGAGGAGGAGTCTGGGGCCGAGGGACAGGCGGCAGGGCTCCACCCACAGCCACCAGCTGACCGAGCCCCTTCTTTTGAAGAGCTCTTCCCGCCGACGGCCCTCAAGGTGGAGCGGGTAGAGGAGAGTGGGGTCTCCATCTCCTGGAAGCCCCCTGAGGGTCCCATGGCCAGGCAGGTGCTGGACGGCTACGCAGTCACCTACGTCTCATCTGACGGCTCCTATCGCCGCACGGACTTTGTGCACGGCAGCCGCTCCACTCACCAGCTCCGGGCACTGGCTGCTGGCCGAACCTATAACATCTCCGTCTTCTCCGTGAAGCGAAATGCCAACAACAAGAACGACATCAGCCGGCCAGCCATGCTGCTCGCCCACACGCGTGAGTGTGGTCGCCCTTGTCTGAATCGCAGCTGGGAGGAGCCAGCCAGGGGAGGGGGCAAGGGCTGAGCAGCACCTGTCCCCAGGACCCCGCCCTGTGGAGGGCCTTGAGGTCACCAACGTGACAGCCAGTGCGATCTCGGTGCGGTGGGCTCTCCATCGCATCCACCACGCCACCGTCAGCAGGGTCCGCGTGTCCATCCGGCACCTCGAGACTCTTGAGGCCCAGACCATGGAGGCAGACAGAAGTGTGGAAAGGCTCACGTTTGGGTAAGGCGTGGCTTCACCTGGCTTCCCTTGTGGGGCATTGCTGGAGACCGTGGGGGTCCCAGGCCTGCCTCAGCACAGGTAGACACAGCCAAGGGGACAGTAACATGGCCAGCTGGGAAGCTGGATGGGGACAGGGACAGCCCTCCAGGGATCCCGCAGGATGGTCCCCACCCAGAGGTAGTTCTGAGTCCCACTGGGGGGGGGAGGGGAGGGGCGGGGAGGGGGAGAGCGGGAGGGGAGGGGCTGGGAGAGGAGGTGCTGGGGGAGAGCTGAGCCTCTTGTGTGTGCAATGCTGAGGCTGCAGCACGCAGGGCTTTGCTGACGGGCTCACCAACCAGACAGGGACTTGGCAGGGCCTGCCCAGTGCTCTCAGCAGCACAGTGCCCTGGAGCATTAGAAAGTGGGCACTGCAGGATGGGCTTGGGGGCCACTCCCCACTTTGAGCACAGGTCCCTGGGCTGCCTCCCGGGTTTCTCTTGGTGATTTCCCTTCAGCTTTGCACATGGTTGCTCCAGTGCCTTCCAAGCCCAGCTCGACCAGGCCAGCTCCATGAGGGCTCCGTGAGCCCCGCTGGAAGGCGGATGTTTAAACTCAACAGGAGAGCTCTGCATCTGCTTAGGGTCTTCCCAGGTCTTCTGTCTGTTTAAACATTTTACTTACTTTAAAGACAGAGCGTTTCCACATGTTGGTTCGCTCCCTGAAAGTCCACAAGAGCCAGGGTTGGGCCAGGTGCTCCATGGGTCTGCAGGTGTCACAGCTGGGCCTTGGCCTAGCGCCTTGTCTGTCCTTGCGGGCCTTCCCAAGCCTGTGTCTTTCTGTGGCCATCTGGCCATCTGAGGGTTTTCCTGTTTTCAACATGTGGTTCCCCAAGTGGGAAAAGTGTGAAGGAGGGAGAGGTGTGGCCCTTTGCACTCCCTGAAGAGGAAGGCAGCAGTGGGCCTGCCCTGTGGGTAATACCCAGCCTGCCTCCTGTGAGCCCAGGGCGGAGAACCGAACTGACAGGTCCAGTGCTGAAGTGCAGTGGGGTGAAGCCGTTGTCTGCAGCACCACCATCCAATGTGGGCTTCAGTTCAAAGTCCCAGCCACTCCACTTCCCATCCAGCTCCCTGCCTGTGGCCTGGGAGAGCAGCAGAGGATAGCCCAAAGCCTTGGGACCCTGTGCCCACAGGGGAGACCCAGAAGAAGCTCCTGGCTCCTGGCTTTGGACCAGCCCAACTCTGGCTGTTGCAGCCATTTGGGAAGTGAACTAGTGCATGGAAGATCTCTTTGCCTCTTCTCTCTGTAAATCTGCCTTTCAAATAAAAATAAGTAAATCTTAAAAAAAAAAAAAAATACTGAACTGACACAGTCCCTGGGGGCTCAGCTCCTGGCTGCCTGCAGGTGCCAGCCCTGTAGATTCACCCTCCACCAAGGAACGAATACTTCAGCCGGATATATGAAAAGAATTTAGATGCCTTTATTCCAGGGAACTCAGTCACAGGCTTCCCTTCCCTGTGTAGCAGAAGGACGTGAAGGAGAGGCTACAGTGGAATAAACCAGGAGAGAGACGCGAGGGGCTTTAAACCCCCTGTCACGGAAGCCGAAGCAGGCGCTTCCGCCCTTCATCGGTGGAGGGCTCATTTCACTGCCTCAGTCAGAATTCCTTCCTCCGGTTACCGGGGCAACTGTCTAGCCAACTGGGGGTGTAATGACAACAACCACCCCCTTGCTTCCCAGGATCCTCCACTCCTGCCTAACACGGCCCTGACTTTGTGGCGTTTTCACCCTAGCCACTTTGCTGATGTGCTGTCGCAGGTCCCTGCTGCCGGGGAGGAGGTACACAGTCCAGGCGACCACCCTCAGCGGGTTCGGGGGAGAGGAGCCCCCCACCGAGAGCCTGGCCTCGGCACCTGTGCACGTGTGGACACGTGAGTAGGACAGCAGGACCTCTTGGGGTGCGGAACCCCCACTGCCTTTCAAGACACTGACCCTGCCCCCTGCCTTCCAGGGGTGCTGCCCCTGTATCCCTGCCCCACCCTCCAGCATTCACGAGGCCAGAATCCCAGCCTGGCCCCTCCACTGAGGTCCCCTCCACTGAGGTCCCCTCCACTGAGCCTGCCTGCAAGGGGCCTGCGGGTGGGGCTGGGCCGAGTCTACTAGGGACACCGAACCCCGGGCAGGGACACCCAAGGCTCTGGACAGCTCCTCCATGGGTCTGCTGCCCAAAAGTGCCAGGCCCAGGAGTGCGCTGGGCCAAGTGTGCCCTGCTGTCCAGGACACTGTCAGTCTACTTCAGCTATCCTCTGGTGCACCCAGCCCATGTGCCACCCACCACAGCAGGAGGTTGGCACACAGGGGAGCAGTGGGCTGTAGTTGAAGCATTGACTACATGGCGATAACTGAACTCAGCTAGGGGCCCACTGATGCCTGGGGCAGGACTGCGTGGCCGCGCTCAGGGGCCCAGGGCAGGCCTGCGTGGCCGCGTGGCCGTGCTGAGGGCCGAGCACTGGAGGTTGGCTGGAGGGTTCTCAGGGTGGGGAATTGTGGATTTCACCAGCTGAGCCAGCCCCAGGGCAGGGCAGGGACGTGTGTGCGCCTTCCTTGTCTGCTGGGCCCACACTGCTGTCCCTAATGCTGGTTATGACTTCCAACGGGGCCTCTCCAGCTGTCCCGAGCCGTGCTCTTTACAGGACCCCTGCCATGTGCCTGTCCAGGGCCCCTGCCTCCAGCAAATCTGACAGCCTCCAGGGTCACAGCCACCTCTGCCCATGTGGTCTGGGACGCCCCCACTGCAGGCGCCTCTCTGGAAGCCTATGTCATCAACGTGACCACCAGCCAGAGCACCAAGAGCCGCTATGTCCCCAACGGGAAGCTGACCTCCTACACGGTGCGGGACCTGCTGCCTGGGCGGCGGTACCAGCTTTCAGTGACGGCTGTGCAGGGCTCAGAGCAGGGCCAGCTGCACAGCGACCCCACACACCTCTACATCATCACCTGTGAGTACATCCACACCTGCTTCCTGAGGGAGGGCTCTGCTGGGACCCGCAGACTCACACAGCTTGGGTACGGGCCCTGGGTCCAAGTGCTCTAATGATCAGAACCCGCCTGTGCCTCTAGTGCATCCCACACAGGGTGGGTGTCACCCCAACTGGGCAGCCAGGGGCAGGTAGCACCATGCAGTCAAGCCTAGGCATGGGAGAGAGTGGCCAGGAGGCCTCAGGCAGGACTGGCCTGGGACAGCAGGAAGGACCAGCATGACTGGTGCACCTGTGGCTCAGAAGAGGCTCGGATGGACCACCCCCAGGATCAGGGAGGGGACAGCTTGGACGGGCCAAGCACAGGACCAAGGGTGGCTTGGATGGTCCACTCGCAGGGTGGTGGGGGAAGGGGGTGGCTTGAAGGGACAAGGCCTGGGGTGACAAGGCAGTAGGGGGGGCCAGCTCAGATGGCCCAGGTGCAGGGATGGCTCAGATGGGCCATGTGCAGGGCCACGGAGGGGAAGGGGCCAGTTCAGACAGTCCAGGCACAGGGCCAGGGCAGGGGTGGTTCAAATGGGCCACATGGGGGGTGGGAGGTGGTTTGAACGGGTGGCTCAGACGAGCCAGCAGGGCTCCTAGTGCATGTGATGTGCTAGGGAGCAGGGTCTGTCTGGGAGTCAGGAGGATGCGAGGAGGAGGCAAGTGTGGGAAGGACAGGGCCCAGAGGGCAGGGCTGGTGGCAGGGCCCTATTGCCCTGCTCATTCAGTGCAACAGAGCAACGTGGTGAGGGCGGGCAGGTGGGTGGGCAAGGTCCTAGATGGCTAAAAGGGTGTCCAGGGCTCCAGCAGTGAGCAGAGCTCGCTGCCCCTCACACGGAGCTGCTGCAATGGCTCTGAGCACCCAGTCAAAGACACGGTGGGTGGGGACCTGGGACAAACATGCACACCCTGCCTCAGCAGTGAGTGGGACCACCCAATGTTGCAAAGACAGGAGCCAGGGGCAGCCCCAGGCCAGTGGCCGTAGCCCCTCCGTTTCCCCCTCATGTTCTGCAGCCCCCAGGGACAGCCCCGAACGCCGCTGGCACCAGGGCGGCCACCACCCACGGGGACTCAGACATAGGCCTCCCCTGCGCCTGCCGGAGCTGCGGCTGCTCAGTGATGGTGGCGCCCCTGAGGAGCCCACACAGCTCCCCAGGTACGTACCCCTGCTGTGGCCCTGGCACCCAGGTGGCACCGCCTGTGATGACCTCCAGCCTCTGCAGGTTCTCAGAGCTGGTGGACGGCAGAGCAAGAGTGAGCTCCAGGTTCCACAACTCACTCAGCAAGGCAGGTGAGCGCTGCGCCTATCTGGTGCCCCCCAATGGCCTCTGCCCCTCACGCGGGCCCTGGTCCCAACATGGGAGTGTACACACCCCCATGCCCAGCCCCTGGGCTCCCGGGTCCACAGTGGGAGCAGTGGGCTCAAGGAGCCTTCCCTTTGTCCGTAAGAGAAGGGCAGAAATGTGACAGGCGTGAGGCAGGCTGCAGCTGGGCCTGCCACTCAGCCTATGTTCAGCACAGAGCCCCGCCCAGGCTGCCAGGCGAGCAGGAGGACCAGGAGTCAGGCAGGCATGGCCGAAGCAGGGGCTCAGCTCTGGTCCTGCCAGGCCTAGGCAGCAGAGTGTCACTGGTCCTGTGGCACCAAGGCCACAGGAAGGGACCTACCAGGGAGGGGCAGCCTCTCCTGGGATGCAGCCTGGAGCCCCAGCCACAGTCCTCACCCTTCCCCTGGGACCCCCACAGCAAGCCCAACCTCCAGTTTAGCAATACTGACCTCATATCCCGCACAGCCAGGTAGGGAGTGGGGAGGTGGGCGTCAAGGCTGCCAGCAGGGCATGGGGAAGAGAAGGGAGTGGCAACTGTAGCTATAATTGCCGAGAAACACCGGCCTGGAGGAGGGAGCGTCACTGCCCCTCCTGAAAGCAGGACCCGGAGGGAGCCGAGGACGGAGCCTCCCCAAGGACAGAGTCGCAAGCCTGGGCTGAGGGTGGCGCTGGGCCATAGGCACCCAGAGGCAAGTGGGGTCCTTGCCCCTGCACCCTGAGCTAGAGAAACAGCTCAATGACACAGCCTGGGCACGCTCACCGTCTGGCTTTTGCAGAACCCACCACTGCAGTGCCACCCAGGAACGCAGAGGCTGCTCCCGAACAGGCCCGCCTGGCCCTTCTGCTCCAAGAGAACAGCAACAAGGGCGCAGAGAGTAAGTCCAGGCTCGGCCACCAAACCCAGCACTGCCCTCTAGCGGGAAGTGAGGTGGCCAGTGTCTCCCACACTGCTGGAAGGCGTGAACTGTCACACATGCACGTGTGCCCCAGCAGCCAGCGATCTGTGCAGGCACGGCAGTAGCTGTTCCCACACACCTTGAGGGATCTGTCCACGGGGTAAAGCCTTGTCTTCCCAGCACATCAGCTGCCAGGAGAGGGGTTTCTGGAGCACATCAGAGTGGAAGTGCCGGCTACCAGGGACAGGGATCAGGGTCGGGTCAGAGTCCGACAGTTTGGGCGCCAGAATCCAGCTTGGCAGGGCCAGGACTTACCCAGGCTCCCCCAGCAGTGTGGCATGGAATACAGACAGGACTGCTCAGAATCCTGCTGGCACCAATAAACCCACGCTGCCTGCGTGTTGCCTGAACTGACTCCATATCACAGGGCCGGCAGTGTGGGCAGACAGGCGCATGCCAGAGCCTCCCACACAGCGCTGACCACGACATCCAACACAGACTAACATCCAGGAACCACGTGACCCAACAGTAGGACAGAACTGGCTCCTCTCACATGGCACTAGACAACAGGTCCTCCCAGCCAGCCAAACACAAAGCCTGCACGTTAGGAGACAAAGACTGGCATTGCAGACGGCAGCTTCACCCACTGCGTCACTGCACTGGCTCCCCGTAAGGACGACAGTGACTGCTTCTCAGAGTGCTTCACAAGGAAAAGCAGCTTAGGGAGCGGGTGTGGAGTTAGGGGGGCCGACAGAGCCAGGGCCGGAGTCAGACCAGCCCACAGCTCAGAGCTGAGGCCTGTGGGAGCCCAGTTATGCATGGACAGGACACCAGCACCACTGCTCATCTGGGCTTAGGTGGACATGGGAGACGCTGCCCACCAGTGTACTCCAGTCTCTAGTTACACATGTGGACACACGGCATACTGCCCCCAGTGTACTTCGGTCTCTGTCGCAGCACATGGATGCATAGGACACTGCCCCGGGTGCCAGACACCAGCGAGTGGCACCTGTGAGCTGCCTGGGAATTCAACACAGAGAGACAATTGGAGTCTCCACAACTGACACTGAAAACTCCCTGAAGTTCGTAAAGCCTACAGGAAGCCAAGGAGCCGGGGTAGTGGGGGCAGGGACAGAGAAGAGGCCCATGGGGGAAGGAGGGAGGGGAGCCAGAGGGGCAGAGCGCAGGGAAGGGACAGGAGGCCTGGCCCTTGGGGAAGCCCTTGGCCGGCGTGGGCGGAGTTCTCAGTACAGGTCTGCTGAGTGAGGCTCCCTTCTGGCTCTTCAATGTTCATAAGTCCCAAATGACTGCAGTTCTCTTAACAAAAAAACTAAGTGAAAGAAACAATAAGGGTCCACAACTTGCAGATGTGGGGGGGAAGGGGAGAGCCTGCCCCCTGGCAGTGTGTGAGGTGCTGCTGTGGAGAGGAAGCAGGTTCCCCAAGGCCCAGCAACTAATGTCCTGTGGCCTCCATTTCCAGACACCCCCAGGAACTGCTCAGAAAACCCTTGTCACAACGGAGGGACCTGTGTGCCAGGTGCTGAAACTTACAGCTGTGACTGTGCACCAGGGTTCAAGGGCAGACACTGCGAGCTAGGTGAGTGGGACCAGGGTCAGAAGTGTTGTGAGCTGAGTGAGAGGGACCAGGGTCAGAGGTGCTGTGAGCTCAGTACATTGGGACCAGCTGCTATTCAAGGCTTGCCCTAGGCCCTGTCCCAATGCAGTCAGGCCATGGGGCGATGTGGGACCAGGCAGAGCTGCAAGAGCGTCGGCTCGGAGCCTCGCCTCTGTCTCAGCCTGTTATAGGTAGCAGTGGGCAGTGCGGCATCTACATGGCACGAGGGAAGGAGAGAGGGGAGGAAGGAGTGGGACACAGGAAGGACAGCCCTGGGGACCCTAGGCTCCCCCAACCCCTGCTCCTGAGGACCTGGCTGGGAGCAGCCGCGAGTGCTCTCTCCGTGCACAGCCTGCAGGAAGGTGCCCCGGCCCTGCACCCGGCTCTTCTCAGAGACCAAGTCAGTTCCGGTCTGGGAGGGAGGCGTCTGCCATCACGTGTAAGTGGTCCCTCTCTGGAGCTGGGGAGGGGAGTCGCCCACCCGGGGGAGCCTAGGCATGGAGCTGAGGAGGGGTGCCGCCTCAGGAGCCACCCATGCGGGAGCCTGGGCCTGCTGCCTGCCCTCCTCGCTCCTGGCCCACTCTGAGGTCTGGGGCTTGTGGACAGACCCCAGGACATTACCTTCCTGTCTCTTCTGGGGCCCCGGGCAAACAGCTCTGCCATGAGTTCTGGGTTAACTGTAGTCATTCATGCTTTAGTTTCCCCATGTGCAGGAAATCAGTTTGTCCTTGGGCTCTTGCTGACTCCAGTCAGTCCTGCAGTGGGCAGCGCTTTGCCTGGTGGCACAGCACGTGACAGTGCCAGAAGGAGACCGGGGAAGGCAGGCCAGCACTGGAGGATGGGGAGGGGCACAGCACATTGTGAAGGAGGGTGCCTGAGGGAAGAACATTCCATACCTTGGCACCCAATACGAAGGCCGGCCACCCATGGGTCAGCCTGGGGCCAGCAGGGCTGGAGCTGAGTGAGCAGGGGAAGTGGTGTGGGGCGTCCACAGGGCCGGGCACACCAGGACGGGGGTGTTCCTCTCTTCCAAGTGGGAGCTACTGAGGGTCTGAAGCCCAGACCTTGGACGCCCTCAGAGCTGTGGGGTGGGAAGCCAGGCTTGCTCCTGCCCTGCACAGCAGCTGCATGTATTACGGCTTGCCACAGTGCGGCCTGTGGTGGTACCTGCGCTGAGTGCCAGGTGCATGGATGCCAGACACCCACCAAGTCCGCGACAGGGAATGCCCTCCCCACTGCAGCCCTTTGCCCAATAGCCTTCTTACTGGACAGCATTGAGCACCCGATGTGGCTGCGCTCCAGCCACCACACTGCTAGCTCTGCTCAGTCTGTCCTATCTGCTCCTCTCCACTTTTCCCAATTTTGAATTATAGTTTAGGATTCCATTTTATCCCCACAATTCATTGACTAACTATATGGGGTTATTTTAAAACTCACAGGAAGTAACATATTATGAAAAAAAAAAAAAACCTGTGTATGGGGGCTGGTACCTGAGGAGCTCCCATCTCCTATGGGTGCCAGTTTGTGTCCCAGCTGCTCCACTTGCCATCCAGCTCCCTGCTCATGTCCTGGGCAATCAGCAGAGGATGACCCAAGTACTTGGGAGCCTGCACCCATGAGGGAGACCTGGAAGGGCTCAGCTCCAGCTGTCCCAACCATCTGGGAAGTAAACCAGTGGATCTGCCTTTCAAATAAAAATAAATCTTAAAGCATAGATTTCAAAATTTTTACACTGAAAATGTTTTTAAAGACTTGTTATTGGGCCTGGCACAGTAGCCTAGTAGCTAAAGTCCTTACCTTGCACGCGCCAGAATTCCATATGCACACCGGTTCATGTCCCGGGAGCCCCGCTTCCCATCCAGCTCCCTGACTCGTGGCCTGGGAAAGCAGTCGAGGACAGCCCAAAGCCTTGGGACCCTGCACCCACATGGGAGACCCAGAAGAGGCTCCGGGCTCCTGGCTTCAGACTGGTGCAACTCCAGGCATTGCAGCCACTTGGGGAGTGAATCAAGATGGAAGATCTTCCTCTCTGTCTCTCCTCCTCTCTTGTATATCTGACTTTCCAATAAAAACAAATCTTTTAATAAAATAAGCAAATAAAACTTAATTTTATAAATCCATTCACTCCTTCAAGAGACAGAGTAACAGAGGAAGCATCTTCCAGCTGCTGGCTCCCTCTGTAGGCCTGCAGAGCCAGGCCTGGGCCAGGCACCCCGTCCGGTCTCCCAGGCAGCTGCACTGACATACCCAGACCCCCTCCCATGGCCTGCTCAGGAGCATGAGCAGTAAAGTGGGTCAGAAGCACAGCAGCCATAGCTTGACCGGCTGCCTGGTGTGAAAGGTCAGCACGACTGGCCTTCCATCCCTGTCTGCAGCCAGGGCTGAGCCCCGAGCTCCACCCACGCCTCCCCTGTGGCCCAGAGTGCAGGAGCAGGAAGCTGCTCAGTAGAACAGCTGGGACTGAGGGAGCATTCCCGAGTGGCAGCTTCACCCACTGCATTAGCTCAAAGCAGATGACAGTCACCACCTTCATCCTCTGCCTTGAGCCCTCCTGCTTCCTGGTCTGCGTGCCAGTGGGCCACGTCCCTCCTGCTTCTGTCTCCTCTTGGGCAAGGCCTCCACCCCAGGCCATCCATCCTCCTCTTTACTGTCCTCCTATGCTCTGCATCCCTGCAGCTCTTTATATTCTCTGGCACTCACTCACTTCTTGGCGCTGGCTTAGTTCACACTTGGGGAATGTGGGCCTCGTTGCATCGCACTCAGGTGTGCGTCCCTGCATCTTCTCCTTCGGGCACTCCAGCCCCACAAGACACCGCTGCTCGCTCTACTCACGCTTTCGTTTTTGGAAACTTGTCTGGCAAAGTGTTCCAGGTCATTCACCTTTCTTGTGCAAAGCAGCACAACCTGGCCATGCGCCCCACTCCCACTGCGCACCCCCACACTTCTCCCGCGGGTCTGCCATCTCTCTACGTCACAGTCACTTCTTTGCTTAGGTCAGTGATCTTAACTCTGATAAACGCCTGCCGTCAATGTCCCAGCTGGTTCTCCAGGATATGGGGCCCAGGTTACTCTGTTCTGCATGGTGATTCTGTAAATGTCCTACAACGTTTAGTGGGATGCTGGACAGGATTCCAGTGCTGAAGCAATGGATTTTTAGGTACTCAAGCATTTTCCCCAGTGAGGCAGAGTCTCGCGTGCAGGTGAGTCCTTCTCAGCATGTTCAGGGCAGTCTTCAGGCAGCCCAGCCTTGGAATTAATCCCATCACTCCCACGCATGAACCTTTTGGGGTCTCTGTGACACAGCCAGTTACTGCAAGAGCCTCCTCCACTTGGCCCCTGGGGTGACCTCCAGCTCCCCTCGGCTGCTTCCCAGTATCTGAATCAGTCACGGCCTGTTGCCTGCTGCTCACCCAGCTCCTGCCGCAGCCCTCACCGAGGGTCCGAGCAGCCTGTACAGAGGTGGGCCCTGCCTGCTGGCCTCTACATTCACAGCACACAGGAGGGACGTTGTCCCTGCCCAGGACACTGTGCTGGGTGGCCGTGTGCACCCTCAGTAAGAGAAGGGCCTCGTCCTCGGCACTGTCGCCTCCCTGAGCTCTGGGACAGCTCTGTGTGCTTCCTGTGCCTGCAGGTACAAGAGAGTCTACAAGGTGCACCCCGACATCTGCTTCCAGGAGAGATGCGCGAGCCCAAGCCGCACGCAGCCCTCAGCCCGGTGCCGCCCCGACGAGGCCGCTGCCTCCTGCATGTAGGCTGCAGGGTAATGGGCCAGGTCACCCTGGGGAGGGCTGTGGGGGCTGCAGGCCTTCAGGCTGAGCGAGGTGTCTGCTCACAAGGGTGGTCCTACTTGGCTAAGCAACTGTGTGCATGTGTGTACACGTGTGGTGTGCGTGCACGCAGTCAGGAAGCACAGAACTGGTGCTCACGCTGGCCATGTGTGTGCATGTGTGTGTGTGAGCTCACCCAGACAGCAGTAGGGAGGCATGGGGCTGGTAGTGGGGCCTGCACTGTGTGTGTGTGAGCTCTCCCAGACAGCAGGGCAGCAGTCTGGGCAGAGGGGGCAGTAGGGTTCAAGGTCTCATTAACCTACCATCTCCATTTCAGGAAACAAAGGCACAAACACTGAAGGCACTTAAGGTATGTCCCTGCCAGGCCTCCGGGCCAGCTGCATCCGGGCCCACTGCACGGGCTCCAGGGGTGCTGCTTGTCAGACTTCAGGCCACACGTCCCAGAGCCACCTGCAGAGGCCCTGGTCCCATCAGCAGCAAACACAGGCATGGCCGCAGGGGGGCGAGGCTCGGGGGGCAGGCAGGTACACAGGTATCTCCCTCAGTAGGAGATCCACACGGACATGGGAACCCCAAGTCCTCACCACACGCCCACAGATCATGGGAACCCCAAGTCCTCACCACACGCCCACAGGACACAGGAACCCCAAGTCCTAACCACAGGACACACCCACAGGACACGGGAACCCCAAGTCCTCACCACAGCACACGGAACCCCAAGTCCTCACCCCACGCCCACAGGACACAGGAACTTCAAGAAAAGGAAGCAGACATATCATTATGTTACTCAAAGACCACCAGAAGCAAAGGCGCTTTCAGGGGAAGTGGGGGCAGGGTCCGAGCTCTCAGCACGGGGCTGGGAGGTGCGGGCAGCGGCCCGTGCACAACTCACTGCACTCCTCCCTCTGCTTAGAGCAACAAATGCCCCAGGAGGCGAGCAAGGGTAGGACAGGAGTTGGTGGTGATGGTCGCCACTGTCCCAGGCTTCCCTGTCTCCCTCCAAGGCCTCAGGATGCTCTCGTCGCTCCAACCTCCAGGTGCCTGCAGCCCCGGAAGACGGGCTCTACACACTGGGTCAGAGAGGACACCTCAGGCAGCGAGGGTCCAGCTGCAGCCAGCCATGCCAGCCCACCCTGGGATCTCCCGCAGGTCCCACGGCCCATGGGGCCGATGCCACTCAGGAGGCCACCACAGCTCTCAGGAAGCCCGTAGGCCGCCGGGCAGAGGCCCCGAGAGGTAACATGCGCAGCCTTCCGGCCCCATTCCCCTTGCCTACATGTGCTGGCCACCCCCACAGGGACCACTTGGAGAAGCTGAGCTCCTTTTTGACACCCCGGGGCTTGGCAGCTTTTCTGTGGAGGGCTGGACAGTGAACACCCTGGACCCTGCAGACCAGTCTCTGTGAAATGGCCTGACTGCTTTTGCAGCGTGGCCACAGCATGGCCACTACCAAGTCCCAGGAGTGGATGCGTGTGGTTGTGCCCGGTGAGGCTCTGCTCTCCACATGAAGGAAGCTGTGTGCGGACACAGGCCCACCGAGCGCCAGTGGACTGAGGCCTCTGAGGCCCCTGCAGCAAGCGGCAAGGGCTCCTGACAAGTCTGACTGCGGCAGAGATGGGGGTGGGATTCTGTGACAGAGCGCACAGTTCAGTGTGCACCCTCCAGGCAAGTCACAAGAAGCCTGTCACAGCCTCACAGGCTGAGCGGAACCCCGAGTGGCTGCACCTGGCATTGTGGAGGGCATCCTCTCTAGGTGGACATTCCCTGGAGAGTCAGTCTATTTTGATTAAAGTTCGGTGTGCATACATCTGTGTATTATGCAGTTTGTCATCTTCAGAGAGAACATCTCTGAGAACCCCGAGAACAGGGGACAGAGCTCCGAGGGTCTCACACACGGATGCAGGGAGCCTGCCACCACAAGTACATTGATGCAGCGTATCTGAGAGCCGTGGCGCGGCCACCCCCACGGACGCCCCTCCTTCCACAGGCCAGTGGTCAAGGGCACCCTGAGGATAGCTGAGCTCCTCATAGTGCTGTGACCACCTGTCTTTGAGTCTCGTAAACTACACATCAGAAAGGAGTCTCCCATGTGGAGGGAAGCTGAGCTCACTGTCCAACATCCCAAGGCACCACCCAAAGGTGCCACCCACGCCTGATGGTGCCTGCTTTCCAGATACCCAGACCAGTGCAGGGAAAGGCCAGAGAGCAGCATACAGCCAGGACCACAGCTAGCTCCCTGCCTGTCCCAGAAGAGCCAGCATAAGCCCAAGGAGCTGGGGTGAACCAGGCACAGGCGCCAACTCTGCCTAGGGGGCTCACAGGCACAGTGACGTGTAACAACACCAGCACATAGCAATAACCTAGTCACTGCAGCCTGGCCCACGGCCAGGGCAGAGGGCCAAGATGCCCCCTCCTCTAAGACACACAGCCCCACCCAGGGCCCACCAACCTGGGTACCTCTCTGACCGCCAGCTCCTCCCGCTGCTGTCACTGACCACGAGTGGGAGAGCCCCCCAACAGCTGCCCCAAGCTCCTGCTCAGCCCTCCTGAGGGGTGCCCAGGCAGGAACCTCCTAAACACATAGGACAGAAGAGCCCCCGGTCACCTGACGTGGGTCACATGCAGTCATGACCGGCTGCACCTCTCTTACTGGCATTGTGGTAGATCTGACAGCATCCCTGACCGCCGCTCACCAGATGGGAGGGGAACTCTGTCCATGGTGACTAGAACATTCTAGGACATATCTGTTCAAGACCCCACAGAGAGCTCACAACATTGGGGTCGTAGTCAGGCCTCCCATACCACCTTCCTCTCTGCCCACTCCTAGCACTTCCTCCAGCTCTGCGCTCTTGCTGGGTGCCTAGGTGAGGGCCAAGCCCGCAGCCTGCCCAGGAGCCTGTGTTCTCTGGCCTTCAGGGAATGCACAAAGTGGACAGCTGTCAGCTGCATCTAGCTGGACAGGGCTAGATAGCCCAGGCTGTCCAGCAGGTGCCACAGAAATCACGTGCCCCAACAGGAAGGGCCTGCCCTCTGAGTATTTCTGTAGAGAATCTGCTACTTGTTTCTGTTAAGTAAAGACTGTGACGTATGAAACCCGTCATGGCATCTTTATCACGAGAAGCAAGGGCAGGCTCCGTCTTGAGCTAGAAGAATCCATCCCCTCCAGTTCACAGAAGTAATTCAACAGAGGGAAAATGAAACCAAGCCCAGCACAGACGCTCCAGGCAGTGTCTTTTATTATGGGGGGTGAGCACGCCACCCCCCCGCCGACCCTACCCACAGCTCACACTAACACACCTCCTCAGGTCATCTGCCACCTTTTCAACAAAGGGCTGGCTTCAGACTTAAAAATACCTGACAGGACCCAAGTGGAGCGCCCAAACACGAATGCATTCTTCCATCACTGCTGCTCCTGCTCCTCCTCTTCCTCCTGCTCCTCCACCAGCCCGCACACAGGTTTCTCCTCCTCCTCCCGAGCCAGGAGTTTCTTGAACACCTCAAACTCCTCAGGAGAAGAACAGGCGATGCGGGACAAGAACTCGGCCTCTGGTACACCGAGGACGCTCCTGAGCAGTGGGTTGGGGATCTGCGTCTGCCCCTTCTTATCAGGGGTCTGGTAGCGTCCCAGGCGCTCAAGGAACGTGTGTCTCTGTCGGATCCTGGTGATGGGGTGTCGCAGGAACTCAGTCCTCACCACATCCACATGCTTCACTCCCATCCTGAAGTACCCATACTGCAAACACAAGCATGCTCAGGAGCCAGCAGCAGACCCCGAAACCCACCACACCACAGCCTAAAACGAGTGCTGCCTGACTCAGCACCGCGGGGCACCCGTGCCAGTGCAGCCCCAACAGGAGGGCTGGCAGCTCCTAGGGCATCTAACCACTCACAGAGCACCTCAGGGCACCATACCAGTGCAGCCCCGACGGGAGGGCTGGCAGCTCCTAGGGCATCTAACCCCTCAGAGCCCAGTGGGGCACCATGCCAGTGGCCACAGCCCCGACAGGAGGACTGGCAGCTCTCAGAGCATCTCTGCTCATCTTAGGAAAACACAGGAAGTGTGAAGGAACAGCAGGGATGGGATCTGTTTTTCTTCATATGGGGCAAGAAAATTTTTGAGTTTGGAAACAACAGGGGAAAAATTTCAGAAAATATCTGACACACAAGTTAGCATGATTGCTGCTGAACAGATCAGCTGTCAGTCAAGGCAGGAAGGCGTCTGCGGCTTTAGAGCTGCCGACTGCGCGTGTAATTCCCCACCTGCATCTGGACCACGGAAAGGTCATGCTTCCATCTGGATGTGCAGACAGCACGGAGACCTGGACCATCCACGGGAGCAGGAGACGCCCCAAGCTCCCGACCCGGCCACGCACAGCTGCCCTCAGCACCCCTCAGTCATCCTTACCTGGAACTTGTATTCCAGTTCATCAGGACCCTCCTGAAGAACCTGGGGACACCGGTACAGGATCTCAGCTACCTGCTGGGCTGTGAAAAGGCACTTGTCCCTAAGGACGCCGACAAGACGCTCCAGGTGCTGCTGGCGCATGGTGAAGACCTCTGGGCAGCAGCGAAGGACCCTCTCCAGCTTCCCTGAGATGCAAGCAGGCAAGGACAAATCTCAGAATATTCCAGCACCCCAAGGGGTGGCTATATCCATTTTAAGTCAGCATTTCAAAAATGAACAAGTGCCAATCGCAGATGTGTCTTCTGAGAAGCAGGAAATAACCATCTCCCCTTGGCCTCAGGCCCCCCACCCAGCCCTCCCTACACCCTGGCCTTTCCCTGGCTTCCCTTCCTTCCTGCTCCAGGCCTCCACTGTGACAGCAGTCATGGGAACACCCACAACCAACACGCGGAGCCCCGGGGGCCTGCCCCGCCTGGAGAGTAGCCCGTGGGAGCCACAGGGGCGAGAGCAACAACACTCTCCAAGCCGCTGTGCACCGTCTCGTGGCCAGGTAAGCCTGCATTTGACCCAAACTAGGGCACTCTGAGGGAAAGAGGCCCCATTCCGAGACCCTGTGCGCTGCGACGCTGCCGCCCTCTGGGGCGAGGCTTTCTACCAACATGGCAACACGCTTACCTCAACTAGAATGAAAACTTTAGAATGAATGAAAACTTTAACGGGTCCAGTAGTTAGACGACACCCATTCAAGGCTCTCTCAGGAGGCCCAGAGACAATCTGAAATCCTCCCCCTCCTCGATGCATGAGGACCTGGCAGCCTTGGCTCCCTACCCCGACACCGCCGAGCCCCGAGGTGTGTGACCTGCTGTGGGGAGCTGAGAGAACCAGGCTGGTGGTCGCAGTACCCGGCCGTGCCACCTGCAGTGCCAGCATCCCATTCGGGCGCCTCTTCCCACCAGCTCCCTGCCAGGCTGCCTGGGAAAGCAGCAACCGAGGACGGCCCACGTCCACCGGGGTGCCCTCCTCCCTCCCTCGCGGCCCGCTACCTTCTCCCAGCCCGAGCCGGCGCAGGTAGGCGCAGCGCTGCCGCACGCGCGCCACGGGCAGCTCCAGCAGGCAGGGCCTCCTCCGCACGGCCGCGCACACGGGCTCGGGACGCAGGCCCAGCAGCAGCAGCTCGGCCAGCACATCCAGCAGCCGCGGGCCGGCGTCCGGCTGCAGGCGGAGCAGCTGGCGCACGCCGGCCTCGCGGAAGCCCATGGCCAGCAGCGAGCCGCGGACGTCCTCGGGGCCGGCGGGCGGGCTGTGCAGCCGGGCAGCCGGCGGGCGCCCGGCCACGGCGGCCAGGGCCAGGACCTGCAGGAGCCAAGCACCACAACGTCAGCCCGGCCCGCCGGCCCCGCACGCCGCCCCGCCCGCAGCGGCCCGTGCGCCGAACCTTCCTGCCCAGCGCCGCCGCCATCCCGTCCACACGCCGGAAGCGGAGGCTTCCTGGCCCGCCCCTTCCGGTCATTCCGCTGCCTGGCTTCCGGTTGGCTCCCGCTCGGCCGGGCACATGACAGCGAGATTGCGTTCTAGATGCCGTTGTCCTGTGGCAGGACGGGTCATCGCCGGCTCCCCGGGTCCTCGGCACCCCTCGGAGCGACCGTGGCCGCGTACCTCCCCGCAGCCCTCGGCATGCTTGGCCAGCCGCCCACTCATCACCCTGCCCTCTGCCTGGGCGTCCCTGATGGCCGTGCTGGGTGTCCGCTCTCCCCGATCGCTAACCGCGCTGCCCTCTGCCCTGGGTGCCCGCTGACCGCGCTGCCCTCTGCCCTGAGCTTCCCTGACGGCCGTGCTGGGTGCCCGCTGACCGCCCTGCCCTCTGCCCTGGGTGTCCCTGAAGGCCGTTTTGGGAGCTGAGGGAACTACGTCACTCCCTGCATTCCCACTGCGCACCTGATGTGGGAGAGCACCCCTCCCCAGTCCGTGCACTCACACATACACATAACATATACACATGCACACACACATATAATACACAAAATGTGACATGCACCCTCCACATACACCTAAGTGATATACAGATATGCAAACACACATCCTTCACACACATATACACTCAGCAAACATTAATCATATCCAACGTACAAAACACACATACACCCCACACGTAGATATGTAATACACATAAACCTTATAAATACATATACACACCACAGATGCACACACATGCACATACACAAATACGCTGGGGTCTGTGCAGTGGGTGTGGATGACGCAAAGGTATGAAGAGAACCACTCCCCTGCTGACAAGGCCATGAGGTCTCTCCAGCCACCTCAAGCCACTCACACTCTGCATGGACACCTGGCCGCCCACTGAGAATTCTGTAATCTATTTAGGCATTGCTGTTTGCCCCTGCGAGTTGGTCTCCACAACCAATGTGAGCCTGGGCGTTGTTGCTGATATGGGCTTGGTAAAGTCTTTTAACAACTCCTACTGCCCCCTTTGACCATAGAATGTTTACGCTAACATTTGTACAACGTGCTTTGACTAATGTAGGGTTGTTAGGCCCGTGGTTGTGGTGGGAATCTGTATTTACGGTTGTCTATGATCTTTAGGTTTCCTTCTGTGATGCGTCTTCTCCTCTAGCGGATAAGATAAAGTCGTAGGATGAGGAAGGTAGCAGGCCTGGGTTTCTGACTGATATTGTCTATTATCTATTGAGAACTCCCCGACTGATGGTCAGAATGGATAACGTCCTGCCTTAAGGTGAAACAAACGGCAGAATTAGCTTTGGAAACACCCACTTGATCGTGACATAAAGTCCGTGCGAGGGGACAGCTTTCTTGCATGGTCCATTATGATCCTGAAATCCTGGGGATCCATCTTTTCTCTTTATCTCCACACACCCTTCTCTAGCCTCAGCACAAATACATATACACCCTTATATCCAAATACATACCCATATACCCTTATGTACACCTCCCACACATAAACATGGACAAACATACATATATAAACATACCCAATATATACCCTCACACACACGGCAGTCACTCCTGGCAACATGACACAAGCCAACAGCTTGCCAGCCCTGACGGGTACAGGTGCAGGCAGCTCCCAGGGGCCTGGGCAGGAGCTCAGGAAGCTGCAGAAACAGTCTGGCTGCTCCCAGGAAGGGCAGGGTGTTGGTTTCTGTATTCACCCTATTGTCCCACGCTTGCCCACTGCAGCCCTTGAACACACAGGCTGAACAGAAGCTAGCGGCCAGACTGGAGCAGCAGCATTAAGGCGGACCTGAGCAGACACAGGCAGAGGGCGCTGGCTGTGGGAGTGTGCAGAGACCAGCAGCAGAGTCCTGAGAAGTGGCCCCAGGCCCCGCAAGCTATGTACAAACAGGAGGCTGTGTGCTGGGTAAGTGGGACAGCCCAGCGTAAAACATGGAAACCGGGAGCCCAGCATGGCGAGTCACAACCCAAGCCAGGGGAATGGACGCAACCTTGTGGAAACCACTGGAGAAACAGAGGCCATCAGGCTCACCAGTGTCATCCAGAAGAGGCTCAGGGGAGCATGCGGCCCGTGTGAGCACATGCGCAGGCAGACATGCAAGTCGTAAACCCTCCTCACAACCATCACAGGGTCAAAGCCCTTTCCAATCGCAGAAAAGAATCAGACACCACACGCCTGTTACAGGTTATGGGAAACAATCCGAGTGGGTTTTATGCACCTTCAACACTGCAGCACCCACCACACTGGCACACAGGCTGTGGAAGGTTGTTATTTTAAAGCTCTCCAACTCTGGAGAAATTACTTGCTCCCGATGCAAGAGTCCGGGAGCCAGAGGATTGTCTGAGAGGAGCAGCATGCCACTCTTGGGGTGCTCAGCGAGGTGGGGTGGTGGCCATGCGCTGGCCACTGGGAGCCTCCCTCAGGGCAGCGGGGGCAGTGGGCACTGGCCCCACCTCACTCGGGCTCCTGCTCTCTGGGCTTCCAGGCGACAGGACTCCGTCTCCTGAGGATAGAAGCAGTGGCATCATGTGGCCACAGCACAAGGCCCTCCCCCACCAGGCAGCTCTGTGGGGACGCAGGTCCTGTTGGGGTGCTAAGGGACCCCACACCCAGGGCCCGCAACATTGCACCCAGCAATCATCCAGATCTGGAGAGCCAAGACTGAGCCAGCTCAGAGCAGCGCCTGCAGCCACCTTACACATGGGCACTGCAGGCACTGGGCTCCCCGCCAGCGGTGGCCAGAAGGGATGGCTGAAGGCAGCCCAGCCACACAGGCCCGGGCCAGCAAGGCAGCGTGGCACCACAGGGAGGGCTCACCTGGCTTGTTCAGGTGACATACTTCTTCCCATGTGTAGTCTGTGAGGTTCACTGGCTGTGTCACCCATGGGTCTGTCACCAGCTTCTCCAAGGTGGTGCGCCGCTGGGGGACAGGATGCAGCAGCCCCGACACAAGGTTCATGAGCTCTGGGGATAGAAAGGCGAGCCTCCTGCTGGAACCCCTTCCCCTGAGGGGGAGGAGAGGTGGCCCCAGCCAGTGTGCAGCTTCCTCAGCAGGGTCGCCTTTAGGCCCAGCGGGGGAGGACTGCAGGAACCTGGAGTGACAGGGAGGCAAGGTGAACGTTTCTGGGTCAGCCTCTGGGGACAGCCAGTAAGGTTGCCGGCCATGAGCCTCCACTCAAGGCCCTTTCCTGTAAGGAGCTGAGCCTCTGTCTACAGCACCAGAATGCCATGTGGGTGCAGGTTTGAGTCCCGGCTGCTCCACTTCCCATCCAGCTCTCTGCCTGTGACCTGGGAAAGCAGTGAAGGATGGCCCAATGCCTCGGCACCCATGAGGGAGACCTGGAAGGGCTCAGCTCCAGCTGTCCCAATCATCTGGGAGTAAACAAGCAGAAGGAAGATCTGTCTTGTCTGTAACATCTGAAGCCAGAAGCTCCGGGCTCCTGGCTTTGGACAGGATCAGCTCTGACCATTGCAGCCATTTGGAGGGTCAACAGTGGATGGAAGACCTTCTCTGTTTCTCCTCCTCTCTGTAAATCTATCTTTCCTATATAACTAAATCTTAAAAATAGGGGCCCGGTGTGGTAGCCTAGTGGCTAAAGTCCTCACCCTGAACACACCGGGATCCCTTATGGGTGCAGGTTCTAATCCCGGCAGCCCTACTTCCCACCCAGCTCCCTATTTGTGACCCGAGAAAGCAGTCAAGGATGGCCCAAAGCCTTGGGACCCTGCACCTGCATGGGAGACCCAGAATAGGCTCCAAATTCCTGGCTTTAGATTGGCTAGGTTCCAGCCAATGCAGCTGCTTGGGAAGAGAATCATCAGATGGAAGAGCTTTCTCTCTGTATATCTGATTTTGCAATAAAAATAAATAAATCTTAAAAAAAAAAAAAAAGAGGGAGCTGAGCTGTGCCGTGGCCTGTCCTGGCAGCCTTTGAAGGTGCAGTGGGTGCTGTAGAGCGAGGGTCCCAGGGACCTAGAGTTCAGGGCCAGGCCCTTGGAAGTAGCCAGGGTCAGACGAGGCCACGGAGGGGGTCCTCAAGAGGAGGCAACCACATGAGGGCCCAATGAGGAATGCCCATCTGAGGGCAGGGACGAAGGCTTCCTTGCCACAGGCCCTTGACCACAGGCCAGCAGGACCACAAGCTGGGCGATGGCTCTGGCTACAGGCACCCAGTCTGCAGTAGGTATGACAGAGCACAGAGGCTTCTAACCAGTCAAGACCAAGGTACAGCTGCATGTGTGGGCACTGGTGCCCACCTGGCGAGGCTTAGAACGGCTGGTGACTGGGCCCACCTGTGAGCTGTGTCCACAGAGCCCCTGCCTCTGGTTGACATTGCCTCCCTCCTGGCCAACTGCAGGAGTTCCAGCGATCAGGTACTCCCACCTGTGGGCCCCGTGATGTGCATGACGTAGAGCTCCGGCTGAGGCCACCTAATGCTAGCATCTGTTATTGGCAAGAGGCCACTAACACCCAACGCTAACAAAAACCAAGTCCTCAGAGTGTGTCCTTACAGTGTGTCCTCAGAGTGTGTGTCCTCAGTGTGTGTCCTCAGTGTCCTCACAGTGTCCTCAGTGTGTCCTCAGAGTGTGTCCTCACAGTGTGTCCTCAGTGTGCCCTCAGAGTGTGTGTCCTCAGTGTGTGTCCTCAGTGTGTCCTCAGAGTGTGTCCTCAGTGTGTGTCCTCAGTGTGTGTCCTCAGTGTGTGTCCTCAGTGTGTGTCCTCAGTGTGTCCTCAGTGTGTGTCCTCAGTGTGTCCTCAGTGTGTCCTCAGTGTGTGTCCTCAGAGTGTGTCCTCAGTGTGTGTCCTCAGTGTGTGTCCTCAGTGTGTGTCCTCAGTGTGTCCTCAGTGTGTGTCCTCAGTGTGTGGCCTCAGTGTGTCCTCAGT